AGACTCAACACCCTGAGGCACTAATGATAATATCGGGAAACTTCAACCAAACCTTCACCCTCTCCTCTCACCTGACTGGATTCACACAGTTTGTGAACTGTCCTACCAGAGAAAACAAGACCCTGGATCTGCTGTATGCCAACATCAAAGAAGATGTTAGAATAATGTGCATAAATGTATATAGAAGTTATCATTTATACTCATATTCTTATGTAAGAGTTTACTACAAGTATGAACTGTTTTGACCTCTTGTTACACATCATATAAGAGTGTTTTCTAACTTCTCTCTCCAATAGCTTTATTACACAGCACATGAGTGTTTTTTCATTTTTCTGTGACCTCGTTTCTCCTATCAGCAGGTGTGTGTGTGTGTGTGTGTGTGTGTGTGATGTATCCTCCACTGTGAATCGTGGGAAGTAATGAGGAGGATCCGCTCCTATCAGAAGGAGCTTGTTTGATGCAACAATGTCGCCTTGACCCTCACATATTCTCAGTTGTTCATTATTCTGTTCTATGAGAGTGCTTACGTTGCTGCACATATTTTTCCCCCATCCTTTAGAAACATTGTGTAACCAGGGACAACCCTTAATAAAGAGACTGGGTGGAAATACCTTCAGAGTGGTTTCGAGATTGTATCTGATACTATCTCTGTCCATTCTCCTCGAGTATATACCATTGTCTTTCTCTTCTTTATATGTTATCAGGTATTTGGGCAGGTTTTAGACCCAACAGAAGCCTACAGAGCCACTGCCTTACCACCACTGGGCAAGTCAGATCATAACTTGGTCTATCTACAAACCTGTTACAGACCTTGTGTGCTGAGGCAGCCTGTGACCAAAGTCAAAATAAGAGGATGGACACCTCAAGCCAGTGAAGCTCTAAGGGACTGTTTTAAATCAATAGATTGGAATGTGCTGCTGGAAACAGATGTGGATAGTATGAACATTGATAAACAGGTTGACTGCTTTACTGAATATGTCAACTTCTGTAGAGACACAGTTATACCCACAAAGACTGTTTGCTGTTTCCCCAACAACAAACCCTGGATTACAAGAGACATAAAAGCAATCCTTAATCAGAAAAAGAAAGCTTTTAAAGATGGTGACAAAGAACAACTCGAACAAGTTCAACAAGAGTTGAAGAGGAGACTGAAGATGGCAAAGCTGGAGTACAAAAAGAAGATAGAGAAGAATCTACAACACAGCAACATCCGTAAAGTGTGGAGAGGAATCAGCACCATCTCTGGACACAGCAGTCAAAAGACAAGACAGCCAGTGGTGGGTGATGGGAAAAGAGCTGATGAACTCAACCTGTTCTTCAACAGATTTGACACTGCTGTCACTCCCACTTCCACTGCTACTCCACCTTCCTCTCCACAACAAATCTCCACTACAACTTCTCCCCTTCCTCCTCCAGCTTGTTCAGATATCTTAACCACTTCAACTGCCTCCCTCCTAGAACACCAGTCCTTGTCTGTCACCGAAACAGGGGTGAGGATGGAGCTTGGAAGACTTTGTCCTGGGAAGGCAGCTGGTCCAGATGGTGTGTGTCCAAGGCTGCTTAGAGACTGTGCTGCAGAACTGTGTCAACCTCTCCACAAGATCTTCAACCTGAGTCTACAGCTGGTACCTGCTCTGTGGAAAACATCCTGCATTGTGCCAGTACCAAAAACAAAATGTCCTGCTGAACGCAATGACTACAGACCAGTGGCCCTCACTTCACACATCATGAAAACACTGGAGTGGCTGATTCTACGCCTTCTGAGGTCTGAGGTCAAAGACAAACTGGACTCCCTGCAGTTTGCAAACAAAGAACACATTGGAGTGGATGATGCTGTCCTCCACATGCTTCACCGTGCCCTGTCTCATCTGGAGGAACCTGGGGTTTATGTGAGGATCATGTTCTTCGACTTTCCAAGTGCATTCAACACCATCCAACCCACCATACTCAAAGACAAGCTCACAGAGATGGGAATGGACCCTTCCTGTGTTTCCCGGATCACAGATTACCTGACAGGAAGGCCACAGTTTGTCAGACTGGGGAACTGTGTTTCTGGGACATTGATGAGCACTACAGGGGCTCCACAAGGGACAGTGCTGGCGCCATTCCTGTTCACATTGTACACGTCAGACTTCAAATACAGCACTAAGTCCTACCACATCCAGAAATACTCAGATGACACTGCTATTGTGGCATGTATCAGAAATGGACAAGAAGCTGAATACAGAGATCTGATAAGAGCCTTCAGTGACTTGAGTCGCAAAAACTGCCTCCTCCTCAACGACTCAAAGACAAAGGAGATGGTCATAGACTGCCGTAGATCCAAACCCCCTCTTCAGCCAGAGAACACCTGTGGAGTGGACATCGAAGTGGTGACATCATATAAATGTCTAGGTGTACATCTGGATGATAAGCTGGACTGGTCCAAGAATATAGACTTCATCTACAGAAAGGGGCAGAGCTGCCTCGTTTTCCTGAGAAGACTCCAATCAATAGACATCTGTAGTAAGATGCTGCAGATGTTTTATCAGTCTGTGGTGTAGATCTTCAGTGTTCTGTTCTACGCTGCAGTCTGCTGGGGAGGAAGCATCAAACACAAAGATGCAAAACGTCTTAACAAACTGGTGAAAAAGGCTGGCTCTGTGGTAGGACTCAAGCTGGACTCGGTGGAGGATGTGGTGGAGAGATCTACACTGAGGAAGGTGGAGACTATTCTAAAGAACATTGATCACCCACTTAACAACACCTTGATGGACCAAAGGGCCAATGGTGGTGGACGGCTCCTCTCTCTTCACAGCAGGACAGAAAGATTTAGAAGATCTTTTGTACCAACAGCCATCAGGCTTTATAACTCTTATGTAAATAATAAATAACTTTTATAGACATATTACGTGAGACAACAGACAATTGAATTTCCCTTCGGGGATCAATAAAGTTTTTCTTCTTCTTCATCCCTAATGCTTGAATAGCTATGAGTGCTCTTTAAACTACTGAAATAAAATACAGTGTTTAACAGATATTATCAGCACTATTTGGACAGTAAATTTAGGGGAATGGCCTATAATTTCCACAGATTTTTCTGACTTTTTGTGATATGGCTGCTAGGATGTAACTTTGTAATAAAAAATTAGGACAGAAAAAAATCATTAACATAGCCAACACTGTGTTAGAAAATGGTTTCATGACTTTCTTTGGCTACATTACAGTTCTTCAGTCAAGAGAGTTTTGTGTTTTTTTTTCTTTTTTTCTTTTGCAGCAAAGGTTTAAGCAGTCAGTTCTGTTATGGACTAAAACTGATGTTGCTTTCATTAGTGCAGGCTTTGGAAACTGGAAAGCCATTGAAAAATATCACTGCACACCAAAACTCCTCAACCCACCACTCACTATGTGACTGTAAATGCCCATCAACAGAATCCAGTCAGTGCACAGCCATGGGCCAGACAGCAGGAGGTAGACAGACATTGTCTAGGGACAATTATTAGCTGTGCGCAGCATGTGACAAAACAGGGGACCAGCCCTGAGAGGGCATACAGATGAAAATGGTAATCTATAGCAGCTGTTAAAACTCAGGGCAAAAGTGGTTACTCACGTGGTTAACAGAGTGTCTCATGATGTACACAGCCTTGAAATCACAGAACCAGATTCTTAACATCTTAGCCTATACAATAATCCGTGGCATTGTCAGTGAAATCAAGTCCCTTCCCATTATTCAGTTTTCAGTCATTGCTGATGGTACAGAGAGAAAGCAGGCTGCTGTGGACTTCACTTCAAGAAAAGACTAGAGCTACCTTGAGCTGTATCAGAGAGCTAGTTGACTCCAATTAATCCACTGAGATGACACACACCTGGCTAAGGGCGAGCATTGCAGGAGACAGACTGAATAACTGAACTGTCTGTAATGTTCACAAAGAGAGGCTGGAGGGATTAACATGAAAATAATAAAAATGTAGCTGAATAAAGTAGCATACATGTTGCATGACAGAGTTGGACAAAAGCTGTTTTTTTCAGAGGCCTAACTGCCTTTTTTCCAACAGCTTGGAGTTTTACCACTATACCTGATACCTCTGGGAGCTGTCTGAACATGACGTAACACACAAAATACCATCCAAATATCTTTTGATTAAACTTTGCAACCAATGGTGGAGCAGAACTCTGTCCATGTCTTTTTTTTTTTTTTTGTATTTTTTATTACCCTTCCCTCTTCCCTTTGTATTCTGCAAGATTTCCATGTTTTTTTTTTTTTTTTTTTACCGTAATTTCCTGTTTCGTTCTCTAAAATCTAATTACATTCTTCATTCACCATGGGACCTGCCTATTCCCACCCTGTGGTCTTCTTCTTAGTATACTAAGATCTGCAACATTTACCTGTGTTCAGTTGATTGTTTGATTTGTATCTTTATGCTGCCCTCTAGTGTTACAAGGTGTGTCATCTGTGTTACCAAAACACCATCTGATAAACGTTAGGCCCTCTTGTTTACTTAGATTTGTATTTATTGAGGAAAGAATTGGAAGTAATTAGATTTTTTGGTAAAGTCAGCTTAGACAGTCCATTCAAAGACTTTTGCCAGGCTGCCTGATACCAGTATGAGGGCTCACATTGATGTTGTACCCCTGTTTACATTTACTTGGGTGCCCTGTCTGTCTGTCTGTCTGTCTGGCTGGCTGGCTGGCTGTCATTGAAGCAGACCAATCTATCAATTAATGAATCAATCAATCTTTTTTGATGTAGCACTTTTCATACGAGTCGAACACCATTCAAAGTGCTAAAATACGAATTAAATAGGTCAATGGCAGGAAATGGGACAATTATGTTGAAGAAAAACCATAAACTGTATATCGTGTTCTATACTGTCTATAGAATCGAATGCACGTCAAGGGTTATGAAATAGAAAAAACGTGCTGACGTATGGGCCGACACAACCACTACGGGGAAGAACTGATGTCACGTGAGGAAGTTTAATACACAGAGCTTTGGTGATTGGCTGGAGGAAATAGAAGTTGTCTCTTATTGGTTTGTATGCTTATGTCATCTCTGTACGGTCTGCGTTGTTTACATCTGCCAGTTGCCAGATGTGCAGATAATATGTGGGAACAAATTTCAGATGGAGCTGTTTGGTTATACTTCGCAGTAGCCCGCTGGTAAAATATGGTCCCCGGAGAAAACGCTCATGAGGAGTTCACGCTCACCCAGGAGAACATGCCAGTGCAGTATAACCGGTTAGCTGAACTGATAGGACGCTGTGGAAAAATGCCCTGATGATGAAGCGTTTTCCCGTAAGAGTATTCCGTTTCGGTTTCTATCCCTCGTAAACTTCAGGCTGTGACCAAGCGCCCTTCTGTCACCTGAGTACAAAGGAACCTGGGACCGAGACGAGCTGTGGGAGGCTCACTTATTCTGGACACGCAAAGGGAAGTGTAGCTTAAATACAGACTTTAGAAAGAGGAAAAAGGGAAATACGTTGTTTCACTCTGGTAACCAGTACGAGGAAATGGTCCGATTTTAGGTCTTGGATACGATTTTGAAAAGTCCTGTTTTTGTTGGATAAGCCACATGATAAGGATGTTTAAGGGTAGATAGAGTAAGCTCGTCTTTAACTGAAATAATGTCGGACATACAGAGAGTTCTGTCTCCCCTCCGGAGACTCAGTTATGCTGTGGGTCACTTTCTGAATGACCTGTGCGCGTCCATGTGGTTCACATATCTGCTGGTCTTCTACCACTCAGTCCTGGGGTTTCAAAATTCCTATGCAGGTCAGTCTGTCTGTCTCTCTGTCTGTCTGTCTGTCTGTCTGTCAGTCCGTCTGACTGTCACTCTGTCTATCTGTGTGTGTCTGTCTATTTAACCGCTGTCTTTCTGTCAGTCTCTGTGTCTGTGGAAATATTTGCTTTCATTGCAGTCTTTTGGTGGTTTTTCGACCCCAGGAACTTACCCCAGCAACTTAGGACCTTTTTAGGAACTCAGTTTGATTACACATAACACATTAAACACTGGCAGCACATACAAACAAGCACACAGAAGAGGAAATATTTGATCCAGTCCTCTGTGACCTAGTCTGATAAGCAGAACTATGCTAGTACATAAATTTGGCCTTCTAGTGCAATTTTTATTTCGTCACATGAATGCTTTTGGACATTTTAACGGTGTCAGGGGTTAGCCTGAACAGGAAACAACCTTTTTTTCATTATATGCTGGTTAACAATTTGCACAGACACCAGCTGAGCAGAGAGAGAGGTGTAGAGGTACTAAAGAGCAGTAACAGCTAATAATTCCAGCCACCTGAGGTTATTAATAATCAGCTGACCTGATTTTGGAAAGCTTTTTGTCAGAACAAAATCAGCAGAGACTCAACTAAAGAGATGTTATTTTATTTCCTTACACCATTCTCGGACATCATTGGTCTGAACTTCAGGCCCCCCGGTGGTAATGCAGACAACAATGGGTCACAGGAACCATTTAGATCCTGCAAGAGAAGAACCTGAAACTCAAAGTTCTTCTGGTCGCAAAGCACCTTATCACTGAACCTGCAAATTGATATCATCCCTGACACACATTGTCTTCCTGTCTGTTACCACTAATGGACTGTCATATTACTGGTTCACCCTTGATTTAGGTGTGCTGCTCCTGGTTGGGCAGATAACTGATGGCATCTGTACGCCTCTCATCGGCTACGAATCCGACCGAACTTCTGGCTGTGGCAACTATGGCAAGAGGAAAACATGGCATTTAGTTGGTAGGTCAAATGAACTAGACACCTTGATAGTATTACAGTTTCCGAAGGGATTTAACTTTGAACAGTTCAGAAGATTTGTTTCAATTAAGAGAAACTTTCAGATCTTAAGTAGGGAAAAATCAATTTCGCACATATTTATTTGGTTTATTTATATTCTGCTTCTATCTGTTCCTCTTTTTGACATTGTTTTTATCAACCACCACAATAGCTAAGATCCCAAATATTTAACATTTATCTAAATAACTTTTACATGTTCATACTATGAGCATGTTTCTTCATAATACTGACAAAGAGTAGTCCTTTAGTGGATCTTTGACCCACAGATGTAATTCATGTAACCTTTTATGAAAGATTGCACAGACTTTGCTCCCATACTGGACTCTTTACATAGATTTTATTGGTACTAGTCAGGTCAGATCAGGTTTAACAAGACTGTAATGACAAAGAACATGAGAGGTTGGTTACACAGCTGAATGATTTACTCCATAAATGAAGAACTAAAAATGCACAAAAAGTCAAAAGCAGGAGTCAAAAGTTCAACATTTTTCGTTGGAGTGAAAGTAATACTTCCCCTCAAAAATGAACACTCAAGTGAAGTACAGATACTGAAAAAATATAATAAAGTGTGGTACTTACATGGGCTTTGTTACTGGCCACCAGCAGATATGACAATATTGATGTAAAGACAGCTGAGCCAAAAAGAGATGCATGAATGGGGTCCTACATATATGCAGATGATACCTGCTATCTATAAAAAAAATTGCACTATATCAAATCTTTTCTTTACTCATATTCTGAAATATAAAATCACTTTATAAAGACATGTTTGAATATATGTAAAATAGGTATGAATATCAATTTGTTACTGATGTTTTTTTCCTACAATACAGCTTTTGTGGAAATATGAAGGCCATTAAGCCTCATTCATGAAACGTGAGCAGCATTCGTCATTGAGTGGGGTTGCAAAGCATTCCCACTGTAACACTAAGTATCACCAATTTTCTTGCTGCTACTTCACAGATAGCCTTGGAAGTGTCCTACGTAGTGTTAACAACAGATGAAACAAATCCAGTTTGAGGTGTATTTATTGTTGTTGCAGTAGTTGTTGTAATCAGTGCACATACCATAGAATTGCAGCGTGGTAATGAACTGAGTCCCCTGAATTTCTCTCTTTGCTGCTATGCTGGTAGAAATGGTGTGCTCCTGCCTGCTACCTGTGTTCCACCCTCTGATTACACCACCTGTGACCCTTAAGTAACCACCATATCCTGTCAACTCTAAAGCCCGCCACCAAGTATCCGAAACTAAAACTACTACCTGTCAAAAATTATAATGGCTCCTACACACCTGCCCGTAATTGTACCAAGTGTAAACGACAATTACATAGTAATAAAGGAGCCATATTCAAATGCATACTCTTCACATTACATTTTGTTTTGGCATTTTTTTCTTCCTTCGTTTTTTTTCTTTTTTCTTTTTCTTTTTTTTTTTTTTACAATTTCAAAATAAAATAAAATAAATTCATTCAATGTTCTTTAAACTTCAGTTTTCAGTCTCTTATGTTTCAGTCTCTTGGAGCAGACATATCTTCGTTATTGGTCTCTCCAAGATGTTGCTTTTAGTCTTTAGTCGAACTGTGCGTACATGACCTTTTCCATCAGGAACGGTCTCCAGTATTCTCCCCAGTAACCACAAGCCTCGTGGTGCAGTGGAATCAACCACCACAGCAATGTCACCAGGGGCAAAACTTCTCTTTACTGTTGACCATTGTTGCCGTTCTTGGATTAAAGGCAAGTATCCTTTTGTCCATCATTTCCAAAAGAGATCTGCCATGTATTGTGCTTGTTTCCATCTACGTATAATGTACAGTTTCTCCTTTTTAAAGAGTCCAGGTGGCAATACTGGCTGAGTTTTTAGCAAAAGAAGATGGTTTGGGGTCAGCGCTTCCAGGTCCATTGGGTCACCAGAAGACCTTGTAATTGGTCGATCATTTAAAATTGCTTCCACTTCACACAATAAAGTTTGCAATCCTTCATCGTCAAGCACTTGTTGATTAAGAACAGAACGTAGCACATTTTGTACCATGTGGATCAGTCATTCCCAAACACCACCGTGATGGGATCTTGCTGGGGGTTAATTCTCCACTTTATCCCTTGCTGAAGCATAGCATTCTGGATTTTGTCCTGATTCAAGCTATTCAGTACTTCCCTTAATTCACTTTCCGCCCCAATAAAGTTTGTGCCATTGTCTGATCGTAAAGACAAAACTTGACCTCGTTGACAGATAAATCTCCGTAATGCATGGATGCAGGAGTCTGTGTCAAGTGTATGTGCAACTTCAAGGTGTACTGCTCTGCTTGCCATGCAGGTGAAGATTACACCATACCTTTTAACAAGACTTTGTCCTCTCTTGATCTCTATGGGACCGAAGTAGTCTGCCCCCACATCTGTAAATGGAGGCTTGTCTGGTTGAATCCTCTCCAAAGGTAAGTCTGCCATTGTTTGCTCTCCAACTTTACTCCTCTGTCGTTTGCACATTATGCAGTCTGCTATGACTTTTCTTGCAGCGGAGTTAGCTTTGATGATCCAATATTTTTTACGGAGGCAAGACAGCATGTAATTTCTTCCTCCATGTCCGAGTTGTTTATGAATGTGTCGTAACAATAGAGTAGATGTGTGAAAGTTCTTCGAGAGAATAATTGGATGTTTTACCTCATCAGGCATCGCCAGCCTATTGAGGCGGCCACCTACTCTCAGAAGTCCATCATCCAGCACTGGATCCAATTTGTATAAATGACTGTTTCTTTTGAGATTTTTGCCACTTAACAGAAGAGATATTTCTCCTTGGAATCTTTGTCTTTGACTGAATGAGATGACAGAATGTTCTGCTTGGAGAAGATCTTCGGGAGATAGGCACTGTCCACGAAGTGTCACTTGAAAGGTTTGCATCTCCTCTTCAACCTTCTTCTTTAATTTGACAGGATCAGTTTGAACACTACTCACAGCAGTTTGAATCTCCTTTCTCCTTCTAGTCAGTTGCAAGAGGGTGGCCTTTACTTTAAGAAGCCTAAGAAGCCAAGCGACAGCAGTCTTCAGTTTCATCCATGATGAGAGGTGGTGGATTAGATAGTTAGTTGGGCTCACTTGACTTTTGACAATCACATTCACTGTGATGTTGGGTTTGATTTCTGGATCATTGACAGAGATTGTGGATTCAAAGTGCAAGTTTGGCCATTCACCATCTGATTTACAGAGAAAGTCTGGTCCTCTGATCCACCTTTTGCAACTGAAGAAGCGGTCTGCTGTCAGCCCTCTTGATGCTGCATCTGCAGGGTTTTCCTTTGTGCTCACGTTGCATCCCTTACTAAGGAGATCCTGTTTGCCACAAATGTTTGAAAGCATTTAGTTTCATTGTTTATATACTTAAGAACTGTAGTGCTGTCCGTCCAGAAAGTGGAATTGTCCAGTGGTAGCTTCAAGTCCTTACGCAGCATTGTGTCCACTCTTACAGCCAGGACTGCCGCTGCCAGCTCCATTCTGGGAATTGTCATTTGTTTTAATGGTGCCACTCTTGATTTTCCTATTATAAATGCAACATGCACTTCCTTGTTATTGTTTTCCAGTCTGAGATATGAGACAGTTCCGTAGCCACTCTCACTGGCATCCGAAAAGTGATGCAGCTGTGAGTGTGTGATTTGACCAAAGTTGATAGGCTTCATGCACTGGTCCACTTTAAACTCCACCATTTTGTTGAGATCTGCAAGCCATCCTGTCCACTGTTGGGAGAAAATGTGGGGTATGGTTTCATCCTATCCAAGTTTTTCCTTGCAGAGCTCCTGCATAATTAGTTTGGCTGGCAGAGTGAATGGCGCTAGAAAACCTAAAGGGTCATACACAGAGCCGACCACAGACAAGATGCCACGTCTGGTGTGTGGCCTTTCAGGTGCAGCTATTGTGAACTTGAACACATCTGTTTCAACACACCATTGTAATCCTAGGGCTCTTTCCATTGGTAGATTGTTCTTGTCCAAGTCCAATTTTTTAATTTCTTTGGCTCTTTGCTCTTGTGAGATAGATGTTAACACAGCACGGCTGTTGCTGATCCATTTAAACAGAACAAATCCACCCCTCTGGCAGAGAGCAGTCAGGTCCTTTACCAATTGTACAGCTTCTCGTTCTGTAGGCATGGATTTTAAACAATCATCTACATAGAAGTTGTGGTGTACAGTGTCTGTCACCTCAGGTGGAAAGTGAGCGTGGTTGTCTTCAGCAGTCTTCCTCAAAGCGAAATTCACACAGCTTGGTGGCGACACGGCTCCAAATAGATGTACTTTCATTCTGTATTCGTCCGGGTCTTGCTGCACATCACCTCAGGCCACCATAAGAATCGTAAGTAGTCAACATGCTTTTCAGACACCTTAACCTGATGGAACATGGCTCTGATATCTGCCATCAAGGCGACCGGTTCTTGCCTGAATCTGATAAGGGCTCCCAGAAGTGAGCTGGTAAGGTCGGGACCCAGAAGCAGTTGACAGTTAAGTGATGTTCCTTTAAAGACTGCACCACAGTCAAAGACAACTCTTAATGTGCCTTTTTTAGAGTGATGCACATCATGATGTGGGATATACCAGTTTTTCATCACTTCGATTCAGCTCATCCACTGGCACCAATTCATAGCCACTGTTAGTCATATCTGTGAGGAAGGATGTGTATGTATCATGGAACTTTTCATTTCTGTTGAACTTGCGTTTCAGGCTCTGGATGTGTTGCTCTGCAATACAGCAGTTGTTCGGCATGATGGGATCTTCTTCTTTGAAAGGTAAGTTTAAACTGTAATGTCCATCTTTAATCTTTGCTGAGTGGTTTACAATATCAAGGAATTTGACCTCTTCTCTTGTTATTTCTTCGTTTCCTTACTGGCTCTTTCAATGAAATCCTGATTGTACTGTTTGACAAGTAACTCCTCTAGGTTCAGAATAGATATTCTATCGACAGCAGCAGCAGGGCAGCCACTCTCATCCCTGATGGTGCCGTCTCCTCTTAAGGGACCATAAATGACCCACCCCAATAGGGTCCTCACAGCGTATGGTCCATCCTCCTGGCTATTGACCACCTCCCAGGGTTCCAATAACTTTGAGGCGTTTGTGCCAATGAGGAGGTTAATGCCAGAGTCTATTTCAGGTATTGCAATATGGTTCAGGTAAGGCCATTGTGACAAGTCTTTTTGTTTTGGAATATTGTGTTGCGAAATGGGCATGGTTTTATGAGTGAACACATCCGGCAGTGGTGTGAAGTTGTTTGTGTCCATCCTGGCAATTTCTAGACCGGAGATATGGTGACTGGTTTCAGGCTTGACTTGATTCATAGTTCTGAGGAGAATGTTTGTTTTTTGTCCAGGAATGTGCAGCCTTCTCATTAAACTTTCTGTGCAGAATGTGGATGTGCTTCCGTGGTCCAAAAAGGCATAGGTGTGCAATACTGTGTCTCCCTTGTGGCTCTTTACTTGAACTGGCACAATGGAAAAGATGGAGGTTTCCTCGCCGGCCCCAATATGACCACAGGTGTGAGGTGAGATGACAGCATTGTTTCCAATTGATTTCTGATGTGTCTATTCTGTTTGTTCAATGTGGATTATATCAGGATGTTTCTGTTTGCATACATTACATGTTAAATGACTTTTGCAGTCTCTGCTTAAGTGTCCTCCTTTCAAACAGCCAAAACAGACTCCCTTTGCCTTTAAGAAGTCTATCTTATCTCTGTGTTTTTCCTTTTTCATCTGTGGACACCACTCCAATGTGTGCCCACTTTTATTGCAGAACAGACATAACCTGTATGAACCTTTTTCCACTCCACTTGACACTGGTGCTGTTTCAATGGTGCTTAGTGCTGTTGCAAAACTGCTTCTTGGACTTGACCTTTCCTTTGGTTTAATGATGGTTGATACTTTACCGTCGGTGTCAGAGATGTGGTGCTCGTCAGAGCTCGACTCCTTCTGGATCACAAATGTTGATCATCAGTTGGATTGTTTCTTCAGAAACCCCCAAAAATCTCTGAATGACCCGCTGATACATCCACCGATAACCCTGCAGATGACCAGCTTCAGTCATTTCCCCCTCCACAAAAGCAGCTTTATGACTTTATTTACTTTGACTTTATTCTCCTAAATTTACAACTTTAATCTCTTAAAAAGAAAAAACCCTCAATGTTGTCCTGATACTTTGCTGTACTTTTGTCAACTTTCTTATTTCTAATGTTTTTGATTGTTGTAGCAGAGCGGATCAGTTCGTCTCTAAATCTATAATGTTTGGTTTACAGATTTTAGTGAGTTCAGAGATCATGCGCTCAGAGTTGACTGTCTTTTTTTGGATTTTTTTTTTAATTTTCTTTGAAGACGCGCTGCGTCTCCAAGCGAGTCCAGCCTCTCACCCAAAATGTGCAGCTGTGCAGTGGCACACAAAGAATTCTGGGATACCAACAGCACGAAAGCGTGTATAAATCCACGCTTGAAAAATGCTAAGCGCGCTTCGCATTTCTTAGCATTTTGTGCCAAATGGGACACCGTTTGCGCTGCGTGATGACATCATGCACGCTTCAAATGCACCGTTTGGCGCCGTTCGACGATGCAGTCTCTGAAATGGGACACAGCCTGTATATAGAATGGACAGAGTTTTCCTCCTCGCTGGGTGAAGCCACTCCGAGAACAGCACCCTCTGTTGATGGGCTGCAGTATAGGTCATAAATCCCGCCTCCGCCAGCAAAGCTTATGGGGCTGTGGACAAACTTTAGAAATTTATTACATAGAGCATACATTTTTCTCCCCCCTGCTTGTGATGTTGACATGTAGTTATTGTAAGACTGGTTTGTGCTCAAGTCCTCTTTTCTGTGAAGCTCTGTTTTTAGGGCCCGAGCGTAGCTGCTAAGCAGCTGCGAGAGCCCTATTATTCCTGATGGATTCTTCTTTCTTCTTTAGGGCCCGAGCGTAGCTGCTAAGCAGCTGCGAGAGCCCTCTTGTTCCTGCATGTTTCCTTCTTTCGTTATTATTTTTCCTCCGCTTTAAACTGGAAAATGGCCCACTTCCCACTGGCGAAAACTCAGGAAATTTGGCAGGACGACCGGGCCTGGTGAAAAATTCGATATTCTGAAGTCGCCCAAACAGTAAAATGCAAAATGGCTCCATAGCGCCCCCTAAGGTGAAAATTCACATGACGGCTGTACGCTTTGTCATATTGACACAAAAATTGACACACACATGTATCTCAATAAGATCTACAAAAAAGTCAGTGCGGGCGTATCTGTCAAATGTACGGTTAATGGGTTATTTTGCATTTTTTGCAGATCTGCACACATTGGAATTTCGCTAACTCCTCCGAAGGCTTTCGTTCGACCGGCACCACATTTGCGCAGGCCAATCTACCCCCCATGGCCATTAAAAGTTGTACAAATCATGACGCTGCACCCCACGGTTTACGTTCTAGGGGGCGCCAAAGATAACCCAAAATCCACATTCTTAAAAGTCTTATAACTTTTTATTTTTGTCCTCACTGCCCTCCAAGTTTTCTAGGATGATGCAATGTCCAGCTATCAACACATTTGTGAAGGAATTTTTACTCCCCAAAAGAGCGCCCCCCCATGGCAGGAGAAAAAAGTCAATTTTTTCTTGTCCCCTTACATGAAAATACACATTGTTGAGTGTCACGCCTGAACGCTTTGTCATATTGACACAAAAATTGACAATCATGTGTATCTCAATTAGATCTACGAAAAAGTCAAAAAGCGCGTATCTGTATAATGTACGGTTAAAGGGCCATTTCGCATTTTTTGCCGATTCGCACACATTGGAATGTGGCTATCTCCTCCTAAGGCTTTCGTCCCACCGATACCAAATTTGCTCAGGGCAATCTAGACCCCATGGCCATTCAAAGTTGTAAAAATCATGACGCTGCACCCCACGGTTTACGTTCTAGGGGGCGCCAAAGATGACCCAAAAATCCACATTCTTAAAAGTCATTTTGGCCACTGCAGGAGTACAGAGTACTGCAGTTCTAGGGGGCGCCAAAGATGACCCAAAAATCCACATTCTTAAAAGTCTTTTTGGCCACTGCAGGAGTACAGAGTACTGCAGGATACACACACATATATACACACACACACACACACACACACACACACACACACACACACACACACACACACTCAGAGTCTGTTTTTTAGCACCTGCAAAAACATGCTGTTTACATATTTGACAAGAATGCAGAGGCTTCCTTTTGCCCCTGAAAAAAATCAGATTTCAAACACAACTTGACTGTTCATTTCTCCAAAAGACAACCATGAAGCTCCATCCAAACCTGAAGCAGATAGTTGGTGCATGTGTACAGTAACCTGAGGGGAGTGAGGTGACTATTTCTGAGGAGAACATGAGCAGTGAAGATTCACCTTGGAGCTAGAACAGGGACGTGCACATGATTATACAGGGGCAGGGGCTCAAGTTTTTTCCAGTCATTTATACAATATGGAAATTAATGTGAAATTAAACCACAAATATGTGTGATGAACTGTTTTTAAAACTTAAACTTCAAATAAAAATTGTAAACTTCAAAACATATGCAAATTTTTAACATAGAACATAGTAATTTACCTCTATTTACATCAAAATGCAGGCAATGGCCCAGGCGTTCTTTGTAAAATTATTTACAAAACACTGTATAGTCTCACAAATGTCACTTTTTATTTATGCCACTACAAAAAAACATGATGTAAATGATGCATGATGTAAAACATGATGTAAAAAACTTGTGTAGATCCTCCTCTATGTCAGTCCATGTGTAATTTTTCCATAATTCTTTGTTTTTTGCAGCATTTTTGTTAGTGTAACTGCGGATTGTGCTGACAGTCTATGGCAAAAAAAAAAACACTGAAAATGCCTCAACATGAACCCCTGGTGGTCTCTGAGGGTGAAACCTGCTAACTGCTGCAGCTCTGTCAGCTTCAGTCTCCCATGCAGAGCTCGGAGCGCATGTGTGGCTCTGCACCCTTAGCAGCGTTGCTAACTCCTCAGTAAGGAAAGCCTGCTTCATGTCAGAGTCTCTAAACTCCAGAAGAAGTCGATAAAAGTCCCTTTCTTTCTAAAAAAAGTCGTTAGGGGGTCTGAAAAGTCATTGAATCTAACAACAAAGTCGCTAGGTTTGCAACTACGTGTCCCAGACTGCATCCCTGCTGAGAGTCCCTCCCTCCCTTCTCATGTTGCAGGAAGAACGTAAGCGCCCGCCCCTTGTCAATCAGTCACCATATAATTTTGGATTGGTTGTTGTGGTGAAGTTTTCCACCAATAGGAGAGATGTTGTGGTGTGTTTTTTTTTCTTTTGGCAAGCCTTTTCCGCCTGTAAGACCTGTCGCTAATGTGTGCATGCTATGTTTTCCTGTCTCATACAGCGCGATCGAGCGCCGAACGTGATCAAAATAAGCAGAAAAAAAGTATCGCGGACATAATTTATCATAACTCTGGTTTTATTTGGCCTATCAACACAATTTAAAAACTGGTATATAGGTTGAGGTCCTCACTTTTGAGATAAGTTGAAACGGAGAGGTAACGAGGCTCCGTCTTGCAGCTACATCCGGTTAAATATGTCATGTGACTTGAACGCTGGGGAGCGTCAATCGAATCGAATCAAACCTAACTCTCAGATGAATCTTCAAAATTCACCTCAGAAATATGCTTATTATTCTTTTCAGAGTACTGCAGGTACACACACACACACACACAGACACACACACACACACACACACGCACACACACACACACACACACACACTCAGAGTCTGTTTTTTAGCACCTGCAAAAACATGCTATTTACATATTTGACAAGAATGCAGAGGCTTCCTTTTGCCCCTGAAAAAAATCAAATTTCAAACACAACTTGACTGCTCATTTCTCCAAAAGACAACCATGAATCCAAACCTGAAGCAGGCAGTTGGTGCATGTGTACAGTAACCTGAGGGGAGTGAGGTGACTGCTTCTGAGGAGAACATGAGCAGTGAAGATTCACCTTGGAGCTAGAACAGGGACGTGCACATGATTATACAGGGGCAGGGGCTCAAGTTTTTTCCAGTCGTTTATACAATAAGGAAATTAATGTGAAATTAAAAAACAAAGTATGACTGTCCTGTGTAGGTGACAGTGATATCCAATAGGCTAGGCACTCACGAGGCTGGCTGTGGCAAGTGTAAGTGAAAGCAACACGCACTGGCAGGAAGAACAGCAAACGCCGATGAAGGAAAAGGGTCTTTGCAGTGATGGGCGTTACCAGAGAGGGCGATGGCCAGAGGACGCGAATGGGACGGGGAGGCAGCGCGTTGGGGGGGGGGGGGTGCGACACGGCTCGGGCCCGCCAGTGCCCCAACGGGGCCCTAGTCTTCTTCTTATTATTTTTCTGCCCCTTTGAACTGGAAAATGGCCCACTTCCCACTGGTGAAAAGTCATGAAATTTGGCAGGACGACCGGGCCTGGTGAAAAATTCGATATTCTGAAGTCGCCCAAAAAATCAAATGCAAAATGGCTCCATAGCGCCCCCTAAGGTGAAAAATTCACATGATTGAGTGTCACGCCTGTACGCTTTGTCAAAATGACACAAAATTTGACACACACGTGTATCTCAATAAGATCTACAAAAAAGTCAGTGCGGGCGTATCTGTCAAATGTACGGTTAAAGGGCTATTTCGCATTTTTTGCCGATCCGCACACATTGGAATTTCGCTAACTCCTCCGAAGGCTTTCGTTCCACCGGCACCAAATTTGCTCAGGCCAATCTACACCCCATGGCCATTAAAAGTTGTACAAATCATGACGCTGCATCCCACGGTTTACGTTCTAGGGGGCGCCAAAGATAACCCAGAAATCCACATTCTTAAAAGTCGTATAACTTTTTTTTTTTGTCCTCACTGGCCTCCAAGTTTTCTAGGATGATGCAATGTCCAGCCATCAACACATTTGTGAAGGAATTTTTACTCCCCAAAAGAGCGCCCCCCCATGGCAGGAGAAAAAAGTCCATTTTTTCTTGTCTCCTAAGGCGAAAATTCACACTATTGACTGTCACGTCTTTACGCTTTGTCATATTGACACAAAAATTGACACACACATGTATCTCAATAAGATCTACAAAAAAGTCAGTGCGGGCGTATCTGTCAAATGTACAGTGAAAGGGCTATTTCGCATTTTTTGCCGATCCGCACACATTGGAATTTCGCTAACTCCTCCGAAGGCTTTCGTTCCAAAGGCACCACATTTGCTGAGGCCAATCTACACCCCATGGCCATTAAAAGTTGTACAAATCATGACGCTGCACCCCACGGTTTACGTTCTAGGGGGCGCCAAAGATAACCCAAAAATCCACAGTCTTAAAAGTCTTATAACTTTTTATTTTTGTCCTCACTGGCCTCCAAGTTCACTAGGATGATGCAATGTCCAGCCATCAACACATTTGTGAAGGAATTTTTACTCGCCAAAAGAGCGCCCCCCCATGGCAGGAGAAAAAAGTCCATTTTTTCTTGTCTCCTAAGGCGAAAATACACATTGTTGACTGTCACGCCTTTACGCTTTGTCAAAATGACACAAAATTTGACACACACATGTATCTCAATAAGATCTACAAAAAAGTCAGTGCGGGCGTATCTGTCAAATGTACGGTTAAAGGGTTATTTCGCATTTTTTGCCGATCCGCACACATTGGAATTTCGCTAACTCCTCCGAAGGCTTTCGTTCCACCGGCACCACATTTGCTCAGGCCAATCTACACCCCATGGCCATTAAAAGTTGTACAAATCATGACGCTGCACCCCACAGTTTACGTTCTAGGGGGCGCCAAAGAGGACCCAAATATCCACATTTTTAAAAGTCTTATAACTTTTTATTTTTGTCCTCACTGGCCTCCAAGTTTTCTAGGATGATGCAATGTCCAGCCATCAACACATTTGTGAAGGAATTTTTTCTCACCAAAAGAGCGCCCCCCCATGGCAGGAGAAAAAGTCAAGTTTTTCCTGCCCATCGCTCAATGGCTCAAACGCATCGCTCTCTCTGCAAAACTGAAAGGAGGAGCAACTTGCCATTTGGATATATACTAGCTGTGTTTGTGCCCTCACTCATGGTCCAGACTTTTTTCAAATAGGACATGTAGTTTGTCTGCAGCGAGCGTTTTGGTAGAAACTGCGCCTCCCATTCATTATAATGGGAAATGACCACAGACAAGTGCGCACACCATCTTTGGACCTTGAGTGTGACGCGATCGGGAGGGGGAGGCGGTCGCGCTGGGGGCGGCGCGACGCGGCTCGGGCCCGACAGTGCCCCACCGGGGCCCTAGTTATTTTTCCTCCCCTTTGAACTGGAAAATGGCCCACTTCCCACTGGCGAAAACTCATGAAATTTGGCAGGACGACCGGGCCTGGTGAAAAATTTGATATTCCGATGTCGCCCAAACAAGAAAATGCAAAATGGCTCCATAGCGCCCCCTAAGGTGAAAATTCACACTATTCACTGTCACGCCGGTACGCTTTGTCAAAATGACACAAAAATTGACACACACATGTATCTCAATAAGATCTACAAAAAAGTCAGTGCGGGCGTATCTGTCAAATGTACGGTTAAAGGGTTATTTCGCATTTTTTGCCGATCCGCACACATTGGAATTTCGCTAACTCCTCCGAAGGCTTTCGTTCCACCGGCACCACATTTGCTCAGGCCAATCTACACCCCATGGCCATTAAAAGTTATTCAAATCATGACGCTGCACCCCACGGTTTCGGTTCTAGGGGGCGCCAAAGATAACCCTAAGATCCACATATTTAAAAGTCTTATAACTTTTTATTTTTGCCCTCACTGGCCTCCAAGTTTTCTAGGATGATGCAATGTCCAGCCATCAACACATTTGTGAAGGAATTTTTACTCCCCAAAAGAGCGCCCCCCCATGGCAGGAGAAAAAAGTCCATTTTTTCTTGTCCCCTAAGGTGAAAATACACATTGTTGAGTGTAACACCTGTACGCTTTGGCAAAATGACACAAAAATTGACACACACATGTATCTCAATAAGATCTACGAAAAAGTCAATGCGCGCGTATCTGTCAAATGTACGGTTAAAGGGTTATTCCGCATTTTTTGCCGATCCGCACACATTGGAATTTCGCTAACTCCTCCGAAGGCTTTCGTTCCACCGGCACCACATTTGCTCAGGCCAATCTACACCCCATGGCCATTAAAAGTTATTCAAATCATGACGCTGCACCCCACGGTTTAGGTTCTAGGGGGAGCCAAAGATAACCGTAAAATCCACATATTTAAAAGTCTTATAACTTTTTATTTTTGTCCCCACTGGCCTCCAAGATTTCTAGGATGATGCAATGTCCAGCCATCAACACATTTGTGAAGGAATTTTTACTCGGCAAAAGAGCGCCCCCCCATGGCAGGAGAAAAAAGTCCATTTTTTCTTGTCCACTAAGGTGAAAATACACATTGTTGAGTGCTACGCCTGTATGTTTTGTCGTATTGACACAAAATTTTACATACACGTGTATTTACATAAGATCTTCGAAAAAGTCAATGGCCACGTATCTGTAAAATGTACGGTTACAGGGTTATTTCGCATTTTTTGCAGATTCGCACACATTGGAATTTCGCTAATTCCTCCGAAGGCTTTCGTTCCACCGGCACCACATTTGCTCAGGCCAATCTACACCCCATGGCCATTAAAAGTTATTCAAATCATGACGCTGCACCCCACGGTTTAGGTTCTAGGGGGCGCCAAATATAACCCTAAAATCCACATATTTAAAAGTCTTATAACTTTTTATTTTTGTCCTCACTGGCCTCCATGTTTTCTAGGATGATGCAATGTCCAGCCATCAACACATTTGTGAAGGAGTTTTTTCTCTTTAAAAGAGCGCCCCCCCATGGCAGGAGAATAAAGTCAAGTTTTTCCTGTTCATCATTCAATGGCTCAAACGCACTGCTCTCTCGGCAAAAGCGAAAGGAGGAGCAACTTGCCATTTGGATATATCTTAGCTGTGTTTGTGCCCTCACTCATGGTCCAGACTTTTTTCAAATAGGACATGGAGTTTTTCTGCAGCGAGCGTTTTGGTAGAAACTGCGCCTCCCGTTCATTATAATGGTAAATGACCACAAACAAGTGCGCACACCATCTTTGGACCTTGAGTGTGACGCGATCGGGTGGGGGAGGCGGTCGCGCTGGGGGCGGCGTGACACGGCTCGGGCCCGCCAGTGCCCCAACGGGGCCCTAGTTAGGGCCCGAGCCAGCTGCAGAGCAGCCGGGCGTAGGCCCTATTATTCCCCAAGTGGTTTTTTAGGGCCCGAGCGTAGCTGCTAAGCAGCTGCGAGAGCCCTCTTGTTCCTGCATGTTTCCTTCTTTAGGGCCCGAGCCAGCTGCAGAGCAGCCGGGCGTAGGCCCTATTATTCCCCAAGTGGTTTTTCTTTGTTTCTTTCTTTAGGGCCCGAGCCAGCTGCAGAGCAGCCGGGCGTAGGCCCTATTATTCCCCAAGTGGTTTTTCTTTGTTTCTTTGTTTCTTTCTTTCTTTCTTTCTTTCTTCTTTTTCCTCCCCTTTGAACTGGAAAATGGCCCACTTCCCACTGGCGAAAACTCATGAAATTTGGCAGGACGACCGGGCCTGGTGAAAAATTCGATATTCTGAAGTCGCCCAAACAAGAAAATGCAAAATGGCTCCATAGCGCCCCCTAAGGTGGAAATTCACACTATTGACTGTCACGCCTGTACGCTTTGTCATATTGACACAAAAATTGACACACATATGTATCTCAATAAGATCTACAAAAAAGTCAGTGCGGCCGTATCTGTCAAAATTACGGTTAAAGGGTTATTTCGCATTTTTTGCCGATCCGCACACATTGGAATTTCGCTAACTCCTCCGAAGGCTTTCATTCCACCGGCACCACATTTGCTCAGGCCAATCTACACCCCGTGGCCATTAAAAGTTATCAAAATCATGACGCTGCACCCCAAGGTTTAGGTTCTAGGGGGCGCCAAAGATAACACTAAAATCCACATATTTAAAAGTCTTATAACTTTTTATTTTTGTCCTCACTGGCCTCCAAGTTTTCTAGGATGATGCAATGTCCAGCCATCAACACATTTGTGAAGGAATTTTTACTCCCCAAAAGAGCGCCCCCCCATGGCAGGAGAAAAAAGTCAATTTTTTCTTGTCCCCTAAGGTGAAAATACACATTGTTGAGTGTAACACCTGTACGCTTTGTCAAAATGACACAAAAATTGACACGCGCATGTAACTCAATAAGATCTACGAAAAAGTCAATGCGCGCGTATCTGTCAAATGTACGGTTAAAGGGTTATTCCGCATTTTTTGCCGATCCGCACACATTGGAATGTGGCTAACTCCTCCTAAGGCTTTCGTTCCACCGGCACCACATTTGCTCAGGCCAATCTACACCCCATGGCCATTAAAAGTTATTCAAATCATGACACTGCACCCCACGGTTTAGGTTCTAGGGGGCGCCAAAGATAACCCTAAAATCCACATATTTAAAAGTCTTATAACTTTTTATTTTTGTCCTCACTGGCCTCCAAGTTTTCTAGGATGATGCAATGTCCAGCCATCAACACATTTGTGAAGGAATTTTTACTCCCCAAAAGAGCGCCCCCCATGGCAGGAGAAAAAAGTCCATTTTTTCTTGTCCCCTAAGGTGAAAATACATATTGTTGAGATTCACGCCTATACGCTTTGTCATATTGACACAAAATTTGACAATCACGTGCCTTGCCTGGTATCATTTTTTTCAGCACAACCTCACCTGTGCGAATTTACAGTTATTTTATCATGTTGACATACTGAATTTACACAATGGACCCAAATTCACACACAAAACATAAAATCCGAGTGGAAAAAAGTAACATTTTTACTGTGAAAACCACAAATATGTGTGATGAACTGTTTTTAAAACTTAAACTTCAAATAAAAATTGTAAACTTCAAAACATATGCAAATTTTTAACAAAGAACATAGTGATTTACCTCTATTTTCATCAAAATGCAGGCAATGGCCCAGGCGTTCTTTGTAAAATTATTTACAAAACACTGTATAGTCTCACAAATGTCACTTTTTATTTATGCCACTACAAAAAAACATGATGTAAATGATGCATGATGTAAAACATGATGTAAAAAACTTGTGTAGATCCTCCTCTATGTCAGTCCATGTGTAATTTTTCCATAATTCTTTGTTTTTTGCAGCATTTTTGTTAGTGTAACTGCAGATTGTGCTGACAGTGTCTATGGCACAAAAAAAAAAAAAATTTAAAATGCCTCAACATGAACCCCTGGTGGTCTCTGAGGGTGAAACCTGCTAACTGCTGCAGCTCTGTCAGCTTCAGTCTCCCATGCAGAGCTCGGAGCGCATGTGTGGCTCTGCACCCTAAGCAGTGTTGCTAACTCCTCAGTAAGGAAAGCCTGCTTCATGTCAGAGTCTCTAAACTCCAGAAGAAGTCGATAAAAGTCACTTTCTTTCTAAAAAAAAGTCGTTAGGGGGTCTGAAAAGTCATTGAATCTAACAACAAAGTCGCTAGGTTTGCAACTACGTGTCCCAGACTGCATCCCTGCTGAGAGTCCCTCCCTCCCTTCTCATATTGCAGGAAGAACGTAAGTTCCCGCCCCTTGTCAATCAGTCACCATATAATTTTGGATTGGTTGTTGTGGTGAAGTTTTCCACCAATAGGAGAGATGTTGTGGTGTGTTTTTTTTTTCCTTTGGCAAGCCTTTTCCGCCTGTAAGACCTGTCGCTAATGTCTGCATGCTATGTTTTCCTGTCTCATACAGCGCGATCGAGCGCCGAACGTGATCAAAATAAGCAGAAAACAAGTATCGCGGACATAATTTATCATAACTCTGGTTTTATTTGGCCTATCAACACAATTTAAAAACTGGTATATAGGTTGAGGTCCTCACTTTTGAGATAAATTGAAACGGAGAGTCAACGAGGCTCCGTCTTGCAGCTACATCCGGTTAAATATGTCATGTGACTTGAACGCGCACACACACACACACACACACACACAGACACACACACACACGCACACACACACACTCAGAGTCTGGTTTTTAGCACCTGCAAAAACATGCTATTTACATATTTGACAAGAATGCAGAGGCTCCTTTTGCCCCTGAAAAAAATCAAAATTCAAACACAACTTGACTGGTCATTTCTCCAAAAGACAACCATGAAGCTCCATCCAAACCTGAAGCAGGCAGTTGGTGCATGTGTACAGTAACCTGAGGGGAGTGAGGTGACTGCTTCTGAGGAGAACATGAGCAGTGAAGATTCACCTTAGAGCTAGAACAGAGACGTGCACATGATTATACAGGGGCAGGGGCTCAAGTTTTTTCCAGTCGTTTATACAATATGGAAATTAATGTGAAATTAAAAAACAAAGTATTAATAGAAAGGTAATGACTGTCCTGTGTAGGTGACAGTGATATCCAATAGGCTAGGCACTCACGAGGCTGGCTGTGGCAAGTGTAAGTGAAAGCAACACGCACTGGCAGGAAGAACAGCAAACGCCGATGAAGGAAAAGGGTCTTTGCAGTGATGGGCGTTACCAGAGAGGGCGACGGCCAGAGGACGCGAATGGGACGGGGAGGCAGCGCGTTGGGGGGGGGACGCGACACAGCTCGGGCCCGCCAGTGCCCCAACGGGGTCCTAGTTAGGGCCCGAGCGTAGCTGCTAAGCAGCTGCGAGAGCCCTATTATTCCCCAAGGGGTTTTTCTTTGTTTCTTTCTTTCTTTCTTTCTTCTTTTTCCTCCCCTTTGAACTGGAAAATGGCCCACTTCCCACTGGCGAAAACTCAGGAAATTTGGCAGGACGACCGGGCCTGGTGAAAAATTTGATATTCCGAAGTCGCCCAAACAAGAAAATGCAAAATGGCTCCATAGCGCCCCCTAAGGTGAAAATTCACACTATTGACTGTCACGCCTGTACGCTTTGTCAAAATGACACAAAAATTGACACACACATGTATCTCAATAAGATCTACAAAAAAGTCAGTGCGGGCGTATCTGTCAAATGTACGGTTAAAGGGTTATTTCGCATTTTTTGCCGATCCGCACACATTGGAATTTCGCTAACTCCTCCGAAGGCTTTCGTTCCACCGGCACCACATTTGCTCAGGCCAATCTACACCCCATGGCCATTAAAAGTTATTCAAATCATGACGCTGCACCCCACGGTTTAGGTTCTAGGGGGCGCCAAAGATAACCCTAAGATCCACATATTTAAAAGTCTTATAACTTTTTATTTTTGCCCTCACTGGCCTCCAAGTTTTCTAGGATGATGCAATGTCCAGCCATCAACACATTTGTGAAGGAATTTTTACTCCCCAAAAGAGCGCCCCCCCATGGCAGGAGAAAAAAGTCCATTTTTTCTTGTCCCCTAAGGTGAAAATACACATTGTTGAGTGTAACACCTGTACGCTTTGGCAAAATGACACAAAAATTGACACACACATGTATCTCAATAAGATCTACGAAAAAGTCAATGCGCGCGTATCTGTCAAATGTACGGTTAAAGGGTTATTCCGCATTTTTTGCCGATCCGCACACATTGGAATTTCGCTAACTCCTCCGAAGGCTTTCGTTCCACCGGCACCACATTTGCTCAGGCCAATCTACACCCCATGGCCATTAAAAGTTGTACAAATCATGATGCTGCACCCCACGGTTTACGTTCTAGGGGGCGCCAAAGATAACCCAAAAATCCACAGTCTTAAAAGTCTTATAACTTTTTATTTTTGTCCTCACTGGCCTCCAAGTTCTCTAGGATGATGCAATGTCCAGCCATCAACACATTTGTGAAGGAATTTTTACTCGCCAAAAGAGCCCCCCCCCATGGCAGGAGAAAAAAGTCCATTTTTTCTTGTCTCCTAAGGCGAAAATACACATTGTTGACTGTCACGCCTTTACGCTTTGTCAAAATGACACAAAATTTGACACACACATGTATCTCAATAAGATCTACAAAAAAGTCAGTGCGGGCGTATCTGTCAAATGTACGGTTAAAGGGTTATTTCGCATTTTTTGCCGATCCGCACACATTGGAATTTCGCTAACTCCTCCTAAATCTTTTGTCCCATCGGCTTCAAATTTGCTCAGGTCAATCTACACCCCATGGCCATTCAAAGTTGTACAAATCATGACGCTGCACCCCACAGTTTACGTTCTAGGGGGCGCCAAAGAGGACCCAAATATCCACATTTTTAAAAGTCTTATAACTTTTTATTTTTGTCCTCACTGGCCTCCAAGTTTTCTAGGATGATGCAATGTCCAGCCATCAACACATTTGTGAAGGAATTTTTCTCCCCAAAAGAGCGCCCCCCATGGCAGGAGAAAAAGTCAAGTTTTTCCTGCCCATCGCTCAATGGCTCAAACGCATCGCTCTCTCTGCAAAACCGAAAGGAGGAGCAACTTGCCATTTGGATATATACTAGCTGTGTTTGTGCCCTCACTCATGGTCCAGACTTTTTTCAAATAGGACATGTAGTTTGTCTGCAGCAAGCGTTTTGGTAGAAACTGCGCCTCCCATTCATTATAATGGGAAATGACCACAGACAAGTGCGCACACCATCTTTGGACCTTGAGTGTGACGCGATCGGGAGGGGGAGGCGGTCGCGCTGGGGGCGGCGCGACGCGGCTCGGGCCCGACAGTGCCCCACCGGGGCCCTAGTTAGGGCCCGAGCGTAGCTGCTAAGCAGCTGCGAGAGCCCTATTATTCCCCAAGTGGTTTTTCTTTGTTTCTTTCTTTCTTTCTTTCTTTCTTTCTTCTTTTTCCTCCCCTTTGAACTGGAAAATGGCCCACTTCCCACTGGCGAAAACTCATGAAATTTGGCAGGACGACCGGGCCTGGTGAAAAATTCGATATTCTGAAGTCGCCCAAACAATAAAATGCAAAATGGCTCCATAGCGCCCCCTAAGGTGGAAATTCACACTATTGACTGTCACGCCTGTACGCTTTGTCATATTGACACTAAAATTGACACACATATGTATCTTAATAAGATCTACAAAAAAGTCAGTGCGGCCGTATCTGTCAAAATTACGGTTAAAGGGTTATTTCGCATTTTTTGCCGATCCGCACACATTGGAATTTCGCTAACTCCTCCGAAGGCTTTCGTTCCACCGGCACCACATTTGCTCAGGCCAATCTACACCCCATGGCCATTAAAAGTTGTACAAATCATGATGCTGCACCCCACGGTTTACGTTCTAGGGGGCGCCAAAGATAACCCAAAAATCCACAGTCTTAAAAGTCTTATAACTTTTTATTTTTGTCCTCACTGGCCTCCAAGTTCTCTAGGATGATGCAATGTCCAGCCATCAACACATTTGTGAAGGAATTTTTACTCGCCAAAAGAGCGCCCCCCCCCATGGCAGGAGAAAAAAGTCCATTTTTTCTTGTCTCCTAAGGCGAAAATACACATTGTTGACTGTCACGCCTTTACGCTTTGTCAAAATGACACAAAATTTGACACACACATGTATCTCAATAAGATCTACAAAAAAGTCAGTGCGGGCGTATCTGTCAAATGTACGGTTAAAGGGTTATTTCGCATTTTTTGCCGATCCGCACACATTGGAATTTCGCTAACTCCTCCTAAATCTTTTGTCCCATCGGCTTCAAATTTGCTCAGGTCAATCTACACCCCATGGCCATTCAAAGTTGTACAAATCATGATGCTGCACCCCACAGTTTACGTTCTAGGGGGCGCCAAAGAGGACCCAAATATCCACATTTTTAAAAGTCTTATAACTTTTTATTTTTGTCCTCACTGGCCTCCAAGTTTTCTAGGATGATGCAATGTCCAGCCATCAACACATTTGTGAAGGAATTTTTTCTCCCCAAAAGAGCGCCCCCCCATGGCAGGAGAAAAAGTCAAGTTTTTCCTGCCCATCGCTCAATGGCTCAAACGCATCGCTCTCTCTGCAAAACCGAAAGGAGGAGCAACTTGCCATTTGGATATATACTAGCTGTGTTTGTGCCCTCACTCATGGTCCAGACTTTTTTCAAATAGGACATGTAGTTTGTCTGCAGCAAGCGTTTTGGTAGAAACTGCGCCTCCCATTCATTATAATGGGAAATGACCACAGACAAGTGCGCACACCATCTTTGGACCTTGAGTGTGACGCGATCGGGAGGGGGAGGCGGTCGCGCTGGGGGCGGCGCGACGCGGCTCGGGCCCGACAGTGCCCCACCGGGGCCCTAGTTAGGGCCCGAGCGTAGCTGCTAAGCAGCTGCGAGAGCCCTATTATTCCCCAAGTGGTTTTTCTTTGTTTCTTTCTTTCTTTAGGGCCCGAGCCAGCTGCAGAGCAGCCGGGCGTAGGCCCTATTATTCCCCAAGTGGTTTTTCTTTGTTTCTTTCTTTCTTTCTTTCTTTCTTTCTTTCTTTCTTCTTTTTCCTCCCCTTTGAACTGGAAAATGGCCCACTTCCCACTGGCGAAAACTCATGAAATTTGGCAGGACGACCGGGCCTGGTGAAAAATTCGATATTCTGAAGTCGCCCAAACAATAAAATGCAAAATGGCTCCATAGCGCCCCCTAAGGTGGAAATTCACACTATTGACTGTCACGCCTGTACGCTTTGTCATATTGACACAAAAATTGACACACATATGTATCTCAATAAGATCTACAAAAAAGTCAGTGCGGCCGTATCTGTCAAAATTACGGTTAAAGGGTTATTTCGCATTTTGTGCCGATCCGCACACATTGGAATTTCGCTAACTCCTCCGAAGGCTTTCGTTCCACCGGCACCACATTTGCTCAGGCCAATCTACACCCCGTGGCCATTAAAAGTTATCAAAATCATGACGCTGCACCCCAAGGTTTAGGTTCTAGGGGGCGCCAAAGATAACACTAAAATCCACATATTTAAAAGTCTTATAACTTTTTATTTTTGTCCTCACTGGCCTCCAAGTTTTCTAGGATGATGCAATGTCCAGCCATCAACACATTTGTGAAGGAATTTTTACTCCCCAAAAGAGCGCCCCCCCATGGCAGGAGAAAAAAGTCCATTTTTTCTTTTCCCCTAAGGTGAAAATACACATTGTTGAGTGTAACACCTGTACGCTTTGGCAAAATGACACAAAAATTGACACACACATGTATCTCAATAAGATCTACGAAAAAGTCAATGCGCGCGCATCTGTCAAATGTACGGTTAAAGGGTTATTGCGCATTTTTTGCCGATCCGCACACATTGGAATTTCGCTAACTCCTCCGAAGGCTTTCGTTCCACCGGCACCACATTTGCTCAGGCCAATCTACACCCCATGGCCATTAAAAGTTATTCAAATCATGACGCTGCACCCCACGGTTTAGGTTCTAGGGGGCGCCAAAGATAACCCTAAAATCCACATATTTAAAAGTCTTATAACTTTTTATTTTTGTCCTCTCTGGCCTCCAAGTTTTCTAGGATGATGCAATGTCCAGCCATCAACACATTTGTGAAGGAATTTTTACTCCCCAAAAGAGCGCCCCCCCATGGCAGGAGAAAAAAGTCCATTTTTTCTTGTCCCATAAGGTGAAAATACACATTGTTGACTGTCATACCTGTATGCTTTGTCATATTGACACAAAATTTGACACACACATGTATCTCAATAAGATCTACGAAAAAGTCAATGGGCGCGTATCTGTAAAATGTACGGTTAAAGGGCTATTTTGCATTTTTTGCCGATTAGCACACATTGGAATGTGGCTAACTCCTCCTAAGGCTTTCGTCCCACTGACACCAAATTTGCTCAGGCCAATCTACACCCCATGGCCATTCAAAGTTTTAAAAATCATGACGCTGCACCCCACGGTTTACGTTCTAGGGGGCGCCAAAGATGACCCAAATATCCACATTCTTAAAAGAATCCACATCTCCCCCCCCCCCCCCATCCCCCATCCCCCATCCCCCATCCCCCATGGCAGGAGAAAAAGTCCATTTTTTCCTGCCCATCACTCAATGGCTCAATCGCATCGCTCTCCCGGCAACACCGTAACGAGGAGCAACTTGCCGTTTGGATATATCCTAGCTGTGTTTGTGCCCTCACTCATGGTCCAGACTTTTTTCAAATAGGACATGTAGTTTGTCTGCAGCGAGTGTTTTGGTAGAAACTGCGCCTCCCATTCATTATAATGGGAAATGACCACAGACAAGTGCGCACACCATCTTTGGACCTTGAGTGTGACGCGATCGGGAGGGGGAGGCGGTCGCACTGGGGGCGGCGCAACGCGGCTCGGGCCCGCCAGTGCCCCAACGGGGCCCTAGTTCTTTCTTTCTTTCTTCTTTTTCCTCCCCTTTGAACTGGAAAATGGCCCACTTCCCACTGGCGAAAACTCATGAAATTTGGCAGGACGACCGGGCCTGGTGAAAAATTCGATATTCTGAAGTCGCCCAAACAATAAAATGCAAAATGGCTCCATAGCGCCCCCTAAGGTGGAAATTCACACTATTGACTGTCACGCCTGTACGCTTTGTCATATTGACACTAAAATTGACACACATATGTATCTTAATAAGATCTACAAAAAAGTCAGTGCGGCCGTATCTGTCAAAATTACGGTTAAAGGGTTATTTCGCATTTTTTGCCGATCCGCACACATTGGAATTTCGCTAACTCCTCCGAAGGCTTTCGTTCCACCGGCACCACATTTGCTCAGGCCAATCTACACCCCGTGGCCATTAAAAGTTATCAAAATCATGACGCTGCACCCCAAGGTTTAGGTTCTAGGGGGCGCCAAAGATAACACTAAAATCCACATATTTAAAAGTCTTATAACTTTTTATTTTTGTCCTCACTGGCCTCCAAGTTTTCTAGGATGATGCAATGTCCAGCCATCAACACATTTGTGAAGGAATTTTTACTCCCCAAAAGAGCGCCCCCCATGGCAGAAGAAAAAAGTCCATTTTTTCTTGTCCCCTAAGGTGAAAATACACATTGTTGAGTGTCACGCCTATACGCTTTGTCAAAATGACACAAAAATTGACACACACATGTAACTCAATAAGATCTACGAAAAAGTCAATGCGCGCGTATCTGTCAAATGTACGGTTAAAGGGTTATTCCGCATTTTTTGCCGATCCGCACACATTGGAATGTGGCTAACTCCTCCTAAGGCTTTCGTTCCACCGGCACCACATTTGCTCAGGCCAATCTACACCCCATGGCCATTAAAAGTTATTCAAATCATGACGCTGCACCCCACGGTTTAGGTTCTAGGGGGCGCCAAAGATAACCCTAAAATCCACATATTTAAAAGTCTTATAACTTTTTATTTTTGTCCTCACTGGCCTCCAAGTTTTCTAGGATGATGCAATGTCCAGCCATCAACACATTTGTGAAGGAATTTTTACTCCCCAAAAGAGCGCCCCCCCATGGCAGGAGAAAAAAGTCCATTTTTTCTTGTCCCATAAGGTGAAAATACACATTGTTGACTGTCATACCTGTATGCTTTGTCATATTGACACAAAATTTGACACACACATGTATCTCAATAAGATCTACGAAAAAGTCAATGGGCGCGTATCTGTAAAATGTACGGTTAAAGGGCTATTTTGCATTTTTTGCCGATTAGCACACATTGGAATGTGGCTAACTCCTCCTAAGGCTTTCGTCCCACTGACACCAAATTTGCTCAGGCCAATCTACACCCCATGGCCATTCAAAGTTTTAAAAATCATGACGCTGCACCCCACGGTTTACGTTCTAGGGGGCGCCAAAGATGACCCAAATATCCACATTCTTAAAAGAATCCACATCTCCCCCCCCCCCATCCCCCATCCCCCATCCCCCATCCCCCATGGCAGGAGAAACAGTCAAGTTTTTCCTGCCCATCACTCAATGGCTCAATCGCATCGCTCTCCCGGCAACACCGTAACGAGGAGCAACTTGCCGTTTGGATATATCCTAGCTGTGTTTGTGCCCTCACTCATGGTCCAGACTTTTTTCAAATAGGACATGTAGTTTGTCTGCAGCGAGTGTTTTGGTAGAAACTGCGCCTCCCATTCATTATAATGGGAAATGACCACAGACAAGTGCGCACACCATCTTTGGACCTTGAGTGTGACGCGATCGGGAGGGGGAGGCGGTCGCACTGGGGGCGGCGCAACGCGGCTCGGGCCCGCCAGTGCCCCAACGGGGCCCTAGTTCTTTCTTTCTTTCTTCTTTTTCCTCCCCTTTGAACTGGAAAATGGCCCACTTCCCACTGGCGAAAACTCATGAAATTTGGCAGGACGACCGGGCCTGGTGAAAAATTCGATATTCTGAAGTCGCCCAAACAATAAAATGCAAAATGGCTCCATAGCGCCCCCTAAGGTGGAAATTCACACTATTGACTGTCACGCCTGTACGCTTTGTCATATTGACACTAAAATTGACACACATATGTATCTTAATAAGATCTACAAAAAAGTCAGTGCGGCCGTATCTGTCAAAATTACGGTTAAAGGGTTATTTCGCATTTTTTGCCGATCCGCACACATTGGAATTTCGCTAACTCCTCCGAAGGCTTTCGTTCCACCGGCACCACATTTGCTCAGGCCAATCTACACCCCGTGGCCATTAAAAGTTATCAAAATCATGACGCTGCACCCCAAGGTTTAGGTTCTAGGGGGCGCCAAAGATAACACTAAAATCCACATATTTAAAAGTCTTATAACTTTTTATTTTTGTCCTCACTGGCCTCCAAGTTTTCTAGGATGATGCAATGTCCAGCCATCAACACATTTGTGAAGGAATTTTTACTCCCCAAAAGAGCGCCCCCCATGGCAGAAGAAAAAAGTCCATTTTTTCTTGTCCCCTAAGGTGAAAATACACATTGTTGAGTGTCACGCCTATACGCTTTGTCAAAATGACACAAAAATTGACACACACATGTAACTCAATAAGATCTACGAAAAAGTCAATGCGCGCGTATCTGTCAAATGTACGGTTAAAGGGTTATTCCGCATTTTTTGCCGATCCGCACACATTGGAATGTGGCTAACTCCTCCTAAGGCTTTCGTTCCACCGGCACCACATTTGCTCAGGCCAATCTACACCCCATGGCCATTAAAAGTTATTCAAATCATGACGCTGCACCCCACGGTTTAGGTTCTAGGGGGCGCCAAAGATAACCCTAAAATCCACATATTTAAAAGTCTTATAACTTTTTATTTTTGTCCTCACTGGCCTCCAAGTTTTCTAGGATGATGCAATGTCCAGCCATCAACACATTTGTGAAGGAATTTTTACTCCCCAAAAGAGCGCCCCCCCATGGCAGGAGAAAAAAGTCCATTTTTTCTTGTCCCCTAAGGTGAAAATACATATTGTTGAGATTCACGCCTATACGCTTTGTCATATTGACACAAAATTTGACAATCACGTGCCTTGCCTGGTATCATTTTTTTCAGCACAACCTCACCTGTGCGAATTTACAGTTATTTTATCATGTTGACATACTGAATTTACACAATGGACCCAAATTCACACACAAAACATAAAATCCAAGTGGAAAAAAGTAACATTTTTACTGTGAAAACCACAAATATGTGTGATGAACTGTTTTTAAAACTTAAACTTCAAATAAAAATTGTAAACTTCAAAACATATGCAAATTTTTAACAAAGAACATAGTGATTTACCTCTATTTACATCAAAATGCAGGCAATGGCCCAGGCGTTCTTTGTAAAATTATTTACAAAACACTGTATAGTCTCACAAATGTCACTTTTTATTTATGCCACTACAAAAAAACATGATGTAAATGATGCATGATGTAAAACATGATGTAAAAAACTTGTGTAGATCCTCCTCTATGTCAGTCCATGTGTAATTTTTCCATAATTCTTTGTTTTTTGCAGCATTTTTGTTAGTGTAACTGCAGATTGTGCTGACAGTGTCTATGGCACAAAAAAAAAAAAAATTAAAATGCCTCAACATGAACCCCTGGTGGTCTCTGAGGGTGAAACCTGCTAACTGCTGCAGCTCTGTCAGCTTCAGTCTCCCATGCAGAGCTCTGAGCGCATGTGTGGCTCTGCACCCTTAGCAGCGTTGCTAACTCCTCAGTAAGGAAAGCCTGCTTCATGTCAGAGTCTCTAAACTCCAGAAGAAGTCGATAAAAGTCCCTTTCTTTCTAAAAAAAAGTCGTTAGGGGGTCTGAAAAGTCATTGAATCTAACAACAAAGTCGCTAGGTTTGCAACTACGTGTCCCAGACTGCATCCCTGCTGAGAGTCCCTCCCTCGCTTCTCATGTTGCAGGAAGAACGTAAGCGCCCGCCCCTTGTCAATCAGTCACCATATAATTTTGGATTGGTTGTTGTGGTGAAGTTTTCCACCAATAGGAGAGATGTTGTGGTGTGTTTTTTTTTTCTTTTGGCAAGCCTTTTCCGCCTGTAAGACCTGTCGCTAATGTCTGCATGCTATGTTTTCCTGTCTCATACAGCGCGATCGAGCGCCGAACGTGATCAAAATAAGCAGAAAAAAAGTATCGCGGACATAATTTATCATAACTCTGGTTTTATTTGGCCTATCAACACAATTTAAAAACTGGTATATAGGTTGAGGTCCTCACTTTTGAGATAAGTTGAAACGGAGAGTCAACGAGGCTCCGTCTTGCAGCTACATCCGGTTAAATATGTCATGTGACTTGAACGCACACACAGACACACACACACACACACACACACACACACACACACACACACACACTCAGAGTCTGGTTTTTAGCACCTGCAAAAACATGCTATTTACATATTTGACAAGAATGCAGAGGCTCCTTTTGCCCCTGAAAAAAATCAAATTTCAAACACAACTTGACTGCTCATTTCTCCAAAAGACAACCATGAAGTTCCATCCAAACCTGAAGCAGGCAGTTGGTGCATGTGTACAGTAACCTGAGGGGAGTGAGGTGAGTGCTTCTGAGGAGAACATGAGCAGTGAAGATTCACCTTGGAGCTAGAACAGAGACATGCACATGATTATACAGGGGCAGGGGCTCAAGTTTTTTCCAGTCGTTTATACAATATGGAAATTAATGTGAAATTAAAACACAAAGTATTAATAGAAAGGTAATGACTGTCCTGTGTAGGTGACAGTGATATCCAATAGGCTAGGCACTCACGAGGCTGGCTGTGGCAAGTATAAGTGAAAGCAACACGCACTGGCAGGAAGAACAGCAAACGCCGATGAAGGAAAAGGGTCTTTGCAGTGATGGGCGTTACCAGAGAGGGCGATGGCCAGAGGACACAAATGCGACGGGGAGGCAGCACGTTGGGGGGGGGGACGCGACACGGCTCGGGCCCGCCAGTGCCCCAACGGGGTCCTAGTTAGGGCCCGAGCGTAGCTGCTAAGCAGCTGCGAGAGCCCTCTTGTTCCTGATGGATTCTTCTTTCGTTATTTTTCCTCCGCTTTAAACTGGAAAATGGCCCACTTCCCACTGACGAAAACTCAGGAAATTTGGCAGGACGACCGGGCCTGGTGAAAAATTTGATATTCTTAAGTCGCTCAAACAAAAAAATGAAAAATGGCTCCATAGCGCCCCCTATGGTGAAAACTCACCTGACACCTGTACGCTTTGTCAAAATGACACAAAATTTGACACACATGTGTATCTCAATAAGATCTACAAAAAAGTCAGTGCGGGGGTATCTGTCAAATGTACGGTTAAAGGGCTATTTCGCTTTTTTTGCCGATCCGCACACATAGGAATTTCGCTAACTCCTCCGAAGGCTTTCGTTCCACCGGCACCAAATTTGCTCAGGCCAATCTACACCCCATGACCATTAAAAGTTGTACAAATCATGACGCTGCACCCCACGGTTTAGGTTCTAGGGGGCGCCAAAGATAACCCAAAAATCCACATTCTTAAAAGTCTTATAACTTTTTATTTTTGTCCTCACTGGCCTCCAAGTTTTCTAGGATGATGCAATGTCCAGCCATCAACACATTTGTGAAGAAATTTTAACTCTCCAAAAGAGCGCCCCCCCATGGCAGGAGAAAAAAGTCCATTTTTTCTTATCCCGAAAGGTGAAAATACACGTTGTTGACTGTCACGCCTTTACGCTTTGTCATATTGACAAAAAATTTGACAATCACATGTATCTCAATAAGATCTATGAAAAAGTCAATGGGCACGTGAGTGTAAAATGTACGGTTAAAGGGCTATTTTGCATTTTTTGCCGATTCGCACACATTGGAATTTCGTTAACTCCTCCTAAGGCTTTCGTCCCACTGACACCAAATTTGCTCAGGCCAATCTACACTCCATGGCCATTCAAAGTTGTAAAAATCATGACGCTGCACCCCACGGTTTACGTTTTAGGGGGCGCCAAAGATGACCCAAATATACATTACAGCAGACAAAGTAGTTTTGCCCACTGAGTGGCGCCAAAGGGACTAGTCTGTGGAGTCTGTGAGTCACTATTGGCCTTTTTTGACTACTTTAGATTTTACCTTTATATTTCCTCTTAAAAATTTTTTACCTTGCCTTGCCTGGTATCATTTTTTTCAGCACAACCTCACCTGTGTGAATTTACAGTTATTTTATCATTTTGACATACTGTATTTACACAATGGACCCAAATTCACACACAAAACATAAAATCCGAGTGGAAAAAAGTAACATTTTTACTGTGAAAACCACAAATATGTGTGATGAACTGTTTTTAAAACTTAAACTTCAAATAAAAATTGTAAACTTCAAAACATATGCAAATTTTTAACAAAGAACATAGTAATTTACCTCTATTTACATCAAAATGCAGGCAATGGCCCAGGCGTTCTTTGTAAAATTATTTACAAAACACTGTATAGTCTCACAAATGTCACTTTTTATTTATGCCACTACAAAAAAACATGATGTAAATGATGCATGATGTAAAACATGATGTAAAAAACTTGTGTAGATCCTCCTCTATGTCAGTCCATGTGTAATTTTTCCATAATTCTTTGTTTTTTGCAGCTTTTTTGTTAGTGTAACTGCAGATTGTGCTGACAGTGTCTATGCCAAAAAAAAAAAAAAAAAAAAACTGAAAATGCCTCAACATGAACCCCTGGTGGTCTCTGAGGGTGAAACCTGCTAACTGCTGCAGCTCTGTCAGCTTCAGTCTCCCATGCAGAGCTCGGAGCTCATGTGTGTCTCTGCACCCTTAGCAGCGTTGCTAACTCCTCAGTAAGGAAAGCCTGCTTCATGTCAGAGTTTCTAAACTCCAGAAGAAGTCGATAAAAGTCCCTTTCTTTCTAAAAAAAAAGTCGTTAGGGGGTCTGAAAAGTCATTGAATCTACAACAAAGTCGCTAGGTTTGCAACTACGTGTCCCAGACTGCATCCCTGCTGAGAGTCCCTCCCTCCCTTCTCATATTGCAGGAAGAACGTAAGCGCCCGCCCCTTGTCAATCAGTCACCATATAATTTTGGATTGGTTGTTGTGGTGAAGTTTTCCACCAATAGGAGAGATGTTGTGGTGTGTTGTTTTTTTTTCTTTTGGCAAGCCTTTTCCGCCTGTAAGAGCTGTCGCTAATGTCTGCATGCTATGTTTTCCTGTCTCATACAGCGCGATCGAGCGCCGAACGTGATCAAAATAAGCAGAAAAAAAGTATCGCGGACATAATTTATCATAACTCTGGTTTTATTTGGCCTATCAACACAATTTAAAAACTGGTATATAGTTTGAGGTCCTCACTTTTTAGATTAGTTGAAACGGATGCTGCGTCCGAACTGCCCGCTCGGATACTACATGCTACTGCTACGTGCTACTGCTAGATCCTACTCCTACATACTAAAAACGTTGGCCCTATTCGGACACACTACACGAGCGGTGGGGAAAGACGACCCCCGCAGGCAGAGAGTAGGTACTGCGCCCGTGCAGACAGTGGTAACTGAAGCCCCTCATCTGCGGGCCTGGCTGTAGTACTGCAGCTGTGCAGTTTCATGATGGAATAAGTGAGCTTTACCTCCATGATGTCGCCACTTGCTCATAAAATGATTACTTGGGCAAATATGACACCATGACATGACAAAGAAATACAACCGCACATTTTTTAGGACAGTGTGTGAAGTTACATGAAACTTACATCTGTACTGCTGCGGTCCCGCCTGCTGCTGCTGCTGCTCCGACATGGTGCGCGCTGCTGTGGCCAGCCGGCGTTCGCGACGCACCTAAATAGGCAGCAGATGGTGGCGCTAGCATCACATGCGCTTCTACAACTTTTAAGAGGACGAAGAAGAAGCCCGCGGTGCATTTTGGGTCAGTAACATGCCCGTAGGATGCACCGAGACCAACCTACAATGTGGGCGTGTCTAGCATCTGAAGTAGTATCTGAAGTAGCATGCTACTCGCTCCGGTGGCCAATTCGGACATGCTAGATACTACTTCGACTACTACTTCGACTACTACTTGGCAATTCGGACGCAGCTGGAGAGTCAACGAGGCTCCGTCTTGCAGCTACATCCGGTTAAATATGTCATGTGACTTGAACGCTGGGGAGCGTCAATCGACTGCAGAGCCAGCAGACAAAGTAGTTATGGCCACTGAGAGGCACACATTTGTCATATGCTATAATCCTAACATATTTGAATGCTTTTTCTATTTAAACCTAATGGATCTAAGGTTTGACCTTCAAAATTTAGGAAGAATATGTTTTTGCAGTAATTACCCCCTTAAACAACCAGAGGTCCTTTCCTAAAGTTTATGGAAATTTTAGTGAAGGCCTTGGTTTCTTTCCTTGCAAAATGTATAGAAATAATAAAGCTAAATACCATAAAATGGTCTTGGTGTATTAGCAGTGATATAAAATAGTGGTTTGAATATGAATGAACAACAAAAAAAACATCAACAGAGCCTTTTTGAGTTGGGATTCTTACACAAAAACAGACATAGATAGACATCTGAAGGGTAAGGGAATGATCAGCCCTCCTAACTCTCAGATGAATCTTCAAAATTCACCTCAGAAATATGCTCATTATTCTTCTCAGAGTACTACAAGATATACACACACACACACAGACACAAACACACACACACACACACACACACACACACACACACACACACACACACACACACACACACACACACACACTCAGAGTCTGTTTTTTAGCACCTGCAAAAACATGCTATTTACATATTTGACAAGAATGCAGAGGCTCCTTTTGCCCCTGAAAAAAATCTAATTTCAAACACAACTTGACTGCTCATTTCTCCAAAACACAACCATGAAGCCCTATGCAAACCTGAAGCAGGCAGTTGGTGCATGTGTACAGTAACCTGAGGGGAGTGAGGTGACTGCTTCTGAGGAGAACATGAGCAGTGAAGATTCACCTTAGAGCCAGAACAGGGACGTGCACATAATTATACAGGGGCAGGGGCTCAAGTCTTTTCCAGTCATTTATACAATATGGAAATTAATGTGAAATTAAAAAACAAAGTATTAATAGAAAGGTAATGACTGTCCTGTGTAGATGACAGTGATATCCAATAGGCTAGGCACTCACGAGGCTGGCTGTGGCAAGTGTAAGTGAAAGCAACACGCACTGGCAGGAAGAACAGCAAACGCCGATGAAGGAAAAGGGTCTTTGCAGTGATAGGCGTTACCAGAGAGGGCGATGGCCAGAGGACGCGAATGGGACGGGGAGGCAGCGCGTTGGGGGGGGCTGCGCGACACGGCTCGGGCCCGCCAGTGCCCCAACGGGGCCCTAGTTAGGGCCCGAGCGTAGCTGCTAAGCAGCTGCGAGAGCCCTCTTGTTCCTGCATGTTTCCTTCTTTCGTTATTATTTTTCCTCCGCTTTAAACTGGAAAATGGCCCACTTCCCACTGGCGAAAACTCAGGAAATTTGGCAGGACGACCGGGCCTGGTGAAAAATTCGATATTCTGAAGTCGCCCAAACAATAAAATGCAAAATGGCTCCATAGCGCCCCCTAAGGTGAAAATTCACATGACGGCTGTACGCTTTGTCATATTGACACAAAAATTGACACACACATGTATCTCAATAAGATCTACAAAAAAGTCAGTGCGGGCGTATCTGTCAAATGTACGGTTAAAGGGTTATTTTGCATTTTTTGCAGATCTGCACACATTGGAATTTCGCTAACTCCTCCGAAGGCTTTCGTTCGACCGGCACCACATTTGCGCAGGCCAATCTACCCCCCATGGCCATTAAAAGTTGTACAAATCATGACGCTGCACCCCACGGTTTACGTTCTAGGGGGCGCCAAAGATAACCCAAAATCCACATTCTTAAAAGTCTTATAACTTTTTATTTTTGTCCTCACTGGCCTCCAAGTTTTCTAGGATGATGCAATGTCCAGCCATCAACACATTTGTGAAGGAATTTTTACTCCCCAAAAGAGCGCCCCCCCATGGCAGGAGAAAAAAGTCCATTTTTTCTTGTCCCCTTACATGAAAATACACATTGTTGAGTGTCACGCCTGAACGCTTTGTCATATTGACACAAAAATTGACAATCACGTGTATCTCAATTAGATCTACGAAAAAGTCAAAAAGCGCGTATCTGTATAATGTACGGTTAAAGGGCTATTTCGCATTTTTTGCCGATTCGCACACATTGGAATGTGGCTATCTCCTCCTAAGGCTTTCGTCCCACCGATACCAAATTTGCTCAGGGCAATCTACACCCCATGCCCATTCAAAGTTGTAAAAATCATGACGCTGCACCCCACGGTTTACGTTCTAGGGGGCACCAAAGATGACCCAAAAATCCACATTCTTAAAAGTCATTTTGGCCACTGCAGGAGTACAGAGTACTGCAGTTCTAGGGGGCGCCAAAGATGACCCAAAAATCCACATTCTTAAAAGTCATTTTGGCCACTGCAGGAGTACAGAGTACTGCAGTTCTAGGGGGCGCCAAAGATGACCCAAAAATCCACATTCTTAAAAGTCTTTTTGGCCACTGCAGGAGTACAGAGTACTGCAGGATACACACCCATATACACACACACACACACACACACACACACACACACACACACACACACTCAGAGTCTGTTTTTTAGCACCTGCAAAAACATGCTGTTTACATATTTGACAAGAATGCAGAGGCTTCCTTTTGCCCCTGAAAAAAATCAGATTTCAAACACAACTTGACTGTTCATTTCTCCAAAAGACAACCATGAAGCTCCATCCAAACCTGAAGCAGATAGTTGGTGCATGTGTACAGTAACCTGAGGGGAGTGAGGTGACTATTTCTGAGGAGAACATGAGCAGTGAAGATTCACCTTGGAGCTAGAACAGGGACGTGCACATGATTATACAGGGGCAGGGGCTCAAGTTTTTTCCAGTCATTTATACAATATGGAAATTAATGTTAAATTAAAACACAAATATGTGTGATGAACTGTTTTTAAAACTTAAACTTCAAATAAAAATTGTAAACTTCAAAACATATGCAAATTTTTAACAAAGAACATAGTAATTTACCTCTATTTACATCAAAATGCAGGCAATGGCCCAGGCGTTCTTTGTAAAATTATTTACAAAACACTGTATAGTCTCACAAATGTCACTTTTTATTTATGCCACTACAAAAAAACATGATGTAAATGATGCATGATGTAAAACATGATGTAAAAAACTTGTGTAGATCCTCCTCTATGTCAGTCCATGTGTAATTTTTCCATAATTCTTTGTTTTTTGCAGCATTTTTGTTAGTGTAACTGCAGATTGTGCTGACAGTCTATGGCAAAAAAAACAAAAACTGAAAATGCCTCAACATGAACCCCTGGTGGTCTCTGAGGGTGAAACCTGCTAACTGCTGCAGCTCTGTCAGCTTCAGTCTCCCATGCAGAGCTCGGAGCGCATGTGTGGCTCTGCACCCTTAGCAGCGTTGCTAACTCCTCAGTAAGGAAAGCCTGCTTCATGTCAGAGTCTCTAAACTCCAGAAGAAGTCGATAAAAGTCCCTTTCTTTCTAAAAAAAGTCGTTAGGGGGTCTGAAAAGTAATTGAATCTAACAACAAAGTCGCTAGGTTTGCAACTACGTGTCCCAGACTGCATCCCTGCTGAGAGTCCCTCCCTCCCTTCTCATGTTGCAGGAAGAACGTAAGCGCCCGCCCCTTGTCAATCAGTCACCATATAATTTTGGATTGGTTGTTGTGGTGAAGTTTTCCACCAATAGGAGAGATGTTGTGGTGTGTTTTTTTTTCTTTTGGCAAGCCTTTTCCGCCTGTAAGACCTGTCGCTAATGTGTGCATGCTATGTTTTCCTGTCTCATACAGCGCGATCGAGCGCCGAACGTGATCAAAATAAGCAGAAAAAAAGTATCGCGGACATAATTTATCATAACTCTGGTTTTATTTGGCCTATCAACACAATTTAAAAACTGGTATATAGGTTGAGGTCCTCACTTTTGAGATAAGTTGAAACAGAGAGTTAACGAGGCTCCGTCTTGCAGCTACATCCGGTTAAATATGTCATGTGACTTGAACGCTGGGGAGCGTCAATCGAATCGAACCTAACTCTCAGATGAATCTTCAAAATTCACCTCAGAAATATGCTTATTATTCTTTTCAGAGTACTGCAGGATACACACACACACACACACACACACACACACACACACACACACACACACACTCAGAGTCTGTTTTTTAGCACCTGCAAAAACATGCTATTTACATATTTGACAAGAATGCAGAGGCTTCCTTTTGCCCCTGAAAAAAATCAAATTTCAAACACAACTTGACTGCTCATTTCTCCAAAAGACAACCATGAAGCTCCATCCAAACCTGAAGCAGGCAGTTGGTGCATGTGTACAGTAACCTGAGGGGAGTGAGGTGACTGCTTCTGAGGAGAACATGAGCCGTGAAGATTCACCTTGGAGCTAGAACAGGGACGTGCACATGATAATACAGGGGCAGGGGCTCAAGTTTTTTCCAGTTGTTTATACAATATGGAAATTAATGTGAAATTAAAAACAAAGTATGACTGTCCTGTGTAGGTGACAGTGATATCCAATAGGCTAGGCACTCACGAGGCTGGCTGTGGCAAGTGTAAGTGAAAGCAACACACACTGGCAGGAAGAAAAGCAAACGCCGATGAAGGAAAAGGGTCTTTGCAGTGATGGGCGTTACCAGAGAGGGCGATGGCCAGAGGACACGAATGGGACGGGGAGGCAGCGCGTTGGGGGGGGGGGGGGGGTGCGACACGGCTCGGGCCCGCCAGTGCCCCAACGGGGCCCTAGTTAGGGCCCGAGCGTAGCTGCTAAGCAGCTGCGAGAGCCCTATTATTCCTGATGGATTCTTCTTTCTTCTTCTTCTTCTTATTATTTTTCTGCCCCTTTGAACTGGAAAATGGCCCACTTCCCACTGGTGAAAAGTCATGAAATTTGGCAGGACGACCGGGCCTGGTGAAAAATTCGATATTCTGAAGTCGCCCAAAAAATCAAATGCAAAATGGCTCCATAGCGCCCCCTAAGGTGAAAAATTCACATGATTGAGTGTCACGCCTGTACGCTTTGTCAAAATGACACAAAATTTGACACACACGTGTATCTCAATAAGATCTACAAAAAAGTCAGTGCGGGCGTATCTGTCAAATGTACGGTTAAAGGGCTATTTCGCATTTTTTGCCGATCCGCACACATTGGAATTTCGCTAACTCCTCCGAAGGCTTTCGTTCCACCGGCACCAAATTTGCTCAGGCCAATCTACACCCCATGGCCATTAAAAGTTGTACAAATCATGACGCTGCATCCCACGGTTTACGTTCTAGGGGGCGCCAAAGATAACCCAGAAATCCACATTCTTAAAAGTCGTATAACTTTTTATTTTTGTCCTCACTGGCCTCCAAGTTTTCTAGGATGATGCAATGTCCAGCCATCAACACATTTGTGAAGGAATTTTTACTCCCCAAAAGAGCGCCCCCCCATGGCAGGAGAAAAAAGTCCATTTTTTCTTGTCTCCTAAGGCGAAAATTCACACTATTGACTGTCACGCCTTTACGCTTTGTCATATTGACACAAAAATTGACACACACATGTATCTCAATAAGATCTACAAAAAAGTCAGTGCGGGCGTATCTGTCAAATGTACGGTGAAAGGGATATTTCGCATTTTTTGCCGATCCGCACACATTGGAATTTCGCTAACTCCTCCGAAGGCTTTCGTTCCAAAGGCACCACATTTGCTGAGGCCAATCTACACCCCATGGCCATTAAAAGTTGTACAAATCATGATGCTGCACCCCACGGTTTACGTTCTAGGGGGCGCCAAAGATAACCCAAAAATCCACAGTCTTAAAAGTCTTATAACTTTTTATTTTTGTCCTCACTGGCCTCCAAGTTCTCTAGGATGATGCAATGTCCAGCCATCAACACATTTGTGAAGGAATTTTTACTCGCCAAAAGAGCGCCCCCCCATGGCAGGAGAAAAAAGTCCATTTTTTCTTGTCTCCTAAGGCGAAAATACACATTGTTGACTGTCACGCCTTTACGCTTTGTCAAAATGACACAAAATTTGACACACACATGTATCTCAATAAGATCTACAAAAAAGTCAGTGCGGGCGTATCTGTCAAATGTACGGTTAAAGGGTTATTTCGCATTTTTTGCCGATCCGCACACATTGGAATTTCGCTAACTCCTCCTAAATCTTCTGTCCCATCGGCTTCAAATTTGCTCAGGTCAATCTACACCCCATGGCCATTCAAAGTTGTACAAATCATGACGCTGCACCCCACAGTTTACGTTCTAGGGGGCGCCAAAGAGGACCCAAATATCCACATTTTTAAAAGTCTTATAACTTTTTATTTTTGTCCTCACTGGCCTCCAAGTTTTCTAGGATGATGCAATGTCCAGCCATCAACACATTTGTGAAGGAATTTTTTCTCCCCAAAAGAGCGCCCCCCCATGGCAGGAGAAAAAGTCAAGTTTTTCCTGCCCATCGCTCAATGGCTCAAACGCATCGCTCTCTCTGCAAAACCGAAAGGAGGAGCAACTTGCCATTTGGATATATACTAGCTGTGTTTGTGCCCTCACTCATGGTCCAGACTTTTTTCAAATAGGACATGTAGTTTGTCTGCAGCGAGCGTTTTGGTAGAAACTGCGCCTCCCATTCATTATAATGGGAAATGACCACAGACAAGTGCGCACACCATCTTTGGACCTTGAGTGTGACGCGATCGGGAGGGGGAGGCGGTCGCGCTGGGGGCGGCGCGACGCGGCTCGGGCCCGACAGTGCCCCACCGGGGCCCTAGTTATTATTTTTCCTCCGCTTTAAACTGGAAAATGGCCCACTTCCCACTGGCGAAAACTCAGGAAATTTGGCAGGACGACCGGGCCTGGTGAAAAATTCGATATTCTGAAGTCGCCCAAACAATAAAATGCAAAATGGCTCCATAGCGCCCCCTAAGGTGAAAATTCACATGACGGCTGTACGCTTTGTCATATTGACACAAAAATTGACACACACATGTATCTCAATAAGATCTACAAAAAAGTCAGTGCGGGCGTATCTGTCAAATGTACGGTTAATGGGTTATTTTGCATTTTTTGCAGATCTGCACACATTGGAATTTCGCTAACTCCTCCGAAGGCTTTCGTTCGACCGGCACCACATTTGCGCAGGCCAATCTACCCCCCATGGCCATTAAAAGTTGTACAAATCATGACGCTGCACCCCACGGTTTACGTTCTAGGGGGCGCCAAAGATAACCCAAAATCCACATTCTTAAAAGTCTTATAACTTTTTATTTTTGTCCTCACTGCCCTCCAAGTTTTCTAGGATGATGCAATGTCCAGCCATCAACACATTTGTGAAGGAATTTTTACTCCCCAAAAGAGCGCCCCCCCATGGCAGGAGAAAAAAGTCAATTTTTTCTTGTCCCCTTACATGAAAATACACATTGTTGAGTGTCACGCCTGAACGCTTTGTCATATTGACACAAAAATTGACAATCATGTGTATCTCAATTAGATCTACGAAAAAGTCAAAAAGCGCGTATCTGTATAATGTACGGTTAAAGGGCTATTTCGCATTTTTTGCGGATTCGCACACATTGGAATGTGGCTATCTCCTCCTAAGGCTTTCGTCCCACCGATACCAAATTTGCTCAGGGCAATCTACACCCCATGGCCATTCAAAGTTGTAAAAATCATGACGCTGCACCCCACGGTTTACGTTCTAGGGGGCGCCAAAGATGACCCAAAAATCCACATTCTTAAAAGTCTTATAACTTTTTATTTTAGTCCTCACTGGCCTCCAAGTTTTCTAGGATGATGCAATGTCCAGCCATCAACACATTTGTGAAGGAATTTTTACTCCCCAAAAGAGCCCCCCCCCCCTTTTTGTGCAAAAATTTTAACATTGAAGTCAATGGGGAAATCTTCCAGTTCTTCCTTTTATTCTTCCACCTTCAAAGCCTTATAACTTCTGCATACTTTCACCTAGAGACCTCATTTTTACTTTAAAATGTTCATTTACTTGTCGACTATTACAGTTGTACTCAGTTTTTTTTTTAATCTTTTACAGTTTTCCCACAATTTAGCTTTAAGCAACTCGTAATTTTTAACAATTTTCAGGCTTTATATTGAGGGAGTATTGGAGAGGCTAGAGTGATGATTTAAAAAGCTAGAGTGCAGACCTCGTCTCTGATCGACAGAACCTCGCTCGAATATATCGCTCCCACGCCCGCCCACAAATTTCACTCCACAGCCATAGAAAATACATCAAAATGGAGGTATATGTGTCCTGCTTCTCACAAAAGAAGTTTCAAATCATTAAATCATACCCCTTGGCCAGCAGGTGACCAACTGTCCAAATAAGCGGAGATCTCTCCCATTAATCCTAATGTAATTTTTCTCCAAGAAAATCCTGATCATCACTCAGGCTCAGACTTTTTTAACTAGCTGTTGTGGCCACATTTTTTAGAGTACAAACATGAAAAACACATAATTGTGTTCATGAAGGGCGGAGGATTCGTGCAATGTTCTTATTTTCATTCTAAGATTTAAGGAAATCGTGCTATGTGAAGAAGTTCAGAGGCCCTAAATTCACGGAAGTTAGGCAGCTTCTCATTCAAACAGTAGGTCAGTTAATCACCCAGTCACCCAGTGTTTTTTCACTGCCACTCCCACCTCATCAGCCAAACTCCACTCACCTGTGCTCTCCACCACACCTGCAGCTCGTCCCTGACCATCAGCCCAAGTATTTAAGCTCCAGCTCCACACACACACACCAGTTGCCTGATTGTGTTCGCATTATGCAAGCCCTTCTAGCACTCTTTTCCGGACTGATCGCCTGTTGCTGACCTGGTCTGTTCCCGTTCCTAGTGCTGGGCGATAGGACGATAGATATCGTGGGCACGATAGAAAATGTCTATCGTGCCATTTCTATTTTTATCGTTTCGAGCAATAGGCTGTATTTTATCCATAGGGCTTGTGCCATCAGATGATTCATAGTAACAACAACAATAATTGCACATTCAGTAAGTGTATTTGGTGTCAAACGGGAAAGAAAACAATATTTTCTTACAAAGAAAAGGATGCGTTGACATGTAGGCTCGCATTTCTCTTTCGATTTTGCGACATGACGTCGCTTTACGTGCCCTCTTCGTGTCCAGCGTCTCCCGCCGTTGCGGGTTACCTGGGTTACACACGTGAGGGGATCATTGTAAGCAGTGCATAATTTGTGCCGGAGCAGACAGGAGCACGCTCCGGGACCTCTTTTGATCGGATCCGGGACCTATTTCAGCCGCTTCAGATGTTCTTATTTTCATTATGGGATTTAAGGAAATCACGCTATGTGAAGAAGTTCACACAGTAATTATGTGTCTGCTTCACCACCTATCTCTACCCACAAACTTTGAGCTACAGAAACCATTCTGGGCTTGAAAATTTCATCTTATTGAGGACACTTTGGGCTGTTTTAAGGATTGTGATAATAAATTGTATTAATGTGTTCAGCAGTCTCATGGTTCTCAAAAGCTCCTTATCATGAATATATACAGAGGTTGACCATCAGCTATTTCCTCAGCTTTAAGCCTCCTCTCTCCTGCTGCAGTGACACGAAGATGTGTCACTATCAATAAGTGCACCTGGAGACACACAGCTGACTGAAAAGCTGCTTCTACTGACCATATAAGATACATGAAGCCAGGCTCAGTACACAGAGCACTGGGGGTTACATTTAAAACCCTTCACCAGAGCACTTGACAAACTTTGGACCTTTCTCCTACCACAAACCTTGACCTACAGAAACCATTCAGGGCTCCAAAAATTCAGCTCATTGAGGACATTATGGGGTGTATTTAGGATTTTGTTAATTAATTGTATCAATATGTTCAGCAGAGTCGTGGGGTTCTCACAAGTTTCTTATCATGAATGTAGCCGTTACAGAGAATGAGCTTCAGGGCCTAGTTTTGGGTTTTGTTTCTCAGCTTCAAGCCTTCTTTCTCCTTCTGCAGTGATGCATCTTGCGTCCCCATGGCAACCATTAGTGCACCTGGAGACACACAGCTAACTGGAAAGCTGCTTCTAACTAGCCTGGCTGGGCCATCCAGTACTTGCCGTCAGATCAATCAGAAAATAACCGGGCCAATCAGTGACTGTGTTTCCACTGTTTCCCGGACAACAGGGAAAGGCAGCCCCTGACTGGTCTATGTGTAGATGGTGACGTCTAACACATGCTGCGGGACTTTTCAAAGCGCCATTCATTCAGAATGACGTTAATTCTGCAGTTGACTTTGCAAAGTCGGCAGAAATCGTTTATATCTGCAGAAGAAGACGTAAAAGACATTGTTTGCTCGTACACGTTGAAATATTACCAAACCTTTACTTGATGCTTGAGAGCCCAGCAGGGAACACAGTTGCGCACTGTGATGACGTCAGATGTTTGGTTACGGTGATTGGTTATAGTAGTCTGTCTATCAAGGAAAGTACTCCCGCCCACTTTTAGGGTTCCCAATTGGCTGAACTCCAGACTGTTGTGGGAAGGAACGGCAAGTGATTCACGCAACTGGATGGCCCAGCTAGGCTACATGAAGCCAGGTTATAGAGTTATTTGACGAATTTTGTCATCTATCTCTTCCCACAAATTTTGAGCTACAGAAACCATTCAGGGCTTAAGAAATCCAGCTCATTGAGGACATTATGGGATGCATTCAGGATTTTTTTTTCATTTAAATTTCTTTCCACACTAGATTCAGTTTTATTATTCATGCATTATTTAATTCTTGAAACAAATAAAAAATTATTCAAACTGAATTAAACCTTTTTGATACTTCAAATACTTTAAGATTTTTTAATCATTTATATTTTTCCTGTTTTAAATCATTTTTTACGATTCATACATCATTCTATTTTTCAAACAAATTCCAACTCATTCAAGCTGATTCAAACCTTTCTAGTACTTTAATCCTTTCTCATTCTTCAGGATTTTAAATCATTTTAATTTTCCACACATTGCTTTTTTTAAACAATTTATGCACTATTCAATGAATTCATACAAATCATTCAAATAAATTCAAAGTTTCCTTAAAATTCAAACTTTCTTATCTTTCATAGACTTCCAGGATTCAGCCATTCGCAATAGCAATTTTAAACAGAGCATAGTTGTTTTAGTAGCTCAGATTTGTTCAGAGCTGCTAACAAAATCTACACCTGCTCTTTTTTTACAATCAGAAATCACCATTTCAATTGTGTGTTTGTGTATGTGTGTTTATTATCCAGGTACACTGAGTGTGGTTCTCTCCTTTGCATTCATCTTCAACCAGTGTCTGGGCTGTGACGTCTTCACTCCTCAGTGGGTTAGTTTGACCTACTTTATCCCGTTCATCATCGTTTTTCAGTTTGGCTGGGCAGCCACCCAGATCTCCCACCTGTCACTCATCCCAGAACTGGTCACCTGTGAGCATGCGAAAGTAGAACTGACGGCATACAGGTATTATTCTCCATGAATATAAAAAGCACACAAGCCAGGTAATGTGAAGATCCTAACTCTGTGTGTGTGTGTGTGTGTGTGTGTGTGTGTGTGTGTGTGTGTGTGTGTGTGTGCAGATATGCATTCACAGTTGTAGCCAACATCACAGTATACGCAGTGGCCTTCCTCCTGTTCCATGTCCAGGATGAAGACAGTGACAGTCCGCTCAGCGACGAGCTCGGACCAGCAGATATGCCTGTTTTCAGGGTGAGGAAGACTTCTCTTTCCACTGAAAATATAAAATTGCTGAAGGAGACATCCACATTAAAGGTGAACAGGTAAGATCAGTAGGATAATGTTGAGTGTGCAGGTTGGCACAACATGAGCTGCTCGGGTCGGGATGTCACTCTACCCTCGTCAGCTGCAATTCTGGAGATGCTCTGATCCAGTTTCAGCTGTAACAGTCTTGCCCTCTGTCATGGTGGCTCACATCTTTACACGCGCCCATTTTTCTCACTTCCACCTCATCAACTTTATGGACAAAATGAAGGGTAGTAAAGTGCTGGATCCTGGAGTGCTGGTCTTGAACATCCATGAGTAAGGAACTGGCGCTTGAGTTTATTATGTAGATTGTCCTTTATTTTTATTTAACGTTTATTTAAGGCTTATTGAGATATGAAATCTCTTTTACAAAAGCGACCTGGCCAAGAGGCAGCAAAGTTAAAGAGTTACAGTAAAATCATTTAAAATAAATAACAATAACTCAATAAGAGATACAACAGAATAAAATAAATAAAACTGTCAGTGATAGAATAGAAGCAGTGTAACATCTTGTTAAAAACAGTCACAAAGGCCAATGCTTTCCAGTGCCCTCATTTTAAGAATTCCTCAAAGGGGATCAAATCTGATAATTTTAGTTCCTCCTGTAGCGAATTCCATGCAGTAGGAGCAGCAAAGCAGAAAGCCCTTTTTCCTAACTCAGAGAGGACACGAGGAGTATTTAACATCAACAAGCCAGTGGATCGTAGCCTATAATGTGCATTATTTCTCATAAGGTAATATCCAAGATAGGACTGCACCATCCCAAGTAAAGCTTTGTAAATATAAGTCAACCAGTGAGTGAATCTTCTGACAGACAGGGAGGGCCATTCCGCTTTTTTGTACAGAGTGCAATGATGCGTCAGATTCTGGCATCCAGTGACAAACCTTAAAGCACAGTGATAGACAGTATCCAAGAAACGTAGACATGCGACTGGTGCATGCATATACAGTACATCACCATAATCAAGCAATGGAAGAAAGGTTGCTGACACAAGACGTTTCCTGGCTCCAAGAGAAAAGCAAGATCTGTTCCTAAAATAAAATTTTACCTTAAGTTTAGAAATTAGGTTTGAGATATGATGTTTGAAATTTATACAATAATCCAGATGGAAACCCAGGTACTTATAGGACAATACTTGCTCAATGGCTGCACCCCCGCAGGTTAACACGGGGAGATTTGTTGACAGCACAGTAGCCCTGGAAAACAGCATAACCTTTGTCTTATCAATGTTCAGGACCAGTTTCAGCCTTTGCAGGCGGGCCTGAACAACATCAAAGGCCGACTGCAGACGAGTGAAAGCATGCACAAAAGACGATGCACAGCAGTAAATGACTGTTTCGTCTGCATAAAAATGATAGACGGCGTCTGACAGATTGTTACAGAGATCATTTATATAAATAGAAAACAGAATGGACCCCAACACCGATCCTTGTGGCACCCGAAGACCTTTGCTAAAATGCACAGCTTTGAAATAGGTCTATTATTGTTCAAAATTGAGGGATCTCCCCCTTTTAGGAGGGGAAGAACAGAGGCAGACTTCCATATGATTGAGACTTAACTGTTAAGAAGACTCAGATTATATAAATTTGTTAGAGGCTGAGCAATGAAATCTGCAGCCAATTTTAGAAAGTATGACTCAAGCTGATCAGGACCGGCAGATTTCTTTGGGTCCAGCTGTTTCAGTTCCCTCAACACATCAACTGCAGATATTGGAAGAAACTGAAATAGAGCTTCCACATTTTCTCTACAAACTGGTTTGACATTATTTTCAATGTGAGGATCAGGACTGCTTGATTTTTGATTAAATTCAAATAAAAATCCTGCAGAAATAAAATGCTCATTAAAACAATTTAAAATCTCAGACCTATCAGTTGTCATACATGAGTCATTGTTGATAAAAGAAGGTGGTTCATTGGTGGAAACCTTACCAGAAAAGGACCTCATCATTTTCCAAAACTTTCTTGGATCATTTAAATATTTACTGGTTTCCGAAAGGTAGTACTCTGACTTTGCAGTTCTTATGGACTGAGTAAACCGATTTCTAAGCTGCCTAAATCTGAGCCAATCAATGTCAGCCTTAGTTTGTCTTGCTCTGGCCCAAGCGCTATTTCTATCTCTAAGGAAACTATTTAATTCTGGAGAAAACCATGGGTTAATGTGACCTTTTATTCGCAATTTGCTTCACAGCCATTTCATGGTATAAATGCTCAGACATTCTTTATTAAAATAAATAACTTGTCAATTGAATTTCCATTATGATGAACATACATGAACATACTTTCATAAACACTTCTTAATGACTAAATCGGCAGAAGCAAAGCTTATATGCTTTTGTATTTAGTACCAACCCCCATTCTGTAAAACTCTACACACTTAAAGATTCCTTGTGATGCAGATCTATACACTGTAAGCAGACCTGCAGGTGACACTAGAGTTTCTGATGTTTCCAAACTTCAGCAGTGGTAGTTTATTAAACACACTGCAGGGTTTTTAATTAGATGTAGCCCCAGATTGTCTGTTTTGTCTCGATCATGTGTCAGGGTCCAGCATGTGAATAACAATAGCATGACACCAAACAAGTTTCTTTCTTTCTTTCTTTCTTCCTGTTATAACCTGCTGTTTTCAAACCCTCTAATTTTAGAGGCTGAATATGTGCAACAAATTGAGATTAACATTATTTATACTTTTTTGTTACTTGTCCTAAAGTTCCCTTAAAACCTTGTGAAATCTGTTTCTTACTTGAGAGAATGAATTTTTCAGGGGAGCTCCATCAGGCCGTTGTTTCTGTGCTGTTTACTGTTGTCAGTAAAGCACACTGTATGTCTACACTGTATGTTATTATGTATGTCTGTATGTTATGTTAGAGAGTGGGTCAGTAACCTGCATCATGTTGTGTTTGATTGCAGAATCTGGCGCTGATTGTGTTGGGCATTGGTGCTGTCTTCTCTCTCTTGTTCCACCTGGGGACCAAAGAACAAAGGTGTTTAGTAGAGGCTGGAGGAGGAGAGGAAGGAGACAGGGAGAGGGCAGAAGAGGAGGAACGGAGAGGGGAACGGACACCCCTGCTTCTTCGCTCTCAGCCCAGCTCACCTCTCCTGCAGTGGAAATGTTGGCTTCGACAGCCATCTTTTTACCAGGTGCAAACATTCTCCCACTAAAACTCATACGGTGCTCAAAAGCCTGAAGTGAACTTCCTATGATGGGCAGAAGAAACACTGACTGTTTCAGCTGCTTCACTGTTTTACATCAGACATTGTGTAAAACTTTTGTTGCTATGGAAACTTCTGACAAATGTCTTTTTTCCTGCAAAGGTGGCCTTACTCTACATGTCCACAAGGTTAATAGTCAATCTGTCTCAGACCTACATCTCCATGTATCTCATCAATACTCTGAAACTGCCAAAGGTAACATTCAAAACCAATGAGTACTGACAAATCATGAACTCCAGTACTCATTTTATGATGACTGCAGCATCACTGGTATGAAGTAACACAGCTTTGTTCACATACACATGTCCTCATTGTTTTTTCTTCATTTTCCTCCAACAGAACTTTATTGCAACAATCCCATTAGTGATGTACCTGAGTGGTTTCATATCCTCCTTCATAATGAAGCCTCTCAGCAAACTCATAGGAAAAGGTGTAAGTAAAATCTCTGTACTTCGCCTTGTCGCATCTCCACTGTTACCAATATTCAAGTCACAACAGGAAGAGTCAGACTTTTATCTGGAGCAGAAATAGTTCATTAATAAAAGTAAGGGGGGTCTTCTATAGTGTAAATACATATGCTGGGGTTATAGTTGTATTGGACAGACAGACAGGCAGGCAGGCAGACAGATTTTTATTGTCATTGTGAAAATCACAACAAAATTATAAAGTGCCTTTACAGTCAGTGCATTAAAAAAGGACACTAAAACATTATAAAGTAAAACAGTTTTAAGAGGAGTGATGTGGTCCAAGTCTCTCTGCATCCTCGATGCCTCTGGTGTAACGGTGAGATTGAGAGAGGTATAATTTTAGGAGTCTGTTCACTGTTTGTGTGTTTGTTTAAAGAAAATGTTGCTCATTACAACATAAAGTTGGTAGTCCACCTGACACTGAGTCTCTCCCTCTGAACCATGAAGCTTACCTACTTCCTGGGTCTTCTGCTGATCCTGGCCTTCTCCTCCTGGGTGCTGTTGGACACCAAAATGGGTCAGCTGGTGTATGGAGCAGCCATACTTCTAGGGGCGGGGTCAGCCACACTCTTGGTTATTTCACTTGCCATGACTGCTGACCTCATTGCTGATCAGACGGTAAGGTGTGTGTGTGTGTGTGTGCGCGTGCGTAAGCATTCGTGTGTGTCCATATATTTGTCAGTGTTTTGCAGCTCTGGTTCGGAGCAGTTGAATCAAATCCTCAGCGGTCCAGAGTCTCTGTCAAAAATACGCAATTTCACACTTTTACTATATGTAAATACAGTCCAGCAGTCATAAAATGTCCTAAGACACATGATGCAATAAAACCTTATTTCATATGTTCTGGTCCTGTCCACATCGATTTGAGAATCCATTTTTCCCACAGTGATAAGGGTGCTTACAAACCCGTCCCCTCTCACTGCTTTTTTGGGTAACGTCACAGGATGCACATCTTAATAATTCCAAATGTAATATGCTGACCTTCTGCACTTTGTTAGCCTGATGTCAGTGTGGGACGACTGACACTACTTTAATAGTGTATGACATGTCTACTGGGTGGGTTCATGGGTGGGGTTTGTTTTGTGTTTTAGTGACAGTATTTTTTATGGACTGGATCAGATACAAATACTGTAAGCTGGTTCTGATACTGTCTTTGTACAGCTTTGTATCTGTGTGTTTTAGTGAAGGATGAAGTTATAACATAACCTCACATGTCCTCTTTTTTATAACTATGTCCCTGTGCAGCAAAGTGGGGCGTTTGTTTATGGAGCCATGAGTTTCACTGACAAGTCTGCTAATGGCGTGGCTGTGATGATCATCCAGGCTCTGCATCCTTGTCAGTAAGTACCAGAGACACTGTGAACTTCATAGTCAAACACATAAAGGGAAGTTTTGTGACATTAGGTATGAGTAATGTTGTCTTTCCACATCTGTGAAACATGCACAGACTGAGGCTGGTTAGTTGAATCAGTGTTGATCAAGTTATTTGGAAATAGTAATTTTTTAACTGATCAGTGATTAGTAATCCTGTAACTTTACTAATTACTCATTTAAAAAAATAGTTACTTTAATGAGTTACTTTACAAAAACATTATGCAAAACCTGAATACAAAGACCTTTTAGCCTAATTCTATTCAATGGAATATTTTGCACATTATCATATAAAATTAAAATTGGCTTTTTTAAAACTTGTTTCATTAGTTGCAGTCTTTTACTTCATGCACATTGTATCGAACAGTCTCGGACTTCAATAAAATTGTTGAAAATGTTAACGCTTTTTCTGCACATATCACCATAGTTTAATAAAATAAAGCCAGTCCTTCTTCTGTTAACTTACATTTCACCATTCAGCGGCACTTAGTCCTGTCGCTCTGAAGTCTATTTTCACCTGTTTAGAAGGAGAGGTGCCCTCAGAATTGGCTGTGGTGGCCACAGCGGTCATGCCAGGTATTTGCTGTGAGTTTCACTTTCACGTGCTGGCTTGCTAGGTGCTTTATCAGATTCAAGGTGAATTTTTTGCTGTAAATAAAAGTTTTCTTCCCACGCAGAGTGAATAGCATATGCTAATGTTTTTGTCTTCTTTTACCGAGTCAAACTTGAGACAACGTTGGTGTTTCAGAGCATTAAACGCTGCATGGTCGTGCTCTCTCCTGCGCTCCATGTTGTCTCTTGTTGATCACTAGTACATGTGTCTGTTTTAAACCACTATCGTTGCTCTGCTCACACATCATTTACTGTCACGACTCACTAGACAGTCTCACAAAACGAAATCACGGTTTAGTAACGTAGTAACGCGGCCTGCTTGCGGGAAAGTAACAGTGATCTAATAATTGTTTTTGAAATTGTAACCCCCTACAAAGCTCTCCATGCCCTAGCCCCATACTATCTCTCTGACCTCCTCAAGGACTACATCCCGGCGCGTACTCTGCGGTCTGCAGACCTTGGGCTCCTCACTGTCCGCTATGGGAAAAGGCGATCCCTTGGTGACAGAGCCTTCAGTGTGGCCGCCCCTCCTCTCTGGAACTCTCTCCCCTCTGAGATTCGCCAAGCACAGACTCTTGACTCTTTCAAGTCTGCTCTGAAGCGACACTTGTTTATCCAGGCTTTTGGTATTTAGTTTTTGTAGTGTGTTGTTAAGCGCCTTGGGTATCCTGAAAGGCGCTATATAAATGTAAGATATTATTATTATTATTATTATTATTAATTTACTCATTACTTGAAAAAAGTAATAAGATTACACATTACCTAACCTGTTACTACCCATCAGTGAGTTTAATTTATGTTGAAGTGGGTTTACAGTTCAAGTGTGATATATGAGAATGTGTTTTACAGTTTGTCAACATAATGAAACCGACCCCCCCCCCCCATCTGTCTTCTAGCACCGTCAACTGTTGTCCTGCATGTGTGTGGTTCTACCATTACATTATGGTCATAGTGACAGGAGGCATGGCCATCATTGCAGCATTGGCGCTCTGCTCCATCCTTATTTGGCCAATCAAGATCAGACTACGTGAGTCATTACTTAATTAATACACTGTTTGTGATTGAAGTTTCGCAGATCATCACCACACTTGTTTCTTTTTGTTTTATTGCACAGCTGTCCTAATTAAACTCAGTTTGGAAATGTTGCAAAGCTTGATTAGTCACCCTTATTCAATCACTAAAAATATTCAGTGTTGTGTGATTCACAGAAAATCTCTAGCATTTCTTTAAATACTCCTACAGTAAATAATCTGTTTGTTTGTGTGTAGGAGGTTTACCAGCCATTTCTGAGGATGAATCCCGAGTCAACTAACATCCAGCCAGCACTCTCCCTATGATGGCACATAGCCGGTCAAACTGAAGAGAAGCCCTCACTTTTATCATGACATTTTTTTCTTTGTCACATTCCTCCCAGAGAAATCCTCTCTGGCAACACGTGTCTGAAAGAGCTGCAGGAGAAATAAGGGAATCAGAGCTGAAAGGGAGAGCATTTAAAGCACTTTTGCTCTGTTGATTTTGCCAGTTAAACTGAAGTGCCTTTGAGCCAGTTTTGTTTCTTCCTTCCTCAACCCTTTTCATTGTTGCAAAGTCATTGTTTTAACTGGTGTTTTGGCTCCAGTGAAGTTATAATTATCAGGCAGTAATCCCAGTCTTCAACACTGAACTTTTGCCCTTTGCTTAACTGATTAGACCTCAATATCTACCAGACTAATGCGCACAGGTTATAGTTTTGATTGAGATGCCTCCTAAATTCTGGTCACTGGGTAGACCAGAGAGACAACATGAGCTAAATTTTGTCCTGAGACTGTGTGGAGACTCTCTGAAGGTTTGTAGGGAACAAAAACACTCTTGAAGTGGATAAACTCTAGCAGAGCCACACTCAGTGTGGAAACTAACTCCAGATCTAGGTCCAGATCTTCATCATAAGAAAGAGGACCAAGGCTCTGTTCCAGTGCAGATCACAATCAATCAATCAATCAATCACTTAGGCACAAATGTTATCTTGACACTTTCATAAAAAGGGACACTATTACGGATCTACTACACGAGGTGTTTTCAGTAAATTGTTGTCAGTGTGTTGATCTCATTTCCCCCTTTTTTTGAATGTATTCCTGCCATATATTTTCATCCATGTAAATTCTGATTCTGTATTTTATGGGAATAAAACTGGTAAATCATTGATCCCTGAAGCATAAAGTTCCCAAAAAAGCACCTGCTTCAGTTTACTTTATTCATTGCTCTATGGATCTTCTGGGATGTACTCTTTTTGTTGAGCCTGTTTATGTCTTTGTTGTCTGTGTCTGAGATATATAAAAAAGTGAAACCATGGCTTGATGTTCCATTTTTACTTCTCTGGAAAAAAAAAGAATAAAACCCTCTTTTGAATGTTGAAAAGTTCTCCTCGTAATCGTTAAGAAATGACCGTCTGATGACTACAGGACTGAAGATGACCTAAATTTTTCAAAATCAAGGATTTATTCCCCCAATGTAAAAAAGAGCTCACCTTGAATGTGCCATGTGTGTTTCTTGTTGGAGGCTCCAGCTTTGACCCTCTGCCTGAGGCTTCATCTTGATGGGCTTAGTTGACGCTGATGGGCTCATTCCTCTGCAGCCTGTGCCGTCAGTGTGTGGACTGAATGGGAGAATGGGAGATGACACTTTGAGTAGTTAGAAGAGTAGAGAGGGTGCCACCTACCAGTCCATTGTGGTTTATCATTGTGAAGTTCACACATGATGTCTTGACAGCTGAATCTAGGAGTTCAGGATCTCCCTTTCTGTGCACAGACCCCTGCTACCATATCATATCAGGTGATTGCCTGAGTCGTAGTCTAAGTTAGTTAGTCATAGAAATGCTTAAAAAAAAAAAAAGGAAAAAACTTTAAAATCAGCTCTGAACGTCTAGCTACAACCAAATGTTGTTCAGCAGGGAGGGTTAAAAGGCAGTTGGGCAATTAAAGAAGGAATTAATAAACTAGTTCACAAATTCACTGATTAAAACAAAAATAGAGGAATTGTAGCGTTTTCATTGAAATCTTTAAAATTGTAATTAATTTTAAATTAATGTAAAATTAATGTGTTCCTCAATGGTTTTAATTTAAAAAATCAGTTTGAAAAAGAGCAAAAACTGAATTCAGAAAACATCTTTTAATCAGCCATTTAAAGCTCCTGCGAGGAGTTTTTTAGACATTGATGACAGATTTAATTTAATATTTGATGCCTTTTTAGGATCTACAAAAGCAAACAGGTGTCAGCTGAGCAGCTTTAGTGATTGCTCTGTTTCTACATTTTCCACACTATTAATGACTGTTGAAGCTCATCAGACGGAGTTTGGTTAAAAGACACTGTCAATACCAAGATGGCAAGACGAGAGGAAACAGCTTTGTCCAAAGGGGTGCGCCAAATCTGACACAAACCAAAAATTCCTCACAGGAGCTTTAAAGGGGACAATTCCTTTTCCAATTTTCACTTTAATTTCCTAGCTGCACAGCTAATTTAGCCCCTCTCAAACAGGAAATCCTGACGTCTTCTCGATAAATCGTGGACATTCAGGCCCTGAAACCTGCTAAAATAACCTTCAAACATCGCTGCCACAGCAGGAAACTGTTCGGGCTGGTGGTGCTTTTACAGTTAAAATGCACCGTTGATTTGGATGAGAAGGGGATGGAGGAAAATATTCAAGAGTGCAGAGCATGTGTGAAAGAGGCTCTTGGGTCTTTCTTGTTTTTTTATTTAAATCATTTTTACTTGAATCTTCAAAAAGATTGAAAAAAATTGAAGATAGAAGCATCTTTGTGTGGTTATGAAAGTGATGAATTAAAAAGCCAATCTTCATGTCTGATTTTTTAATGTTTAATTTTCCACCATTCAAGCCAAAGACTCTCGTCGTGTTAAAAAGACTGGGTCCTTCAGAGACATTCGTTTCCTGTCCTGCAGCAGGACAGTACGTTAATCTAAGTGATATCCACATTTGATCATCCCAGAGTTCCATCTCTGTTCATCAGGGGGCACTGGCATTCATTTTCTCCTGACAACTGTCCCAGAAGTTCAGAAGTCTATTGTCCTTATTGAAGCAGAAATCAGTCAAGTCTTTAAGGAGGCGCTCGGCAAGCCTCTCATCACTGAGCACCCCGGTCCTCCAAGCCTTAGTCAGCATGGTGTTGTAGGCCCAGTAATACCCAACCTGCTCCTCGCTGCCAAAAGGCCCCTGGTTGTTAGAGGTTGTGGAGTTTCTGCGTCTGCGCTGCTGATTGCAGGAATACTTCCTCTTGGAGTACGGCAGCTGCAGGAACACAGTGCCTGACAAAGAAAAAGGAAACTGAGGCAAAGAGGACAGTAAAAAAAAGGCGGTTCAGCTGTTTGCATGTTGTGATGTGACAAACCTGTAACATGAATGTACTGGGGCTTGTTCTCAGAGGGGAAATTAAAAGCAGAGGCAGAAAACTTGTCATGCACAAACCCAAACCTGGAAGACACAGCAGATTTACAAAAAGATCAGTGAGAAAAAAAACAACAACAAAATAGTATGTGACAACTTAGTAAAATCACTGTAATCCTTAAAGAAAAGTGATCAGATGTATATGGATTTATTTAAATGATATTTAAATGATCGTCAGCTTTTTCCTCACACTCAGCACTGATCTGCTTTTAAAAGACAGTCCTTTGCATTAAATATTTTACTTTGTAAAAGTGATTTCAGCACATCTTTGACCAAACTAGTCAGGAAAAATACTAAACACCACAAACCGGTAGAGTATGGCCTCTTGGAAGAGCTGCATCCTGTCCCAGTATGTTTCTGGCTCAAAACCTTTGAATTCAAAAGACAGAAGTTGAGAAAGTCAGCCGATGTAGATGTGGGTGCAGAATTGAGACAGGTGGACTCTATACCGTCAAACAGGTTGTCACTGCCATTTTTCAATAGACAGTTAATATTCAGAGGGATGAAGAGCTGGGCTCTTAGTGGGTCTCCGTATGGGTAAGAGGTCAGTGCAAAGGGGACTTCGAGAGCAGGAACCAGCAGGAAGCTGCAGGAGGCTGCTTTTCTGTGCCAGCCTTGAACCTGTCAGAGAAGAACAGTTGAGAACAATAATAATAATGAATGAATGAATGAATGAATGAATGGTTTTATTTGGTCACAATAACAACAAATGAGAAACAAACAGAATTATAAACTTGACCAAAAAAAAGGATTAGGCGGAAGCACAATGCTTATAGTTGCCTATCCTTTACAATCCTTATAACATCATTTTAATATTTCAAACACTTGATAATGTTGAAATAAGGTAAAAAGAAAAACACTTTAACATCAAAAAGAAAACATTAAAAAAATATGGTGCACTACAAAAAGAAAAAAAAAAACAAAACACAAAGAATGAAAGAAAATTTTTTACTCAAAGCTGTACTCCTGAATTATTTTGCTTTTTAACGCTTTTTTAAATATTACCTGTGAGTTACACAATTTTAACCCATCGTTATTCCATTGCTTAACTCCCCAAACTGAAACACAGCTAGCTTTTACATTTGTTCTTGCTTTTTTATCCGTTTTAAAAATACAAAGCCCTCTTAAATTGTACCATAAAAACTTTATTTATATAGCTTTTTTAAAAACAAGAGTTTACAAAGTGCTTTAACATGCAGGAAAACAAGGCAAGATAAAAACAACAAAACAACAAGAGAATACTTAGGGGAAGAGCCTAGACAAGACTAAAACCCAGACTACATGTCCTAATGAGACATTATTGACGATAAAAAAATAGAATAAAAATCGGTGGAAGACATAAAAGCTTTGATGAGTGTCACATGAGCTGAGATGTCATTTAAACAAAGACATTAAAACAAAGACATCATAAGAACCTGCGATACCCAGTCAACACTGGAACCGAACCACAAAAACCTGAGACAAAGAGGACTGAAGTTTAGAAAGGCATGTAAAAAAAGAAGGAATAAGAACTAAAAACATTGAGAAGTGAAATTGTAAATGAAAAATAAATGTAAAGGAGTAAGTCAGAGGAAGAGAACAGCTAAAGTGATACAATGTATCACAAAAAAAAAGTAGACATGAATAAGAAGAGAAAAAGTTTTTAAAGAAGACAGCAGTGACTGATGATGCACTTCTGTTTTCACCCCCTCCTCTCTGGATTCTTGTATGATTATGAGTTTTCTGTGAATTAAGGTCAAGGGTCAGACATCTCCATACTATACACATAAGACAGGGCTTTGTTTACAGCAATCATGTGTTTGTAGTGATGAGCTAACTCTCTATCACCCAGACAACAAAGATAATATACAGTTAAAGGAATATTCCAGTGTAAAATTAAGTTAGGGTCAAACACAGCGTAACACTGAGTTAGACACTCCCTTGAGAGATGAATGTTGCCAACCGCTTGCTACTCTAGTTTGACTAACTTTAGTAACGACTGCAGGATAGCAATACACAACGGTCTGAGGAGCCATAAACAAACCTCAAAGGAAACGCCACTCTATAGCCACAAATAATGCTCAGAACAGCACCTAACTTCATCAACAGTACATATAGGGTCCCAGCCACAGCACTATCCACCAAACATCTTTTTAGTTTTGCCTAATTTTTTTGGCAAAGAGACTAAACACAACTCACCTAATCTCTTCAAACAGCCGCTGGTTTGGTAGCGAGACCTCAGGCTAGTCCATTATGGACTGCTGCAGGGTGACGCAGCTAATAATAATAATAATAATGCATCAGATTTTCAGCGCTTTACATTGGATACATCATTCATTCGCTCACACAGTCAAACCTTGGTGGTGGTAAACTACCTTAGTAGTCACAGCTGCCCTGGGGCAGACTGACGGAAATGTGGCTGCGAGTTTGTGCCTACGGCCTCTCCGACCACCCCTAAACAACACTTACAGTCATACACCAGTGGAGGACACACACACTGGGAGTAAGGTGGGTTAAGTGTCTTGCCCAGGGACACAACGGACAGACTAGGGATAAGACGGGGCTCGAACCACCAACCTTCCAGTTATTGGCTGACTGCTCTACCTCCTGAGCTACTGCCGCCCCAAGGAAGAACATTTATGATCATTTCTTCATGGAAATGCAATCAGACTGAAACGCTAAGGCAGAAGAACTACTGCGTCTGCTGTGCAAAATGATAAATATGGTGATTATTACTTTAAGGAAATGATAAAGAAATGATCATAAATGTTCTTCCTTGAGCTGCGTCACCCCGCAGCAGTCTGTAATGGATTGGCCCGAGGTCTCGCTACAAATAAGTGGCTGCTGGAAGTGAATTAGTAAGTTGTGTTTAGTCTCTTTGCTAAAGAAATTAGTAAAGACTACCTTGTCTGCACTGCAAAATGATTGTTATGATGATTATTACTTAATGACAATGATCCGCTGAAATTGATCGACTCGTCAGGGTTCCCCCCACAAACAAGCTGCTTCCGGAAGAGAGTAGGTGAGTTGTGTTTGGTCTCTTTGCTAAAGATATTAGGCAAAGCTAAAAAGATGTTTGGTGGCTAGTACTATGGCTGGGAACCTACATGTACTGTTGATGAAGTTAGGTGTTGTTCTGAGTATTATTTGTGACTTTTTTTTTTAGGTTTGTTTATGGCTCCTCAGACCGCTGTGTATTGCTGTCCTACGGTCATTACTAAAGTTGGTCAATCTGGAGAAGCAAACGGTCGGCAACATTCATCTCTCAAGGGGTGGGGGGTGTGGGGGGGGTGTAACTCGGCATTACAGTGCCCTGAAGTAATTTTATGCTGGAATATCCCTTTAAGTTCCATTTCAGACCACATCAATAATCCCAGATAGAGATCCACATTATCTCTCTTTGATTTGAACATTTATATCTTTGGACCTTACTTTAGCCTGAGTACACCACCCAGGCTGAACTGAAACCAGACAGTCTAGCCTTTGAAGAACTGTGTGCTGATGTTACGATTTTGATGATGGTGTCAGATACTGCTGCTCTTATCACCTAGCAACACGTGGCTACTCAGCGAAGCACCTCAAGACAACAAGCCTTAAAACAAAGATAATCTTAAATTTCATTGTGTCCATTGTTTTTAGCATTTGTACAGCTCGCTACTGAGTCCAAACAAAATATTGTAATTTAACAGTGTTTGATAATCACGAGAAAAGTGGCTGTGAAGGGTTGACTTAATCCAGTGTTTAAGGCTACCAACAGAAATGACCTTTGCTGTGGGCAAAACAGCTCTCAGCAGGTTTTATTCTGATTTTTATACAGCGTATTGCATGAGGCACACAGACATTAAATTTATTTATCTGTGTTTTTTAAAGTAATACATCTCTCTCTGTTAGGATGTAAACATCCACATAAGACTGAGATTTTAACCATTTTCTATAATGTCTGTGATTACTACAGAAGCTCCGGTTTGTGTGCACAAACTAACTTGTCTTTGTGTCACCCATGCAGTAGGATGATGGATGATTTAGGAGAAAACAGGCCATCTGTTTGGAAGTGTAATTACCATCTCAAAGAGCACTGCAGCAGTGACAGCCATCCAGTGGAGCTTTATCTCAAAGGCAGCATTGAGGGAGAAGTTTCCATGATAGTAGCAGCTGCACCACTCTTTCCGGTCACTGCGGTTATTCACATCCACATCCAAAGTGACTGTCTTCTGCTCCGGGACGGTAGCAGCTAGAAGACAGATAGACAGAAGGAGAACGAGAGACAGTAGTGACAAAGCGAAGGACAAGAGGAGAAAGACAGAAAAATGGAGTGGGTGAAAATATGTCTCCTGTTTATTCTCAATATCAAAAAACAGGTTTAAAAATAACACATTGGTATCACCTCAACCTTATCATTAGACTGAGAATGCTGCATTTTCTACATATTTTAAATGACTCTCTTAACTAAAAGTATTTTAAAAATCCAAATTAGTTCAATGTGTTTCCGGTAAAGCCGTCAACTTATTGAACACTGTATAGAGAAACTTTGTTTACATTGAACCAGGGTGTGAAGGACGCATCATGGACAGGAAATGCTCTTTCATCACAGTTTCTGATGCCTGACAACAAGCCTCAAAACAGACCCACCCTCTGTCCCCTGTATAAAGTCTCAGGCACTTTGCTGCAGTTCTTTTGTGTATGATCTACAGTACACTGTGTGTAGGGGGAGATTGTGGCTTTTCTGAAGTATGGACTGGTCTGTAAGGGATCGGGGAGTGTACCTAGCAGTGCAGCAGCCTGGCTGCGCCCTCCAAAGCTGCGGCTGAAGGAGCTGTGCCTACTCGCATAGGAGGCTGGCCGGCTAGGTAACCAGGGTAATAAAAATGCTGGGAGGTCACAGGGTCGAGGCTCTTCCAGCACAAAAGCCACCTCAAACCACTTTCTCTGAAACAGGGCAAAGTCTTCAAGGGCGGCAGCAGACCAGCCACCAGACGTTGTGGGGGGGAGTGGGGAGGTCAGACCTGCATAGGACAGAACAGGAACATTAACAGTCCACATTTTGACACTGATTCTAAATATAAAACATGTCAGCATATTTGAATGTTTAAAAACTGCACTGATAATGACACTGAGAGATCCACTAAGATCTGCTCACCATCCTTCTCCCCAACTATCCTGTAGAAGTAGAATCCATAGACAAAGGTACGCATGGCATCTCCAGAAGCATGAGCCACCAATCCTTCATCCAACATTTTCTACAAACAGAGAGATTTAATCCAGACAGTTTAGAGTTTCAGAAAAAGGAGGACTTCCCCTGTGCTGGGGCGTGCCTACACCACAACATGTTCATCTGTATTAATCCAAATCTCCGAGATTCAAATCTCTCTTTTTTGACTTTGTTCTGCTGTTGTCTGTCTTGCTCAAAAACTCAGAAGGACTAATAACAGCCATTTGATACAGATATACTGCATGCTGCATGTGCCCAACCACTGCTTCTTTCTCCCTCTAACCATCTTTAGCATTTGTGCAGCTCGCTACTAAATCCAAACAAAACACTGTAATTTAACAATGTTTGATAATCACAAGGCTACCAACAAAAATGACCTTTGCTGTGGGCTAACACAGCTCTCAGCAGGTTTTATTCTGATTTTTATACAGCATATTGCATGAGGCACACAGACGTTAAAATTAATTATCAGTGTTTTTTAAAGTAATACATCTCTCTCTGTTAGGATTAAAACATCCACATCAGACTGAGGTTTTAAGCGTTTTCTGTAATGTCTGTTATTACTACAGAAGTTCTGTATGGGGCTAGTTGTAACCCTCGGTGTATGGCGATGTGTTCGGTGGCTACACAAGGAGGGTGTCCTTCATATGATCTATTTCATCTCAGGAGCTGATTGGCTAAAGATCTACAGTCTCGCAGGTGTCTTCAGTTAAGCGACACACTTCTCCCCTCTATGCCTTAATACTGATCCTTTCCTTAATCACCTGGGTTTTGTGTGTGGATTTGCACTCGTTTTGTCCTTGATCTGCTTTGATTTTTCATAAACACTGTTTTGCTTATTTTCTTCAGACATGGCTGGGGATGCTGTTCAGTTGTTTTGATTGGCCTGATATGTTGTTCCTCATCAAAGTGAAATGTGTGAAATTAAAGATAAGTCAAAACCTACAGTACTGACCTGCATGATATCTATGGCCATCCCCTGTGTAGCTATGCCATCCACATTGTTGACAAGCCAGTGAACAACCTCTGCACTGATGAAGCAGTTGGCTGGGAGACCCTTCTGTTCTGGAAGCAGCTGAACACCCGTCCTGTTGAAGAAAGCGAGGTCATAATGTTATCAAAAAACTCACTCCAAAATGAAAATATAAAAGTAAGCTATGTTTACTGAATACTTTTTTGAAAACTTTACAGCAGTCAAGGATCCTACGGGGTTTCTGCAGGTTTCAACCAATTCCAATTAAACTTTATTTGTATGGCACTTTTCATACAAAAAAAAAGGGGTAAAAGAAGTAAAGGGGTAAAATTAGTAAAACGTGGTAAAAGAAGTAAAAACAAGGAGGTGGGTAAAAGAAGGGGTAAAAGAAGTAAAAACCTGTAACAGGAATTAAAAATAAAAGACTAAGAACAGAGACAATTAATAAAATGATATAAAATAAACATTAAGAACATTTGCAATGAGAGAAATCTAAAATGGCAAATAGTAAAAAGCCTGATTAAACTCACTTAATCACTTAAAAAAGTGAGTTTTGAGCCTCTTCTTAAAAACATCAGCAGAGTCTGCAGCCCTGAGGCTCTCCAGCAGGCTGTTCCACAACCAGGGGGCATAGAAACTTTCAGTTTGGGCAATCCAGTTGCGTGAATCACTTGCCACTCCTTCCCACGCAACTAGATGGCCCAGCAAGGCTACCTTTCTATGGCCTCCCTGTATGTTTTTGTTTTGACTCTGGGTAAGGTTAAAAGGCCTGTGCCGGAGGACCTCAGGGTCCGCGAGGGTTGATATGATAAAAGTAAATCAGATAAATAAGAGGGGCCAAGACCATTAATACATCTGTACTGTTATTGTTGCTTTTTTTGTTATCGTTGTGCACTTTGAGATTTGTTTTCAAATGTACAGTGCGTTACAAATAAAATCTATTATTATTATTATTATTAAAAGCTAATAAAAGAACCTTGAAATCAATCCTGAAAGGATGGGGAGCCAGTGCAGCAATGCTAAAACTGGCATTATAAGCTCTCGCCCTCTGGCCCTTGTCGGCACTCTTGCAGCTGAATTCTGTAATAGCTAAAGTGCCTGTAAGTTCCTCTTGGGAAGGTCAGAGAGCAGAGCATTACAATAATCAAGACGAGAGGAGATAAAAGCATGCATCAGCACCTCCGTGCTGGCCTGAGAGAGAAACGGGTGGACTCTGGCTATATCTTTAAGGTGGTAAAAACCTACCTTTGCTATGTTTTTGATGTGTGGAATAAAACTTAGCTCAGAGTTGAAAATTACGCACAGGTTCTTTACAGATGTTGATACTTTAAAATCTTGGAGTTTTGGTAAAAGTGTCTCTCTCAGGCCTTCAGGACCAATAACTAAAACCTCTGTTTGGCCTGGTTGAGCTGTAGGAAGTTGGCTGCCACCCAGGACTTGATGTCTAAAATGCAGTTTAAAAGGGCATCAATTGGCCCGCTATCATCAGGAGACACGGCCATGTACAGTTGCGTATCATCAGCATAACTGTGGAAGTTGATGCCATGCCTCTTGATGATGTCCCCCAGGGGAAGCATGTAAAGATTAAAAAGAGTTGGACCTAAAATTGACCCCTGGGGAACCCCACACATAATTTTATGGGTTTCGTTTGGAACATGTTTCCATACTTACTAAGAAGTGTCGATCATTGAGATAAAAGGTGAACCAGTTAAAAACAGTGCCTGAGAGGCCAACCAGGTGCTTAAGTCTATTTAATAAAATGTGATGGTCTACTGTATCAAAGGCGGCGGTTAGATCCAGCAGGACCAAGACTGTGTTTGCGATTATCTAAATTGCACCTGATATCAAAATTTTTAAGAGGGCTCTCTCAGTACTGTGGCTCCTCCTAAAACCTGTTTGGCACTTCTCTAAAATGTCCTTTGTATTTAAAAAAACATTTACTTCTTGAAGAACAAGTTTTACAAGAATTTACTTAAAAATGGGGGTGGATACAGGCCGGTAATTGTTAAAAATCTTGGGGTCCAGATTGCTCTTCTTCAGAAGAGGCCTCACCAGCACCGTTTAAAAGGAGGTGGGGAAGACCCCCGTCTGAAAAGAGCAATTTACAATGTTTAAAAGCTGTTCCTCAAAGAATCCATAAAACCAGTGGTGGCCGGCCCACAGGGAGCGCTGGGGCGCCGCCCTCCCTCAAAAAAAATGAAGGGAAAAATGTTTCTAAGAAAATATTTTTACAATAAAGATGTTTTTACCAACTAATGCGGGGCCACTTGCAATGCTAATTATTTAAACTACCTTTTTTCACCTGCTATTATTTATTTACCATTGAATTTCCGATGACAGACTCGTATAGATTCTTTCACGGGGCGTTGGTCAGATCACCCCAGCACTGCAAAGAAATAACCAATTGTGTACAGTTGCCAGGTAAAATTAATAAATATTTGGCTAGTCTGCATAGCAGAAATTTATGGTCTTGGGGCGCTGAATATATCGCCCTTGCGGCCAAAAGTGTCGCAAGGTTTTTAGGGGCGGTTTGAGGAGGAAGAGGAGCCTGTGCATGCACCTAATTAAGCTAGCGCAGTAGTTACGGTAATGGTGAACTTAACGAGCGAGGAGCAGCCCAAATTCCACCGAATTTGGTGCGATCGTTATTGGTCCATCCATTTACACAAGACATTTTATGGAATTTTAAGAGAATTTTAGACATTTTTAGATCTTCAATTCAAATTATTGGATTTTATATGTTAAAAGACTTTTTAAGATCCAGCAGAAACCCTGATCTTACCAAAACAAACAGATCTCAAAGACAGTTACCACCAAGACCCTTAAAAAGAAGAACCAGGTTTACGTGGGATGTTTGATGGCCTCCAAGATCTCCAAGAGAGTTGAAGAGGATGTCAGGGAAAGAGATCCAGCTGCAGCCTGCCCACTGTAAACACATCTCTGATGATCAATGCTGGTTTTAGGCAGATCAGTTGAAGTGTTTGTTGTCAAAGAATTGAACAACGATAATCACACAGAAAAATAAGGTCCTGTCTTAATTATACTGGGACAGAGTAGGTTTTCATTTTTGAAACTCCTCCTGAGTTTAAATTGCTATAAATAATGGATACCTGAAATAAAAATATATATTTATAATCCTTAAATAGATGATAGATTATTGTCATGTAATAGATGTTGGTAATATTCCTGCTGTTAACAGGACAGAGAGATACCTGATGTCCGTGCTGCTGCTGCTAGCTGCTGTCTCCCCTGCAGTAGGCGCTCCTGTCCCAGCTGTTACTGAGGAAAGGATTCCTTTGTCTGGAGCATCGATGGCATCAACAAACTGCAAAGGCAGGAGGTACTTTTAACAGTGTTTAAAGGGTGTCTTCAATCATAGAAAACAAACAAACAAACAAACAAACAAACATATAATTCACTGTTATTTGTCCAGGGATATGTGACACTGAGATTCCTTCCCCAATAACAGTAGAGTGAAGATGAATGTACTGAGTTTGTTCTGAAATATTATAATCTGGATCAACATTTAAATGTGTTTATTGTCCTTGAGCTCAAAGAGAGTATTAGAAAGATCGTGCTGAAGATAGTCTATAGTTTCACTGAGTGACAGAGGCTGATGTTGAATAAAATAATGCAAGTACCATGATCAGTAACTGCTGTTCACCTCTTTTGTTAGGAGTGGGCAGGAATCTCAGACAGAAACCCCAGACAGAAGAAGAGGAGGGAAAATGTTAGTATTTTATTACAGTGAACAGACCTTTTACCATCCAACCTTCTGGGGTCATGCATTCAAACAGCTGACAGCCTTCCCTTAGTTTTGTGTGAAAAGATCCAGCCATGTTACAAGATAGTTTAACAGGATGAGGAGGACTCATATTTTACTCTACAGAGCTGAGGGTCTGAATCTGATTGGTAGGGCTGTTAAGTCCTAGTCAACTGATCGACTAATTGGTCGATACCTGCTGAGTAAACCAAAATTCTGATTGTATTTTTTTTTCTTTATTTTTCTGCATCAATCTACAGTCTATGGTCAATTTCATCAAAAAGAATGTATAAAAGTGCTAATGGGGGTGTTTTCACTGTTTCATGGGTAACAGCCTGTCCCAGAACACTCCCCTTTTTTTCACCATTTTGGATTCGCCCAACCCACTGGAGACTGGCGGGAGACAGGAAGACTGAAGAGCATCCACTTTAATCAACTTCTGGTGGTTGAAAATCTCAGGGTTTTAGTCGACCAAGAATTTCTTTGGTTGATTACAGCCCTACTGTTTGGACAGATGATATTGGTGCTTGTTGAAACATCTTATGGTCCATCTAAGGGGACATATGACAATATCTATGCAATTAATTACAAAACACAATGTACACAACAAAACTGGCTACTGGAGTAGTCATTTTTAGACAACCCGATCTCAGTCATTATTTCATTGTAAATGTTTGCTTCTTTGCCTTTAGCTGCAGCCACCATCCATGCTAGACGGTTAAGCAATATAGGATCTTGTTTCTACCCTTCCTTTTATAGTCTGCATCTCAGAAACACAACATTTGGAAGATCACATGACTTGTTCTCATTGTAGGGAGTACATATGTATGCACATGGAGTCCATATACATAAGGTTGGCTCAGCCTGTGATCTTATTTTTCTACTCTGATTTAGAGTCTGACTCTGAATCCATTTCTCTATGATTTTGGTTTTCACTGATTGTGATTACAGTATTATGAGGATCTTTTCACTGGAATATCTCATCCATGGAGGGATGAGTGTTCTCTCTTATTTTTTTGAGCAGTGTCTCATTTTGCAGTGATGTTCAAATTCCACACAGTTGGATTATTATTTTATGACATTGAGCGCCTTCTTAGCTGATTACGATATTTAGCTGCAAACTCCTCACCTCACCAGACTGTGGGATCAGTAGGTCCAGAGTAAAAAGCTGATTTAAAGGTAGACTGTGGGGAATCTCTGAAACCTCCGGCCTTTACACTGATGCCTTTAAAGAAACTTAGTCCTGAACCTTACTATATTTTGTTCTTAAAACTAGTGCCAACTAGAAAAATTGCATTTCCTTGCAGGAAATGCTGAGTGCTGAAAGCTGAAAAAGCAATGCAAAACTGATAAAAAATAATGGAGGAAGGTTTAAATGTAAAATTGGATAAAGGGCTGGAGAAAGAGAAGTAGAAGTTGGATGAAAGTGAAAATTGCTGAAGTACAAATAGTATGAATGTGCTTCATAAATTAAAATTGCATTCATGCTTAATAGGGCAAGAAAAACTGTCTGAAATTGCAAAAAAATTGGATAAGGAAGAAAATTACCTTAAAACACAGAAAAGTGAGAAGTGGCATAAGTTTAAGTTGTAGTACTAAAAGTAGTATGATAATAGGTAGTTGTAGTAGTGATAGTAATGTAAGCAGTAGAAGTAGTTTTAGAATAGAGGAAGTAGAAGTCAAAGCAGTAGAGCTCGTGGTAGAAGTAAGAGTAGAAGTAAAAAAATATTGAGAAGCAAGAGCAGTGGAGGTAGAAGTGAAGATACAAGTTAAAGTGATATACTGTAAGTAGTAATTGTAGTGGTAGAACTGGGATTTTGTTTGAAGAATTAAAACACATACATAATGAGAATGATTTTGAAATGGTAAAAAACTGAAAATAATTAGAAATCCTGAAGTGTTAGAAAGGTTTGAAGTATCAGAAAGTTTTGAATGAGTTTGAATGAGTTTGGATTTGTCTGAAGAATTCAATAATGCATGAATAATGAGAATAATTTTAAAGTGGGGAAAAGTAAAATGAATACAAATCCTGAGTACACCCCATAATGTCCTCAATGAGCTGAATTTTTGGAGCCCTGAATGGTTTCTGTAGGTCAAGGTTTGTGGTAGGAGATAGGGGCCAAAAAGGGTTTTAAATGTAACCCCCAGTGCTCTATGTACTGAGCCTGGCTCCATGTGTCTCATATGGCCGTTAGAAGCTAGCCTGGCTGGGCCATCCAGTTGCGTGAATCACTTGCCGTTCCTTCCCACAACAGTCTGGACTTTGGCCAATTGGGAGCCCTAAAAGTGGGCAGGAGTACTTTCCTTGATAGACAGACTATTGTAACCAATCACCATAACCAAACATCTGACTTCATCACAGTGCGCAACTGTGTTCCCTGCTGGGCTCTCAAGCATCAAGTAAAGGTTTGGTAATATTTCAACGTGTACGAGCAAACAACGTCTTTTACGTCTTTTTCTGCAGATTTAAACGATTTCTGCTGACTTTGCAAGGTCAACTGCAGAATTAACAGCGTTCTGAATGAACGGCGCTTTGAAAAGTCCCGCAGCATGTGTAAGACGTCTCCAACTACACATGGACCAATCAGGGGCTGTCTTTCCCTGTTGTCCGGGGAACAGTGGAAACACAGTCACTGCTTGGCCCGGTTATTTTCTGATTTGTAATACACGCTCCCAATTAACCAAAGTCCAGACTGTTGTGGGAAGGAAAGTGATGGCAAGTGATTCACGCAACTGGATGGCCCAGCCAGGCTAGTTAGAAGCAGCTTTCCAGTCAGCTGTGTATCTCCAGGTGCACTAATTGGTTGCCATGGGAACGGTAGATGCATAATTACAGCAGGAGAAAGAGGGCTTGAAGCTGAGAAAAGAAATCCAAAACTATGCCCTGAAGCTCATTCTCTGTAATGGCTACATTCATGATAAGAAACTTGTGAGAACCCCACGACTCTGCTGAACATATTGATACAATTAATTAACAAAATCCTAAATGCACCCTATAATGTCCTCAATGAGCTGAATTTTTGAAGCCCAGAATGGTTTCTGTAGCTCAAAGTTTGTGGGTGGAGATAGGTGGTGAAGCAGACACATTAACTGTGTGTACATGCAGGTCTTTTAGACAGAGACACACACGCACACACATTGTCAGACTGTGTGTGTCTCGTTATGATTTTATCCTAAACAGCTGTGACATCAAAGGCATTAACAGACCTACTGTTAATGAACTGAACTGCAGTGAATTTAGGGCCTCTGAACTTCTTCACTTCGCGTGATTTCCTTAAATCCCAGAATGAAGATAAGAACATTGTACTAATCCTCCGCCCTTAATGAACACAATGATCTGTTTTTCATGTCTGTACTCCAAAAAATGTGGCCACAACAGCGAGTTAAAAAAGTCTGAGCCTGAGTGACGATCAGGATTTTCTTGGAGAAAAAATACATTAGGGTTAATGGGAGAGATCTCCGCCTATTTGGACAGTTGGTCACCTGAGGCCTGTACTATGAAGCTGGATTTGGTTTTAGCGAGATAACTTCTGGGTTTTCTGTACTATGAAGGTGGATCTCTTTTTATCCGGGTCCGTTGCCCCGGTAACATACGCGGAACGGCAAACCTGCTCCGTAGCAGGTTATGTTTCAGGATAAGATCTCAGCAGGTATAAAAAACCGCCCACTGACCAATCGGATCTCTTGGTAAATGGCTTGCCCAATCTTGCCGGATCCCGGGGACATCGTTGCACGGATAGTGAGAGGAGTGCTTCGCCGAGAGCGTTATATTCATGATCGTTCAAACCCCTTTGATTTACCTGATGATGTTCTATATGAACGTTACAGGTTTTCCTCGGACGGCCTCAATATTCAGGTAGCATGAAGTCTAAGCAATACACTAATATTTGCCAAGCTTCAGGTTCCAATTTCATGCGGCATATCAGTCATCATTCAGAATTTATTGAAGCAGATTAGAAAACTCTTAACCCCAAATGTGTCTGCAGATGACATGACCATCAGATGATGGAGAAAAAAAGAAAAAAAGGCAGTGTGAGGAAATCACTGTTTACGTGTTTAAATATACAAATAAAATCTTCCAATAAACCTACAAACTACTTTAAAGGATGTTTTTAGATTTATTTTTATTTGCTCCCACGTACTCTTTTCCCCACTGCTGTTGTGTCTGAAATAATGAGGTCTATGATGGAGGTGATTACACACGCTGCATGACAACATATTAGGGGGCCATAAATTTATGAACGCACAAATGTAATTTACACAACCGGTGATTTTTTTTGCCAGCAGTCCCTCCGGCTTTTAGTGGCTGCAGCTGTCCTGCTCCTCACTGTTATAATGTTGCTGTACTCCTCGTAAAATAATGCTCTGTTCTTCAGCTGTGAAAAATGACGTGCAGCCTTCTCCATTGTGGAGATTGGTCCCGTGGCACTGACCCCACCCCCTTTATGTATGCGCGCACAGATCTGAAGAGGCCACACCTGGATTCAGTTATCGAGTTGATATCCGGCTTCGTAGTACAGCTGATCGAGATCGCGGAGATCCGGTGAAGTTTAGCGAGTTGCCGCAGAGTTATCCTGGATGTGTTAATCCAGCTTCGTAGTACAGGCCTCTGCTTGCCAAGGGGTAGGATTCAATGATTTGAAACCTCTTTTGTGAGAAGCAGGACACATATACCTCCATTTTGATGTATTTTTTTATGGCTGTGGAGTGAAATTTGTGGGCGTGGGAGCGATATATTCGAGCGAGGTTCTGTCGAAAAAAGCAGAGCTGTCCACTCTAGCTTTTAAATTACACACTCTAGCCTCTCCAATACACACCCATTATAAAGCCTGAAATTTGCTGAAAACCACGAGTTGCTTAAAGCTAACAATAATAATAATAATAATAATAATAAAGAACAGAATAACAATAAGTGGAAATGCTGTGTAAGCATTTCCACTTAACAATAATAATGATAATAATAATAATAAAGAACAGAATAACAATAAGTGGAAATGCTTAATCAGCATTTCCACTTAACAATAAAGAAAATGGCCGACGGGAATAACAATAAGTGGAAATGCTGATTACGCATTTCCACTTAATGAAGATTGCTAATGGTCGCTGTTACAATGAAGGCTCAATATACAGTGAGAGGGGAAACTCATGACCTTATGTTGGAGACCTCAGAATGAAAGCAGGAAGTAAACAAGGATCTAGGGTTAGGGTGACCAACCGTCCTGTGTTCCCAGGACATGGTCTGTTTTCATATCCTGTTCTGGCTTTCCTGGTTGTTTTTCTAAAGTGACTAAAAATTTCCTGGTTTTCACTGTTTTTCAACGGGCCATCAGGATGAAGAAGAAAACTAAAGAGATAGATATTTTGTGTTAGTAAGTTTTTGTAAGTTTGTGAGAGCAACTTTTGTTAAAGTCGAATTGCTAATATTACAGAGATATTTATTTATTTATTTAACTTTCTAACACAGAAGAGACATATTTCTATCACTATTTAATTAGGCTTTCAAAATTTGTCATGATAAAATATGTTTAATAATCCTGAGAAATCTATCTGAATTTGTGTCCTGGGATATAGAAAGTATGAGATAATATTATACAGAGAGGGCATAATTTAAATGTATCGAAATTATGGGGCATCTTTGTGTAAACTTTGAGTATCATTTGAGTATCTCATTGCCGGGCTGAGTGTCCTGGTTTTCAGCAATTAAAATACAGTCACTCTATCCAAACTCCTTTGAGTTGATTTCATTAAGTACATACTGTATACCAGTAAAAAGTATCATCTAAAACTTAAGTGAAAATAATATGTTTTTTGCAATCAGATCAAGACGCTAAGGCAGAAGGACTACTATGTCTGCACTGCAAAATGATTATTATGATGATTATTACTACATGGAAATGATCCTCTGCATTTGGTGATCAACTTTTCAGGCTGTTAGCTGCTGGAAGAGAGTGGGTGAGTTGTGTTTGGTCTCTTTGCTTAAGAAATTAGGCAACACATGGAGACAAAGACCGCTGTGTATTAACATACGGTTGACGAAAGTTGGTATAACTAGAGAAGCAAGCAGTCAGCAACATTCATCTCTCAAGGGGGGTGGGGGGGGTCTGACTCTGTGTTATGGTGTGTTTGACCCTAATTTTAAATTTATGATGGAATCTCCCTTTAGGTGGTATTTCTATAGACATGGTGTCATGAGGGGGGTGACTGCCCCTCTGTCTCTCCTTTTAGTTAACCACTGACAGTCATCAGAGAGTAAAATTCAGTCAAAGGGAGAACTGGAATCTGTCGAGGCACTGCCACTCAAAAAGTGTCTGTACACACCTCACTTATGCAGCCAAGCAGAAATGCAGTCATGCAAAGTGACTCAAAGGAACTAAAGCACATGTGGTCACACACACTCACAACAAAACACAGCTTCAGCGATGCACTGCGAAACCGTTACTGACCTGAGAGCAATAGATGTAGGAGGAGCGAGGGCTACGTATAAAATCCAAAATAAAGGCAGCATCCTATCAGCATACAAGAAGAACATAACCCAGGATCAAACACACAAAGCTTAGCAAAAGTGAAAAATGTAGATGGAAGGAGAGACATGAGAGCATGAGCCTGTGACCACCAGCACCAGAGAGGGAAAAACATCCATTTAGGGGTTTGTGGTGGATACTCACAATTATCATTTACAGCAGACAAAAAAAAAAAAAAAAACGTGTTCTGATTCAACACAAAGCCCAGGTGCTCACCTTTCGGGGACTGTCTACATATGTGGGAGCTGTGGTCATACTTGTTGTGTCGCTGACAGTGGTTGAGGGTTTTGCCTGCTGGAGCTGCTCGTCCAGTGTCCTGAGGAAAAGTGGAGAGAAAAACACCAACAGTGAGATTTACAGCTCTGATGTCAACATTTGGTCCCAGTATCCCAAGATACACTCACTTCTGGTTCTGCTCCATCTCCAGAAGGGCTGATAAGGCTGAAGTGCCTTTCTTGCCTTGGGCAGGTGCCACAGGCTCAGTTGGATACGATAGAAGAGGACTGGTTACCTGAAGTCCTTTCAGTGGTGTTCCTTTCTGTTATGGGGATAAAAAAAAGTTAAATTAACAGAGGAAAATGATGCACCTTTACACAGAGGCACTGTCAGAAAAACAAGCTGGTGACTGAGCCAAGACTAGAGTCAAAGTTAGCCCATGTTTCTGTTAAGTTTTTACATGTTGTCCTTGAAAAATGTAAAGTCTCTGAGAGGCTTAATCCATACCCAAAAAGCTGACTGTATCGTCTTGACTAGAAAAAACAATAAACTACAAACCAAGACGTGGCTGAAACCGGCTAAACATCGGAGTGACGCGTTAATGGGCCACTCGTCAAAAAAAAGTTAAGTTTGCAATAATAATCCACCCAAAGTTTATTTACAACACACCAATAGGTTCCAAAAGGCATAATTGCCATACAAATTCGTCCTTGACAAGTGCAAAAAAAAAAAACAAATTGACGGTCAAAAACTTGTGTGCTCTCACCAGTCACAAAACACTCACACACCTGCCTCTAATAAGCGCTTTATAGGTTAAAGAGACAAGGAAACACTTCCACCTCACATGCAGGTGGAGCTACCTACTGGGAAACATCAAAATTACATGAACCCAAAATCCATACTGGATGAGAAATTTAAATACACAAATATGGAATATGGCAATACCATACAAATTGGCTCTAACACACCGGCCCATAATTGTTATCTACATACCAGCAGACATAACAATTACACCATGTAAATGCAACAAAGAGCCAATGTGCAATATGGTTTTCACAAAGTGACAGAAGCCGTAACACAAACCCTCTTATACAAAATCTCAGGTCTTGGAGAGTGTTGCCTCGTGCAACATGCAAAGCTTGGTTACTGGCCGTTCCAGAACATTGGTTTTTGTTTTGAGACGCACTGAGCGCACCAGGCCATTCTTGTCTGGAAATGTTTCCAAAACTCTGCCGAGGAGCCAAGAGCCCTGAGGAGCTGCAGAGTTGACCACAACAATAATGTCTCCAGGTACAAAATTTCTCCTGGGTTGGTTACACCTTTGTCGTTCTTGAGACACTCCTCTCAGTCACTTTAACTCTGTCACTTTATCACTGGTCACTTTAGTTTAATGTACCTTGGTTTTTTAATTGCACTTCTCTCACTGCACTGTTCTGTATTGTGTAGTTGTACATAGCCTTTTATACATCCTGTACATAGCACTGTACAAAACCTTTTATACTTTATATATGTCCTGCATGCTCTTATCATTTTCTATTGTAGTGTTTTATAATATATTCTCCATTTAGTGTTGCACCATCACGCCGTAAAAAATTCCTAGTCTGTGAATCCTGTTCATTGACAATGGCAATAAAACCCCTTCTGATTCTGAAGAAGAGGGAGGTACACTTGCACGCATCTTTTCCAAAATAATCCAGCAATATATTGAGCTTGTCTCCACCTCCTCTTCACATACAAATCCTCCTTCACAAAGAGTCCAGCTGGTAAGATTGGCTTTCCCTTTATTAGAAGGATGTGGTTGGGCCTTAGTGGTTCAAGATCATTGAGATCATCAGAAAGTTTAGTGATGGGGCAATCGTTGAATATTGCCTCTACTTCGCACAAAACTGTGTGCAGCCCATTGTCATCCAGGGTTTGTTGGTGCAAAACAGGAGTAAGAACCTTCCTCACCATGCGTATCATTCCTTCCCAGATTCCTCCGTGGTGCAATGCCCCTGGTGGATTGAAACTCCAATGGATTCCATCTTGCAGTAAAGCTCCCTTCAATTGATCTTGGTTCAGAGATGCAATAAACACAAACTGGTGAACATCTGAAAGCACCATGTGTTACACCAACAATTCAGCATGGAGGTGGCAGTTCCATGGTATGGGGATGTTTTGCAGGTGATGGAGTAGGAGATTTGTTTGAGGTAAAGGGTATCATGAAGAGGGAACAGTACCACTCCATCTTCTAGCACCATGCTGTTCCATCTGGACTCAGACTTGTGGCTCATAAGTTTGTTTTGCAGCAAGACAATGACCCTAAGCACTCTGCCAAGCTCTGTCAGGGTTACCTAGACAAAAAAGAAGAGGAAGGTGTTCTTCAAAAGATGGTTTGGCCCCCTCAGTCTCCACACCTTTGTCCAATTGAGCTTGTGCAGGATGAATTGGATCGATCGGTCAGAAAAACGCGTCCCACAAATCAGCAGTCTCTTTTTAATGAACTTAAGAAAGCTTGAAATGCAATCCCTGGACATACCTTAAAAAACTTGTGGAACGAATGCCTGGTATATGCCAAGCTGTTGTTAAAGCCAGAGGAGGTTACTTTAAAGAAAGCAAAGTCTAAGCAACAATATCTCAAATACCTAATAATTATAGTCAAAATGTCTTCTGATAAGTTACTCTTTACACAATAGTCATGTTTATTGTGTTGCAAATTATATATATGAAACTATGATGTTTTTTTGTACAAATCTGATATTGCTTCCAAACTTTTGGCCTGTAGTGTACTTTGGCCTCTCTTCACCTCGAATGGTCCGAAGTAGTCAACTCCCACATTTGTGAAGGGAGGTAAATCAGGCAGCAGCCTTTCCTTAGGCAAATCTGACATTTTCTGTTCTCCTATCCTTGCACAGTAAAGCCTGCAGAAGTGACACTTTCCAATAATTTTCCGAACTGCCGAATTGGTGTTCATGATCCAGAACCTCTTGCGAAGTTTTGACAGTGTGTGATTTCTCCCACTGTGTCCTAGTTGTCATGGATGTGCCTCAGAATGAGTGTGGAAATTAACTAATATTTAGACAGAATAAATGGATGTTTAGTTTTTTCAGGCATAGCCACTCTGTTCAGTCGTTCACCAACTTTCAAAAGATCATTATCCAATTGTGGGTCCAGCTTATAGATCACACTGTCCTTTGCCACAGATCCTCCAGCAGATAATGCAGCAATTTCCTTCTGAAACCTTTGCCTCTGACAGTATCGTATAATGGAAAATTTGGCCTTTAAACAGGTCATCCAATAACAAGGGTTGCCTTTACAGGGCTCCTTTGACCTTTTCCATCTCCGCCTCGATGTAACTTGATGTAAAACCCTGCAACTTCTTCCTCCTTTGCGCCAACTTCAGCAGCACCTTTTTTACCTTGAGACACCAAGCCACAGCAGTCTAGAGTTTTTTTCCAGTCAGAGGAGTAAGTAACAAGCTGCTCTGTAGCATTAGGGACATCTGTGATGATTGCGTTCACAGCAACAGGTTTCTTCATCATCGTCACTGGCAACAATGCAGTCTGCTGTATAAACTGGCCATTCATCCACAGGCAGAGAAAGGAACTTTGGACCTCCGATCCATCTTCCTCCAGTCAATAGTTCTTCAGCTTTCCTGTTTACATTGGCCACTGAAAGACCATTTTGAGAACCTTTATTTGCTTGAAGGGGCCCGTTGACCACCCAGCCCAGTACAGTTCTCACAGCTTATGGACCATTTCCACGGCTGTTGACCACCTCCCAAGGTTCCAACAACCTGGGTGCATTGGTACCAATAAATAAGTCAACATTTACCTCTATGCTGGGAATTTGGACGTCAGACAGGTAAGGCCACTTCACCACATCTTCCTGGGTGACAATGTTGTCACAGGCATTTTTCTTTGGGCGAGAACTTCTGGGAGGCAGTAGAAGGTGTCACCATTGAGACGAGATACCTCTAAACCTTTCAGCAAGGTACTTGGGACCACCTTCACCTGTCCCATAGTGTGCAGAGGGAAGTTGGTCTGTCTTCCATGCACATTCAACGTATGCATCAAGTGTTCAGAACAAAATGTTGCTGAACTGCCTGAGTATAGTATAGTATAGTATAGTATAGTTATAGTTTATTTCGGCTTTGAAACAAGGTATATTCCATTCCATGACATTTCAATTACATTTGTTTCAGTAATCATACTGTTTGGCCAAAAAGGTATAGGCTGAAGCTAAGAGCTTATAGCGCCTACCCCATTTAAATGTAAGACAAAAGGAAAGACAAAAAAAAACAAAAAACAGATAGTACGACACATGGTTTCATGTTGTTTAGCTAGAAATCATTTGCTGGAATTCTCTGCTAGTCTAAGTCAAAAAGTCAAAAACAATAAAGAAGTGCTGTAAGACATCTGCTTACCCAATTAAGGATACAAAATGAGTACAGAACATCGACAAGGGAAACAGAAGAGGGAAGGACAGATATTTGGAGATATGGGTTGAGAAAGGCATACATTTGCATTATCTTTTTTCCTCTTTAGGATTTTACTTGGACTGGCAAAATGGACAACTTACTATCGCCACTGCCGGCCTCAGTAAGACCACAAGTTTGTGTTGAAGCTGTAGTGCAAGTTTGCTTGATGGCTGGAGTGATGGTTGGAGTAACTTTTAAAGGCTTATTTAGTGGAGTCCCTAAGCCCAAAAAATAAGCTGTTAACTTCAAGTCATGATACAAATTAGTGCTGGGCGATATGGAAAAAATGTATATCACGATATGGATCATTTTATATCACGATAACGATATACCACGATATAGCTATGGTATGCTTTCAGTTCTATGAAAAATTAAAGTGTATACAGCTGCCCTAGTACAGTGCCAGTACAAGACCAGCACTTAAAACTAGAAAAATGAATAAATAAATACGTGGCTGAACTCACAGAAAACGCTGATAGTGTGAGCCAAAGCACTCCATAACAATAATAATAATAATAATAATAATAATAATAATAATAATAATAATAAATTTAATTTGTAATGCACTTTACATTTACAATTACAAAGTGCTACAGTGCACAGTAAAAAAAGAGCAGCAACAATAAAAAAGCAATAGAATGACAGTTACAGATTGGCATAAAAAAAGCATAAAAGAATTAAAAAAAAATAAAGAATATAGAGTTGCAATTAAAGAGGCAAGGTAGTAAAAGCATAGAGGAAAGCTAACCAAAGGCTTCATTAAAAAGGTAGGTCATTAGGGCTCTTTTGAAGAGGTTGTTCACACTGCTGGATGTTTCTCCTCCAAAGCTGCTCTCTGCCTCCATCATTGTTTACTTTACTCTTGAAGCACGTAGCAAGACCCGAGCATGAATCCGAGACCTGCAGACAGGTAAGGTGATTTGATTCGCCACGATTCCAGAAATGATTGAAAAACTACAGAATGTCACAAAATTACGTTTCCTTGCTCCTGGCTTGAAGGGTAGAAATGCGCAGCCGCGCTCCCAGCTGACAGGAAGTCAAACCACTATTGTAGTTCTTTTGTGTTGCTAGCGCGGTCAAGAGTGTTGGCTCTCACTGAGATGACTACAAAAATGGACGCACCTGTTCATCTGGTTGTTTAACACGGCTGAAAATGATAATCTATTTATGTTGTTCCCGCTCCTGCCCACTCCCGTTGCTTTTTTTCCCGTCCGTCCCGAACAAGGGATTAATTAAAAAATGACTCCCATCCCTTGGGATTCCCGCGGGAATCACGTGACCCACGGGAATTCCCGAAAAATGTCTTCCTCTACAGGGAAGGTCCCGGAGTAGATGAAACGGGTGCCGGAGCAGCTGAAATAGGTCCCGGATCCGATCAAAAGAGGTTCCGGAGCACGCTTCGACTTGCTCCAGCACAAACTAAGCACTGCTTACAATGATCCCCTCACGTGTGTAACCCAGGTAACCTGCAACGGCGGGAGACGCTGGACACGAAGAGGACACGTAAAGCGGCGTCATGTCGCAAAATCGGAAGAGAAATGTGAGCCTACATGACAACGCATTCTTTTCTTTGTAAGAAAATATTGTTTTCTTTTCCGTTTGACACCAAATACACTTACTGAATGTGCAATTATTGTTGTTGTTACTATGAATCATCTGATGGCACAAGCCCTATGGATAAAATACAGCCTATCGCTCGAAACGATAAAAATAAAAATGGCACGATAGACATTTTCTATCGTGCCCACGATATCTATCGTCCTATCGCCCAGCACTAATACAAATATCCCCTTCAGTATGGAAGTACCTTAGGGTCATAGGAAACAGTTTATCCAAAGAGACAAGTTAGATCACCCTTCAATTTTTTTTAATAGCCATTTTAAAAATGGCCACCGACAATAAACCGCTAAAACACCAGACCCCATATCTTTGCTTCTGTTGGAGCTATAATCATAATATTGGTGTCAAAGTGCATATTTTTGGGGTCTAGGCATTCAATGAAATAGGTTTCAATGCATAAGACCCAATGCATCATTAATTACCATGACAGTGGGAGGTAAAATATGCTAATTTCATGAAAAAAATGTACGTTTTGACAGGGTAACTTACCCCCACACCCCTCCCCCTAAACTGAAGTTTACTTTTCCTTTGGCATGGAAGTACCTTAGGGCCATAGGAAACAGTTTATCCAAAGAGACAAGTTAGATCCCCCTTCATTTATTTTATAGACATTTTAAAAAATGACCACCGACAATAAACCGCTAATACACCAGACCCCATATTTTCGCTTCTGTGAGAGCTATAATATTAATATTAGTGTCAAAGTGCACATTTTTGGGATCAAGAAATCCATATGAAAAGGTCTCCAGACTAAAAAATATATAGTCTTCTCATTACCCTCACAATGGGGGTAAATTATGCACATTTAATGAACAAAATAAGTGTCAAAAAGGTGACTTCAAAAAAATGGTACAGCCTCTTATGTTCTCTATGGGCTCTATTTTTGTGCCTCGCTGGAGACATGCCGCAGGCGTGGCGTAAGTCAGGTCCGGTGCGCCGACAAGGCGTTCCCAAGCACAATTTGGTATTTTGGTGAGCGGCGCAGCCCGGCGTAAGTATCCCCCCTCCCTAACTCAGCTCCTCCCAGCGGCGTAAGTCGTAGGAAGGGAGGAGAGAGGGCGTGGAGTGGGTTTAACACAGCCGAGACCTGTTTTCATCAATCACATAAGCTCCTCTCCTTGAATTTAAATCCGCCACCGGCGAGGCGTAGTACAATTTTCCGGAAGTAGTCAAAGAGATCAAAAGATGTCTGAAGACAGTTATGCCACACGATGGTGACAGAAGGCAGCTCCTCAACAAGTGTCACTGTAAGTGCTGCATTGGGCGTCCTCGACACTCTCTCATATGAACGCAGATGGATTTGGTGTGTGTAATGTTGGACCCACTGGTAAGACAAACACATTTTTCCACAAATAACGACACTCACATAAAGTTGCATATATTCAAACCTCACGTGACAAAGGTGGGTTGAGCGCACAGATCACAACATTAACTCCAAAAATGGCATTAAAATCGGAACCATCTGTGCGTAAATGACGCATTGCGCTCCGTGGCCTGGCTCTTTCTTTCATAGATGTTGGCATATAAAATAAATTTGGCTCACAAAACTGAATATTATAATATCTGCATGTAGGCTTAAAGTAAATAACTCATCTGATCACTGAAACAAATCATCTGTTCAGCCGCTGCAGGACGGAGAGAAGACACGGAGACATGTCCAGGTCGAGCTGCGCGAGAAATAAGAGGAAGAAAGAAAAGGAGGGAGACGAATCACATATCTTGTTAACTTCATCATGTGTGTTTATTTACTAGATGTTTAATTTAATGCGGTTTCAGCTGTGTTGATTCTGTCAGGTTGTGTGTCGAAACGCGTGCCAAACGCACTCATCAGAGCAGATATAGATCAGAATATAACGATATAGATCTAAATGTATGTGCTGACTCAGATTATTAGTTGTTGATGATTATTTATTGCACTGAAATGTGCCTGACACTGTGGAAACCTACCAGTGAGGCATCGGTGACGTATGCCGATACGCCGCCGATCTACCAAAATACCTCTAGACCAGCTGTGTTTCGCTTGCGCTGAAAGCTGACAAGGTTTGAATCGGCGAGCTTTCAGCGCACTTTACATGCCACTGATGAGCACGAAAATGCCCGGTGATTCTGTCGACACCTCCCCCTGCCACGCCACCACACCCAGCTTGGCGGATCTCAGTTCGCCTCCATGCGCTTCAGTCCACGAAAATACCAAACTGGCTGTACGCCAGGCTCCGCCAGATGAAAATACAACTGCGCGGGGTCCGCCACCCTCCGTCGCCTCACCGGCGTACACGAAAATAGAGCCCTATGTGTCTCTGTCTGACTGCATTTTGACTGTCTGTATGACTGCTGAGTGTTACACCTCTCAAAACACGAATTCTATACCAGGGTCTGTGACAGCTGGATGAAATCAGAGGTGACAGAAAATCTGAGACCCTTTGAGGTTCAGTTTGAGGTTTGTATTACTTTCCTATTTAATACAGAAGATACTCAAGAGAAGTTTTATAAGTCGTGGAGAAAGTTTACAGGAGAGTCCCGAGTGATCAGTGTGCGATGCAGCATCCTGCCTTCGTCTGTGGGGTGCTGCACCTAAAAGCGCACAGATTACGAACACTTTACGCCTGGCTTTTTGCAAAGCTGGGAAATGTAGTCTTTGGAAAGATTGATGCCAATCGATTCAGTAGCTTCTCCCCTTTCAAATGACTACAGACATGGTTGACTTGTCTTTTTGGATAAAATGTTTCCTATGGTCCTAAGGTACTTCCATACCAAGGGAAAAGTAAATCTCAGTTTAGGGGAAGGGGTGTGGGGGAAAGTTACCCTGTTAAAACATACATTTTTTCATGAAATTAGCATATTTTACCCCCCACTGTCATGGTAATTAATGAAGCATTGGGTTTTTTTACATTGAAACCTATTTAATTGAATTCCTAGACCCCAAAAATGTGCACTTTGACACCAATCTTATGATTATAGCTCTAACAGAAGCAAAGATATGGGGTCTGGTGTATAAGCGGCTTATTGTTGGCAGCCATTTTTAAAATGGCCATTAAAAAAAATTGAAGGGTGATTGTCTCTTTGGATAAAATGTTTTCTATGACCCTAAGGTACTTCCATACCAAAGAGGACATTTGTATCATGACTTGAAGTAAAATGTGTCTTAGGGCCCCAACCTGGCGACTTTTCAGTAAAATCCTGTAAACTCTCCTTTTACTGTACAAACAGTGCAACTTTCACTCGCGACTTAACTCTGCATACCCGCGACAATGCCAAAGAAAATCACATCTAAATCAAACATTTCTCAGTGTGAAGAAGACGACAACTCAGATGCTAATAGCCTAGCTAACTCAGAGTGTGATGCTAGCTTCTTGCCACTGCCTCGTGAGGACGACGTGGACTCCAGATCAGCTCAAAACATGGACGTCATTCAGATACTCGACCAGATCAGAAATGACTTTTCCACTGAGTTCGATGTGGTTCTGAAAGCCATTCAAGATATTAAAAGAGACGTGCAGGACTTCTCGGCGCGCATGGATGAAGCAGAAGTGCGCATTAGCACTGTAGAAGACACAGTTAACTCAGAGAAAGGCAAGGCAGACGCGCTAGCCAAACAAGTGACTCTCCTAACGAACAAACTTGACGACCTCGAAAACCGCTCTCGTTGCTCCAACCTACGGATAGTTAACATGCCAGAGAAGGCGGAAGGAAATGACACGGTTGCTTTCCTGGAGAAGTGGCTCCCCGAAGTGCTGGGACCAGTTTGAGAGTCCACCTCTCATTGAAAGAGCTCACAGGTTACCCAGCCGGATGCAACCGAACCGTTCAACCACACCGAGAGTCATCATCGTGAAGTTTTTAAACTTCCAGGATAAAGTCTGAGTGATGCGAGCTTCCAGGGCCAAAGGCAAAGTTATCTATGCCGGCCAAGAGGTCATGTTCCTCCCCGATATCTCGACAGAGCTATCGGGCGCAGGAGGGGTTTCGACTGGGTAAAACAACAGCTGAGATCGATGAACATTCGTTACGGAATAATCTACCCAGCCAAGCTACGAGTGTCGTCTGATGGACAAACACGTGAGTTTGAATCCCCAGCTGACGCTGAAAAGTTCGTTCAAGCGTTACAGAACACTGAAGACTGACAGGTTAACTAAATGAACGGTTGGACTCATTACTATCCACCTATAACAGCTATAGTTTGATATTGATAGATTATGGGCCAGTTACCCACATGTGAAAGATTTTTCTCTCTTTTTCTTCTGCAGAGACTTTTCTGTTTTGTTTACATAATTGTAATATTTCGTCAATCTCCGCAGATGTAGATGGGCTTTTCATGTACGTTTTATGTACAGAGAATTCCACGCGCCCTTTGTTACCGAAGTGGGCTTTTATTCCTTTTGTTTTCACATTTAAAATGGTTATTCAGTAAACTGTCAGCTTTCCTAAATGTGGGTGAAGCTGCAAGAAAAACTGTTATGAACAATTCATATATACATGTTTGTGTAGATTCATTTTTTTTTTTTTTTTGCCAGGAGACACGATTGTCCTGCAAGTTTTGGTAGGTCTGTTATAATGACTGCATGGTTTGGTTTAACTGCTCCCTTGTTTACACTGGATCAGTGTTTGCACTTCACTGCACCCCGAGGTCAGGGGGAGGATGGGAAAAGATGTGGGGCTGTCTTGTTCAGGTTGACAGCTAAGGGTTTTTGTTCATTGCAGAGCGAGTGTTTTTTTTTTTTTTTTTTTCTTGTACACTCCCAAAATATCAAACAGTATTGAAATTAGATGACCTCAAACAAGAATTTTTAATTTACTTCATGGAATGTTAGAGGGATGGTAAATTTGACTAAATTAAAACAGGTGATTACCAGGGTGAAAGAACTTAAGTCATCAATAGTGTTTATTCAGGAGACTCATTTACTCAGAGAAGACTTGGTTAAAATACGTAGGAGATGGCCAGGCAAAGTACTAGCATCCTGTTTCCCTTCTCATTCAAGAGCGGTGATGGTGTTAATTCATAACTCAGTGCCTCTTCAAATAAATAACACTATGACAAAAATGGTAGATTTTTGTGGTTCAGGGAACTCTCCTGAGAGAAACCATTAATTTGGTTAATATATATGGCCCCAATGATGATAACCCATCATTTTTTGAAAACTTATTTTTATTGCTGGCCACCCTCCCTGGTAAGATAATATTGGCAGGTGACTTAAACTGTGCTTTAGACCTGAAACTAGATCGCTCAGCAGGGATAGATACATCCCATTCCCAAACGAGAAAGAAAATTCAACAATATATGAAAGATCTGAACCTATGTGATCCTTGGAGAGCTCAAAACCCCATCAAAAGGGAATACTTGTGCTATTCTGCAGTATTTAAAACCCACTCCCGAATAGATTATTTTTTAATTTCCTCATCTCTGCTACCCAGTATAACTAATTGTGTATATGATAGTATTGTTTTATCTGATCATGCCCCCACCTCTCTCTTTTACAACATCGATCAAGGGTATAGACATTCGACCAATTGGCGATTACATCCCAAATGGCTGCAGAATTCTGGATTTATAAAACTTGTAGGAGAACATATTGATCTCTACTTCTCTATAAACACAAATCAAACAACTGCAGCAATAAGATGGGAAGCTTTTAAAGCATATATTAGAGGGCAAATAATAAGTTACACCAGTTCTAAATTCAACAAATTCAAACAGACTATGATTGAATTGGACTCTAAAATTAGAGAATTAGAGAGAGAGGTTAGCATAGATGATTCGACACAAAAAAAACAGGAACTACTGACCCTTAAAGCAAAATATGAAAGGCTTGCCTTGCTTAAGGCTGAAGATGGTATAATAAGACTGAAACAATTCTTTTATGATCAGGGTGAGAAGCCGGGTAAACTGCTAGCTTGGCAGATTAAGAAACTTGAATCTGACAGAGCAATCAATATAATTAGGAACAAACAAGGAGACCTATCTACAGATCCCACAGAAATTAATAACACCTAGGAAGCTAAAGCGAGCTAAAACTTTTTTCACACAATGCAAATGGATGAAACGTGCTAACCTCGAGAAACGGGATGTGAATAATATCGATAGATTATTAAACTGCTGGAGCTGGATGACTGATAATGCTGACTGTTTTAGACTCCAGCGTGAAGGTAAGAAATTTTACCTTAAGGTTTGATCAGTTATGTCTCTGCTCAGATGTGTGGTGGACAGAGATCAGGACGTTTTATATTTTTTGAGGTCACGTTTCCTCCGTTATTTTATATCGGATCTCCGTTAAACAGTGGTGTGGTGTGATGAGCTCCTGTGAAAAATGTAGCTTTGTGAACACAGGTGTGTCTGTGTGGATGAGAGGAGACAGGTGTATAGATGAGGGAGATTCTGGTGATAAAGTTTATACGGTTAATACTGATGTTTACTTCAGATCGCCGCTCTGTTTGTGCGTGCGTGTGTGTAACATTGTAAGGGATCCTCGGTGTGTGAGCCTCTCTCCCTGCAGTGACTGATCGTCCCTGGTCAGTCGAAGCAGGACGTTTATCCTGCTTACTTGGTCGTTTGAGTGGCTGGAGAAAAATAGTAGGAAACTTTCATTGACACTTGCCATGCCGTGCTGCAGCTTCTGGATGAGCTCGGCTGTAAATTGGTCTATTTCCAAATGTTTGGGACTCTGCTACATCTCCTTTGTACTAATAGCCGGTGAGTGCTCGTGCCCCCCCCCCCCGGGAGAGAAACCACTGGTTTAGACCTTTTCCTTTTGTAAATTGTCCTAAAGTGACTTAAAAATGTAAGAGAAGCAAACCCTTATAATCCTGTCTGAGCGATGGCGGCGTCGAATACGGTTAAGGCCCTCCAGGAAACGGATGAAACCATCCAGCAGGACCCAATCCCCGGTGCCACTCATTCCAGTGCCAGCTCCATCTCCATAAACATCCCAGTGTCCCTCACCATCCGCCACCCGCCGAGCCCCTCCGGCTGGCAGCAGGAGGAAGCGAGTCCTCCAGAACTTCAGAGAGTCAATCAAACTGTTGAGGAAGTATAAGAGGAACACTTGGTGTGAGGATGAAATCAAATCACAACAGTAAAGTGAAACAGCATGAAGAAATATCAGCGTCAAGATTTAAGCTCCTGTGAGGAACTTTAGCTTTGCGTGTCAGTTTTAGTGTCCTCTTTTGCTTCACTTAATCTTTGCAGCGATTTAGAAAAAATCTCACTCTGCTAACTATAATTCATGTATTTAGATTTATTTCTGTGGAATATGGACCTATCAGGCTGTTTCTTCAGCTGACACGTACCACCTTGCACTACCTTAATGCATTAAGTTTTACTCAATGAAAATCTACAATCTTGTCCCTGATGCCTTGTCTTACTCTTGTAAACCAATATGAGCTTCAATCCATTTAATAAATGTCAAAAAACTCTTCACAGGAGCTTTAAATGATCAGACTGAGTTGACAAAGAAGTGATCAGTACTGCATATTTACAGTTTAAGCTCAGAAATCACTTTAGAATAAAAGCCCGCATGGTAGGTAGACAAATGAGTACATCGATCAATACATCAGTTGGTCAGCCGTCTTATCACTTTAATTCACATCAAATGACGGTGTGTACCTGAAGTCCTCGGAGCCAGCAGAGCAGATGTACTGGTCCAGGTAATTCCACTTGTACTCCTCCAGTCTTTCGTGACCAAACTCCACCCAACAGGAGACAAACTGGGCATCAGAATGTGGTGGGCATAGACTGTAGCTGTACTGTATCTGAGCTGACTCATAGGGATATCTAGAGTACACAAATAAAACACAGTCACTCTTTAACTTCTTCATCTCATTATGAATAAGACATTTTCTTTATGTATCTGTCTTCATTCATTTTCAAATAAAAACAGCAGAGGATGAGAGAACATAAAAAACGACTTGGACATTTACAAAAATCTCAGGACTCAGACTTGAGTTTTTATCTGGACTATTTATTAGTGTCTAGTGTTTAGATCAGAGTTTAGATCAAAAATAGACAGCCTGAGATAGTCTTTCTGTGTGCATGCTAATGAGTCCCAGGCCACAATGAGGACAGTCATTTTCGTTCAGTATCAACTATCACCAGCACCAGCTCTCCTTTCACACATATGGCATGTAAGATTTCTCTGCTTAGTGATGTGAAAGTCTTGACTTTTTTCAACTGTCCAGTGTGTGAGGACACCGTTTATCCAGAACAGTTTAGAGCATCGAAAAATGACATGCAGAGTTGACAAAAATCCAGCGCAGTATAACTCTGTCAGTCTCTCTGTCATGCTCCATCCCTGCTTTCATAATAGGGGTGGGAGAAAGAAATCGATACATCATAGTATCCCGATATTTTGTCTGGTGATATATCGTATCGTCTCATTTACCAAGTATTTATTTTTTCAAATTAATTGCTAATATGAAGTCAAATCTATGATAATGGAAAAATAAAAACAACTGCTTGTCCAGTGAGGTCAGCAGAGATGACATCATAGAGCAGGAGAAAGTTAGTGCAACAAATATATAAAAGGTTTACAAGATGTGCTACATAAAAGTAAAATACTGTGTAAATAAGATAAACATAAAGTCCATAAGGGACTTCATCCGTCTTTTCAAAGACAGCCCACTCACATCCATAAACTACATCTCCATGTGCTTTGATGTCATCATCCTGAGACATGACTGGCAATTTTTTATCTCTTGACAGATTTATAACTCAAAACTTGCATTTTTGATCTCATATCATTCCAAGTTTCATTCTGGTAAAGAAAACACACAACAACTGTATTTGCATCAGAAATGAGACTTACCTATTTTTTTACAAGACTGAATTCTCAGACACTGGCTTACACCTTGAATGTCTCCAGCTGCTATTGTTTCCTTTGGTGGTTAATCATAGCAGAAGTGTTATCGGAGGGTGGCAGATGTACTTACTTGGGCAGATAGCGAGTAACAGTGATAATCTTGTCTTTGAGGCAGACTTTATGGAAGGTCCGACCCATACTGAGCCAGTAAATACTCTCCTCCTCTGCCCGATGTAAAGACACAAGACCTGGGGAAAACACAAGGACTGATGATGGTCCTGGTTTCCAACAAAACTTCTTATATTAGACTTATATCAACATACACTAGACTGAGGGGGCCAAACCATCTTTTGAAGAACACCTTCCACTTCTTTTTTGTCTAGGTAACCCTGACAGAGCTTGGCAGAGTGCTTAGGGTCATTGTCTTGCTGCAAGACCAACAAGTCTGAGTCCAGATGGAACAGCATGGTGCTGGAGGATGGAGTGGTACTGTTCCCATTACCCTATACCCTTTACTTCAAACAAATCTCCTACTCCATCACCTGCAAAACATCCCCATACCATGGACCTACCACCTCCATGCTGAATTGTGGGTGTAACACATGGCAGTTTGTCTGCAGACACAGACTCTGCGTTTTAAACCAAACAGTGCAAACTTGTTTAAGTCCAATTTTTGTGAGCTTTTGCCCACTCATATCTCTTTTTCTTGCTCTGTGGACGAAGTAGTGTTTTTTTTTTTTCAGAAACACAACCTTTCAGACCAGCCTTTCTCAAACGTCATTTCACGGTTGTCAGAGATATGGGTTTCAACCATAGACTGTATATACTATGGACAACTTGCCTACCGCCTGTATACAGATATGACGCCAAATAGCTCTCGGTATTTCCGGGATTTGTCTTCATTTCCTGAAACCAGCGCTGCGCAGTAGCAATGCGCGCATTCGACCACACAGTCGCAGAGATTCGCTGTGGTGACGCTCAGCTCAAACAGCGTATCCCCCGGGAGAGCTACGCAATCGCTGAATGCCCATAGGCTGTATCAGGTGTCAATCATAACAAACATGAACCCCCTAATAACTTTTAAAAATGGAGCTTCACAGAAAAAAGAGGACTTGAGCACAAACCAGTCTTACAATAACTACATGTCAACATCACAAGCAGAGGGGAGAAAAAATTATGTTCTGTGTAATAAATTTCTAAAGTTTGTCCACAGCTCCATAAGCTTTGCTGGCAGAGGCGGGATTTATGACCTATACTGCAGCCCACCAACAGAGGGTGCTGTTCTCGGAGTGGCTTCACCCAGCGAGGAGGCAGACTGTCCATTCTATATACAGTCTATGGTTTCCACCTTATCATGTTGATTTCCTCCCTTATTTGTGGTGCTGTCTTTCGCCGATCTCTCTTACTGATGACAATAATATGTTTATCCTCTGCTTTTGTAGTAACTCTCTTTCGTCCAGGTCTTTTTCTATCATCATAACTTCCAGGTTCCTCCAGTCTCTTCAGAGTGTCATGGACTCCTTTGTTAAACACCTTTAGGCGTTTGCAATTTCTCTTTCTGTGTATCCTTCTTTCCTCAATGTACAAATCTATACCTATGTTTCTTCACTCAGTTGCTTCTTTCTAGCCATTTTTGCGGTAGTTTGAACGCAGTTAAGATTTATTAGGATTTTTGTATGCACTCTCAAAAGCCAAAAAGTTGAAGTGAATAATCCAACTGTGATTTGTTTTTTTGCTTTAGCACTGAAGTTGTGACTCTTGCAAATGTTTTCAACCCTAAAACTAAGCCCTTATTATCTTTTGCTGACATATATTTAGCAATGGTCTGTTAACATCAATGTATATCTAAAAGGTAAATGGAGTAAAATGGTGCATTTCCATGAAAGCAACATCTGACCGTGGAGTACATACATCCCAGAATGCTGGATTTTAAAAAAAGCACTGTGAACAAAAACTTTAAATAACTCCCAACTGTTAGGCATGTAATGGCCGTGCTTCCAAACTTTTGGCCTGTAGTGTAGGTCAAAGCAAACACTGACATACTGCTGCTGTCCCACAATAAATCATCAAAAACATCAAATATACTTAATTCAGTAAAGATTATATTTTGTGTAATTAATTTCGAAAGTTTGTCCTCAGCTCCACAGGGATTGCTGAAGGAGGCGGAATTGACCTATACTGCAGCCCATCACCAGAGGGTGCTGTTCTCGCGGTGGCTTTACTTGGCAGGGAGCCAGACAGCGTCCATTCTATATACAGTCTATGGTCATAGGTTGTATCATATTTCAAGTCTAACTTAGAGTAGCATACTTTAACTTCAGCAAGATTGTCTCCTTTCAGGAACGTGAAGGATTTGCTCTGTTGCCATATTTCTAAGGTGTGTGGCAGTGATCCAGAGTTAACTTACCTTATAGCTCAGCAAATATTAGAGTGAAAGTCAGGCATAACTCTTCATAAACTGGGACAGCTGTGTCTTTCAGTTTGATTTAAACAACCTAAAAATGTCAAGGACTGGAAATTTTACTCACATAACAGATTATATGGGGTTTAGCTCAGTTGGTGTCAATGTTGATTTTGGCAGCTATTTTAGATTTAGTCTCAGTTGTAGTCTTTAGACAAAAATGCCTCTAAGTTTAAGTCACATCTATACATTTTTACCCCTCACTGTCTCTTTGATAAAATACAAACCACAGAGTTTTTTATCTGATGCATTTTTAGCTTGTCATTCTTATCATAAAAAAGGGTTGTTCACAAACATTTGTAGTTGTTAGGTGTTGATGCACAGATGCTACTGTTCTGGTCGTTAGGGATGGGAATTTATAAGATTTGATCTGCTTATCAATTCAATTCTTTAACGATTCCCTCATCAATGCCTTTCTTAAATAAAATTTTAAAAAAAGAAAGTAGACTACAGGTTTTCATCGTACACTCAAAATTTTATTAAGTCTCTGATAACGGAAAAAGATGTATGCCACCTTAAGTCTAAAAGTAATCAAACAAAAATGCTATTTGTACAGTGTTTCTGGCATGCATTGTGCTTATGTGAACACAGGACATACGTTAGGGTGACCATATTCTGAATCCCCAAAAAGAAGACATGTGACTCCTTATATTTGACGCTGTGCTCCGTTGATAAATGTTTAAGTATGTTGCTGGTGTTTCCACCTTTGCATGTTATCACTGCTCAACAATTGTTGCACTGTTGTTGTCTTTCTTAGTAAAATTAAGCCACACTTTAGCTTGTTTCTGCCTACTTTTCGTAAGTCCGCCATGTTGTTTTCTCTGTCTCTGTTCCCATTCAGGTAGAGTGGCACTTGTGAGACTTTTTTTAAACGCACCCGGAAGAAAGGAATCATTAAGGGAATCATTAAGATAAAATGTAAATGATGTCGACGGATTCAACCAGTTGGAACCAGTTCTAAACAAGAACCGGTTCTCGATTCCCATCCCTACTGGTCGTAGGATCAATTCCCTCAAAGTCAAGTCAAGGAAAATCAAAACAGCTGTTTACCTCTGGAGTAATGAGGGCTGCTGCCCAGTGGAGTGGCCACAGAAGGTTGTTGTTTCCTATTATTAGGCTGGACAATGATCTGGTAACCCTGCATCAACCTCTGACATATAAACTCCTCAAACACCTGAGAGGCGCTCATCACCGGGGATTCATCTTCCCGCCTGCAGAAGAGACAAAAGAAAAAAATTACAAATGAATTAGAGACACAGTCAAGTCCACGCGTTCCCTCCTGTTTAAATTCATCTTCATTTTTTATCAATGTCACACCATGCAATTACCAAACAAAAGACTTAGTAAGAATTCTGGGTACAACTGTAACAAACCAAGCTTAAAAACTCAGGCACCTCTAAAAAACTTTAAAGCTCTAGTGAGAAGTCTTTAGCTGGTTATGAAACAGACTGAAATGAAGAGTGATGTCTTCATATGACTTAAAAAAAAAGCAAAAGTAATCATCATCAACAAGTTCAACACTTTCTACAGTAAAATGTGTAATTCTTGTCACTACCGGAAAAGGGATGGTGTCAGACCAGACTACAGATAGCATGTCGAAGAAACAGTCTTTTTTGTTTTTACTTCTTTTCCTACAGGAAATATTCACAGTGACAGTTGCATGTGCCTGTTATAAAGACACGATTTGCCTCTTTGTGACAGAAACAACCACCATGTTTGTCTTAATGCTGAAGAGGACCAGGTCTAAATTAAAATTGATCCTGGGCTACAACGATCATCTGTTAAAAGCTCATTTAGTGGGTAACTTGTGATGCTTGGTGCTTCACTGAATGACTGAGAAAGTCTTATGTTCCAGCAGCAGTGAGATATTTCAATAATATTAGCTGGGGTCTGACCTGTCACTGCTGCGTAGTTTGTAGAGGTATTTATTTTAGTATGTATTCATTTTTATCAGGCTTTTGTTGTATTTAACCATGTTCTCTTTTATTGGACCACTTTTAAATCATGTGGGAGCCAAATTTAGTTTATGGACTCGAGTGTAAATAGGTGGGAACAATCTGTATTTGGTTTTTAAAAGAATTATATTTGAGAATTTTCCATTATCTGAAATTTCATTTTTTGTACATAATTCATAAATGTGTTATTGAGATAATTTATGTTGATTTAGGTTACCACCACTTTAAGAGAGAGTGAGCACCTCTTGGCAGTTGGACGGCTTACAGGTGGCTACAGGCAGTTGCAGACTGATCAAGGACTGAGCCACATGGTTTTCTTACCATAGCATGCCTTTTGATTTTGTTTTAGAAACCTTGCTTTGGTTTCTAAATTTGGTTTCTCTTCCTGTACAAATGAATAAACAAGCTGTGGATTAAAATGACATTTGTTGTTCTTTTACATTGAAGTCCTGTGGAAGTTTTTGTTTTTCAGAAGCATACACGAGTTATCTAAGGCCTCTTTGATCAGCACCCCACCAGAAATCAGGTTTCATTGGCCTTGACTGTGACTTGTGTATCTGGTGTTGAGTTGATGTTTTTCTGGTGCAATACTTTCCGCTATGCAGGATCAGTGAAGTGTACCTTACCTTACCTTGTGCTGTCCGAACACACCAAAGATAACCCAGGTCAATGTATCGACAACTGTATTAATTTCTCAATCCTCTAGTCGAAGTTATTATCTTGTGGACATGATGACTAAGCTGTCTACCTCTCCAGGTCACTGTGGGGCAGCAGGTCATAGCATCCTTCAGTGTAGTCATTCTGCAGCGCTTGGCGGTCTGGGAAGTAGTCAGTGGTGAGGGGCAAGCAGGCTGGTGTGGTCAAAGACTTCCAGTCCACCCCAACTGTGCAGCAGAAGCTGGGCACTGTTGGGGGTGCAGATATCAGCAGGGCTTCAGGTGCACCCATACCACACACACACACGCACACACACACACACACAAAAAAAAAGCAAAACAAAAAACAAAACAAAAGAAAAAATACCCACAACAGAGACGTGTGCATGTACCCAGAGTGGAGTGGTGGTACATGTGTGTTGGGGGTGGAGATGCATGTGAAAAGAAAGGGAATGCATGGTGGAGTGGTGTTAATAGGAAAGGGAAAGAAGATAAAAAAACAAAAAAGTGAAAATAAAAGAAAAAAGAAAAAAAGGAAGGAGAGAGGGGGAGAAACAAAGAAGTTAGGTGTTATTTTATTGGCCTTGTTGCCCCATATTGTGATTCCAGCGGGGCCTGTAGTTGTGCAACAGTGATAAAACCATGCAAATTGTTGCTTTGTGATAGTCAGTTAGTGAGCTTCTTCATTCACTGTGACCTGAGCTAAGTAAAAGTGTGAAGCACAAAGTGACTAGATGAATTTAAGCAGAGAGATCACAGCATGCAACACATAGATATTGGAAATATTCTTAGGCAAGAAAATTCCTCAAAATGGACAATCAATTGAAATATACTATCAATAGCACCAAGCAGAAATCAGAGAAGCTCATGAGATTAAACACCTCCAAGAATCGAAAACATATCAGCTAATTAAAACAGGCCAAAGGTTAGTGCTCGATTCAGACTGATGCTGGAGTCCTGTTTGGTTTGGGTCATAAATCTTAACAAGGCAGAAATGGGTTACATATGTGGACTGGTCATAGTCCTAAACTCAACCTATCTGTGCAAAAGAACAACAAAAATGATTCATATGCAGCTCTTCATATGTTACCATGAAGGCCATGGATGTCTGTGTCAGAGAGTTGTCTGAGATAGTAAAGGGTTATAGTTTTAACAAAAATATGTTCAGCTGCTGAGTCAGAGCCAGGTTTAGGGTTTCAGGGTTAATGTAACTTCACGGAGACAGATTTAATTAAAAGGACATTTTTACATCTGTCATTGGCTCTCATTCGTGAAAAGGAAGTAGAAGTTTTACAGGCAAACTGGCATTAATCTGTTTATCTGTTTTAACAATTCAGATTTGTTCATGGCAACTTACAAAATCTACACCTGCTCCAGACCACGAGTGGAGAATTCATAGAAATAGTGTTATAATCAGAAATTACTCTTATTTCAATAGGGGAAAATAACATGTCTTTTTTTTTTTTTTCGAAATCTGACGATATTTTTTATTCTTCCTCCTCTCTCTTTCTTCTCTTATCGTTCCACAGGAACCAACTGTCCACACCTCCTTATATGCTGTTTATTGGCTATTCAGGGGCGAAGATTTATGTTGATTAGTGGCTATCAGAAGCAGACAATCACTACACTGGATTTCTGTAGAATTAATGAATCTGGAGTAGTGGGTTTTTTTTAGTGCCACTGATGTTTACATGTAAATCTACATATAAATCTACTGTTTTATGAATGAGAGCCAATGTCAGTGAAAAAATGTGAGGAGAGCCAAAAGAGAAATTGTTCAGACTGATGTCAGACCAAATTTAGGACCAAGTGTGCCCAAATCTGAACCAAGACCGTCTGATTTTTTTCTGTTTACACTATCATAAAAGGGTCATATGAGGGAAAAAACACTCTGTGGGCGCTTCCTTGCCTTTAGTCTAAATGTAGCCTCAGAGGACTCACAGCGATACATTATTATTCAAATGAAAATCAACAGGTAATGAGATAGAAAAGAGTCAGACACAGAGAGAGAGCGAGAGAGAGAGAGTGAGGATAAGAAGGACCAGTGGAAGGGTGACCCAGGCCACGCAAGAGTTTTTATCCCTGCACCCTCTACAGACAGAGGCCAAGTGGAATGACTTGCCTACAAAAGCTGACTACACCCTCATGGATAAACAACACCTCTGACCATTATTGCTATCATACTGTTTAGTGATTAAAATACCTATCTAATCTTGAGTGATGTTATTTTGCAACAATTGACATGTTTCAACTTTCAGGATGAACTTACTTGGATTAGGTCCACTGATGGAAAAGTCTTTTAATGAGCCCCGACTGGTTCCTCCTGTAAGACAGCACAGGTCAGACTGAGTCACAGGGTTACAGGGACACCCATCATCATAAACAACAGAATCATGGTTTTTCAGTTATTTCTAAATTATTATTTAACTCGTGGTCTAATGAAAATGAATATGTTGCCTGGTTGAAGGTCTTCATAACTTCAACCATGTTCCAGTGTATCAAGGTGGTCTGTGCTAGAAAAGGCAATATGTTATTGTAAACCATTTTGATAGTTCTTGCAAATGTAGAGCTTTGATCTATTAACTTTCCAAAATAAGTTTTTCCACAGCATCTGAAGCCATCAGAGACCCTAACCCCAGGGTGACCATATTCTGAATCCCCAAAAAATAACACAGCTACGCGGGGGCGGAGTCTCAGAGTCTCAGAGTCTTAGTAAATTTTTCAAGTTTTTTGGGTCAGGTCGAGTGTTTTTTACACGCTTCTAACTCCGAAAGTCCACTCGACACAAACTCAAAACTTCCATACAAAGCCCCCGTATGTATGATCAGTCTACTTAACCCTACCCTGAGCATCATTAGACACATGGTGACTGAAGCCACTAGTTTCTGAGAGGGTGAATCACCACTGTTGTTGTTGCTCCCGGGACTGCCACTAAACTCCTCCATCCCTCCACCGGTGTAAAAGCTATTCTCTCCTCCATGCCTGAAGGTTGTTCGTCTGAAATAATGCAGAAATACGAAAGACTCATTAAGAGGGATTTCTGAGAAAATCCCTATAAAATGGAAAGATTGGGATTTGAGTTAGGTGGGTCAACCTTCCAGTGGCCTCATGATAGGCCAGCTCCAGCAGCTCCGCAGATGTCTGGGTGGGGTCTCTCTTCTGGCTACCTTGCAGTTCAGCCATGTTCTGTCTGGTTTGGTGATGGATCTGTATTGCCTCTCCAGAAGGACCTTGGAACAAGACAAGTGTCACTACTTACAGCTGTCTCATCAAAGTATGTAAAACTGAAGAGGAATTCTCTGAGAGCCAAGAACGGCTTCATTATTCATTATTATCCTATTTTTGATTAGCAGTTTTACTCCATAATATGTGAAGGAGTCTTGACAATAATCTCAAACCCCTAAAACATTTGTACAAACTCTAACTTCAGTGATTTAGGGACTTTGTGTAAAAAAGAATAAAAAAAGAAAATAAGGATTTCCAAATTCTTTTCCACCTGAATTCAATGAAACACTCAACAAAGACAAGATATTTGAGGGTTGCCATGACATCACTGAGAGGTCAGACTGGCAGTGAGTTCCTGCTCCCGTCAACCTTAATTTACATTTTTACCAACCACAGACTGTTATTTTTATTTTATTTATTTATTTATTTTTTAAGTATTTTTTTGGCCACACAGACAGTTATTTTTATCCATCTCTGACCCCATTATAACTCCTAATGATATCAGGCAAGGAAAGTGCCACTTTATATTAAACCTTATGTCACTTATTTTTTAAAATCAGTTTATATGAAGGTCCATGGAGCTGTCTGAACACGTCACTGTATGTTTCTTTAAAACATACCCTATTTATCCCATAAGTGATGGAGACAAGACTTTGGTCTTCAAAACCTTTTCTAAATCAATCCCCACCTTTAGTTCCGCAGCACAGGCAGAGCAAAGACCTCTCTGTACCTGCTGTAATTCAGCGTAGGGGGTTCATCTCTCTAGACGTCATCTATCTAGACTTGCCTTGATCCTTCCCTGTTCAGTGCTGGTGTCACCTTTTAATTACCTTTTTTTGCAATACAATACAATACAGGAACTTGATTTATCTTAAAATGAAAATTCATTAATTTTTTCCCTCATTCTTTTGAAATTAGAGCTATAGTGTTTCCCTGATGCAGCTGATGAGCACTCATGACAGCATTTTGGTCTTACTGCTGGACTGGTTGCCTAAATGTGACAGGCAGCGTTTGCGTGAAATAATCTGCTTCCTCACTGTGCCGTCTTGAACATGCACTGGCAAGTGAGTGACCCTAAATGTAAGAGGATTACAGTTTTTCATTCATTTTTCAAGGATTTTCTGACTTAAAAATATAAACATATAGTTTCAAATTACCCCAAAAGTTAATTTCCTGCTGAAATGGTGCCAAAGTGAGCCAGCAGAAATGTATAAACTGGGTCAGTTGTTCGACTTTCACTCCCTATGGCCAAAATGAAAATACAAAATCAATGTAGACCTACAATTGAATCAAATACACAGTTGATTAAAAAAAGTTACTTTAGCAATACCCTTACATATTTAATTTAAAAAGTGCACACATCCCTATGATACACATACAACCATGTATATACATATTCATCCCCTAGATTCTCAAAGCATAATGTCCTCAACCTAGACCGGCTCACTATAAGAAACTAGTGCACATGAGTGTAAACTCAAAGTAGAGTTTTGAAAAGTAAAGAAATTTAAAAAATGAAGCAGCTCTTAGTTTGGCAGGATCTGAGAGTCTGTGAAGTTCAATAGAAAGGCAGCCATTATTAAAAAAGAGTACATCCCTCATTCTTCCATGTTTGTACAAGATGTACTCAAACTTGTGAAAGACCCGTGTTTCATAATGCCGGTGTGTCACAGTGAGCAGGCAAGGAAACCTTCACTAGCAACTCCTGCACGATAAAAATGTGAAATATATATATTTTTTCTTGCACAAATGTGATTTATTCATCTCATCAACCACTGTCAACAGACAGTGGTTGATGATAAAAACATCAGAAACAATCAAATGTGACAAGAAGGACAATGAAAACCCAGGCACCACATTAATCCTCCACCTCTCAGGTTTTCCCAAAAAAGACAATTTCGTGCTTAAACTGAATGAGTATGAGATGATCACATGACCTGAAAGCATGTCAGCCTGCTCACTCCACACTTAATTTAAGTCCCAGCATTCCCTCCCCAGATAAGACCTTACTCCTGAAGCTTTCCAGATTGGGCAGGGAACAGCAGAAAAGCACTCCAAACAGAGAATGATAGTGAGTTCATTATACAGTGTAGATTGGACTGAACCATGTTTAGGGCTGTAAACAACCTAACATTGCTGGAAAGGACAGTGATAATAAAATTCACTGGAAAAGTCCAACAGTTTCACTGATAAAGTGAGGTTTTTATGTAAGATAAAACAAAACTACAAATGTGGAGAGCAACATCAACAATAAACTGCACTCATCATTCAAAACAACAGTATTAAAGGTTCATAATTACCACAAGAGATCACACTGTCAGACTGCCAAATGTGTTTGAACAGGTTGTCTCCTTACCAACAGGGAAGGTGTGCATCCAGCGCCGCCGGTTGGAGGTGAGCTTCATGGGCATCCTGGATGGGGTAAAGGGGTTTATGAGTGCTCTCTGAGGGGTGTACCCTCCAGGACGGATGTGCAGGGTGGACTCAGCACTTCCCACTGTAAAACGGCCAGGAGCACTTGAATCCCTCTGAGAGTCCATCATCTTCTCCAGTAACTCTGAACAAATTGATTAACACAGTTAGAAAAAAAGATGCAGCACATTCATTATATGTGAAATGTGTGGTGATATGGTAGATTACCTCTGGTGCTGGTATATCCCAGGGAACTGCTGACTTCATACTGGGCAGGAGGCATGCGAGGTATTAATAATACATGGGACGCAGGGCCCATACTATCATCAGAGGCCAGACTACGCTGTTCCTCTGGACCTCCAGAGCGGATAGGTGGAGACACACCTATGCTGGCACTGACGTCCACAGAGCCCCAGCTTTTCCTCCCACTCATCTCTTTGTCCTGACTAATCCTGTTGGACACACAGTCATGAGTGGTGAAAAAGGTTGTCGCCAAATAACAATTCTAGTCTGTATTCTGTGTGCAATGCAGTATGATTGTGTCAATAGTTAGTACCTGAAGTTGGTGCTCCTCTGAATTCGTGAGGGTCCAGGTAGTCTGAACACCTGAGCATCATGGGCATCATAGTCTACCTGTATAGGTAGGCTGTTGTCAGAGTCCTTTGGAGCACAGAGCGCTGGACAAGGTAGGGAAAAACTGTTTTACATGGACTATAAACATCCCCTTATTCTTCTCAGAAATTAACCACATGTTCAAACGTGGTCCTTACAAGTATGTGATAGGAGACACCCAGAGCTTCATGAGACAGACAGACACCCTGACATATAGAGGAGGGTTGATACAATACAGTCTGGGTTTTACAGCTGGTGATGCTACAGTACGGAAAAAAAAGTCAAAACAAGCAAAAGCTAAAACTTTTAGTCCTGGGTTTACATTCACCTTTTTCTTCAGACAGGAGTGTCTTTAAAACCCGTAACTGTATGTCTATACAGAGGAAGGTTGGTAAGTCCATCTTAGAGTGGTCAGATAACCAGAATAGGGTTTTAAAGACCCACTCTGATGAAAATCATGTTTTCCTTGTTTTTTTTTTTTTACATGTTTATATGGCATTTTTCCTGATGCTACAGGACATACTATGAGAAAAATAAGTGTGAAATTGCATTTCTGAGTATTTCTGCATTTAAATCCCTGTGAATCTCTGGAAGACTCAAACAGCAGGATCAGACACAGTGAGATTTCCTGTTTCACAACTGCAAGCTCCACCCCAGCGTCCCGCTCTGCAGGTCAGACCCCGATAAATAGTGTGTCTAACACACACGCTTGTTGCAATGCAATGCTCATAAGAAAGCAAATTATGATATTAACTTTCATCATGTCCCCAAAGACATTTGTCTGAGAGCTGAATAGTTCCTATATTACCTGCTTCTTCTGCTACACTGAAAATGTTAGGCTGCAAGCTAGTGTGAAGAGGAGTGTGAAGAGGAGTGTTCAGAGCAGCGCTGTCTCCGCCCATGAGTCAGAGGCAAATTGCTAATGAGCTACTGGAGCTCTGCAGAAGAAAAGCCCTTGAAAAATGACACAGGTAACGTGATTTTTGGTAAAAAACTTTGGTAATAACCACAATTTAACGACCAATGAAAAAACTTTGATTAAAAAAATATGATCAGAGTTGGACTTAAATAATTTAAGCTGAAGTTAGCTTTAGAAGAATTATCACATTTAATCCTATTGGTAGTTTCAATCTGCAATAAATTTAATGGCAATTCATCCTGTTCTTGATTATTAAATAAGTGACCTATGACCGCAAATTCTGACTTTAAGGTAGTGTTACACGAACACTTAAGAGGATTGCAAAATTCAGCAGGATTCATGATGTGGTGACAGGACAATGACAGAACAAGAATCAGTCAACATTTTTATCTTACTCTAGCTAACAGACTAACAATGCAGAGAAGGTGAGCAATCGCTGCAGCTAGCTAACAGATGAATGCGTCTAGTCAATGCTTCATTTACAGTCAATTCTGACAGAAACAGGGTGAAAAACTTACAATGGTCCCTGCTGCTCTTGAATTTCTCTGAGTGTGGCTATAAGAGAGTAGAAATCAATGAATATCTTTTACATATACATATATGATAAAAGTTAAACAATACTGAAATAGTATGTTATTTTGCCTTGTGACCAGCAAGCTTGATTCTCGGTGTGAAGGAGCCACAAGAGTTCTGACTTTTCGAAGTGTAGAAGCTATACAAGGAAAAAGACATTAATATCTACAGGTATGTCCAAAATGACACCTGAGCACATTATTGGAACATGAGTTTATCTTATATCATCATACCTGTGGTTGATCCAGTGAGGGAGGTTATAGTCATCTCCCACCCGAGAGTCTCCAGGTGACGTCCTGTTGTGCAGCTACAGAGACAACACCCTTTAGTAACCAACAGGTATGTTACCTACACCAACCAAAACTGACACTCTGAACATTACCTTAAACAAAGGTACAGCATGGAGAGGCTGCTCCCCCATACATACCAAGTCAACACCAATACCTGTAGAGGGGCAATGATATCACTAACATTACTGACTTCTTCAAACATGGCATGTATTCGCTCGTTTGTACACCTACTCCAAGTGTTGTGTTGCTGCACATACCGTTGTCAATCATCCGCTGTTTGGTGAGAATCATGAGCAAACGGTCGACTTCAAAAACCCCTACACCTGGTGTTATGACCACTGTCATCTGGCCAGTACGGTCAAAGTTTCGGTTGATGTAATGCTTGTCAAATACTGGAAAAGAAAGGATCTTAGTTTAGCTTAATAGATTAATGTTACCTCTGATTCGTCCAATTCAGTCATTTAATCTCATCTGTCGATTGGGTTTGGATTAACTGAATGAGAAATACTGCAGGGATCCATCCATATGCTTCACACAAAGAAAGGCTTACCTCTAAGGGAAAGCCTTCAGACTGAATTTGGAGGGTAAACAAAAATAAGGAGGAGAAAAGTCTAGCATGACACTGAAGGGAGTTTAATGGGAACTTCAGAATGTCTCCATTAAAAAGCAGAGAACACATAAGTCCTTGAGTGAAACTCCTTGTATGTTCATAGTCAGAAGTTGCATGATGAGTAACTCAATGCCTCAGAAGTCTTAAAAATCAATCATCTATTAGCTCTCATTTTTGTCATCATCTCTATTTTATGGCACTTTAAAGCATTAAGGCATAAAGCCAGCAACATCCTCTTTTTCTCCCATTTTCTCTGAGAGCCTTGAACTCAATCAATACACAAATCATCTCAGATGAATATCTACGTTTTTTTTTTGTTTTTTTTTGTGGGTTTAGATCTAGACAGTACTAGAAAATACTCTGATCTCCTCTGTGGGATAGAAAACCCCCTTGGATGTTGCAGAAACAGTCTCCCAAAGCAAGCAGAGGAGTTGCCCGAGCCAGCATACACCCCCTTTGTTTCTATGTTTTCTGTATTTGATTTTAACCATGTGTGATACCCCCTGGCCCCTTGATGCTCATCTGATGACCACTGACCATTGAAGGAAAGGTTGATAGCTTCCAGGTAGTTTCCTTCCGCAGCAGTGGAGTTATAACCGACGGGAAAACCATCTAGCAAAAGGTCATAAAATCACAATTTTAGTTTCAGGATCCTGATTAGTGGATCTCAAATGAAGACAAACTCTGGACTCATTCCTTGCCTGCTTCTTGTAACCGCACCAGGACAGGATACTGAATGAAAAGCTTCTTGATAGTTACCAATAGTGATGTCCACTCATCTCGTCTCTCATTCTGAGCAACCACCCTGATCACAAGATAGTGAAGAGTTTAAAAAAAAAGACCTTTACCATCTAATCTGTAACCCAGTATAAGAATATATGAAATAGGGTAAAGAAGAGAAGGCTATGTGCTTCACCTGTAAAAGTCTTCATAGAAACGTCCCTCGTGATCATGCCTGATGGACCCTCTCAGAATCTCAGGAAATTCCTCTGAGGAATTGACAGCTGCATTCATACATCGATTCATAATATGGATTATTATTCCCAATGATGATGACAAAACCGGACTTACCAATAGTTTTGGCATTGTAGAACGTACGTGAGAAAAGTACAACGGTCACCTCATGGCTGCAGTTCTTTTCCTGTTTCAAGGAGAAACATCAAAACCCTGTTTGGTCACAAAAGCAACAATCAAACAGGAGCAGACCAGAGGAATCACATACCTTCCATTTAGCAAAAAGGTCAGAGAGGAATCCATTAACAGCCTTCTCAAAGTAGAGATCACCTGCAAGCAAAAACAGTTTGCTCCAGAATCACTGATAAAGATGACAAAAGCATGTTACTGAAAGCTGGTATGAAAAAAAGATGCACTTCACAGTGAAAGTGACAAACAAACCATAGATGTCAAAGTCCCACATCTCACAGCTCATCTGAATGAAGATGTATACCATCGCAGAAGTAGATCTGAACACCACCTGTGTCACAAGATCACAAGATCAATGTCGAGTAACCAAATAACAGAGTAACATATGGAAGCGATTGTGACTCATATCTCAAATTCAAAAGCATTAGCAGAAATGCTTTTTCATTTCAAAGTCATGGCTGCACTATTTGACTCAAAAATAAAAATAAAAGCCAATATTCCAAAATGCATTCTCATTTTCTCCTTCAAGACTGCTCATTTTGTGACTAAAAAAAAAAAAAAAAAACTCAGAAATGCTTTTTCGTTTTCGTGCTCGCCCCGCAAAAAGTGTCTCATAATTCAATCTGAGTTCGCAGTCTCAAGTGGCGCAGGAAAGTGACGTCACGGACCCCACTCGTTCTGGACCCTTCTGGCCCATAGGGGGCAGTGAATCCGTGTATCATTCATTCAATTGATATTCAATGTAATTAACACAGCCTGTACACCTCGCTTGTTGGTTGTATTCAATGTTTGTGTGGACGTCTCCACAACTATGATACACGCTACAAATAAGCAGAAACGAAACACTTGGTGTAAACGAAGATATATTACAAATATTTCCTTCTATAATGTGGAAAAGCGTCCGCTGTTACCACTCGTACTGATCGCAGTCAGTATACAGGCTGTGTTAATTACATTGAATATCAATTGAACAAATGATACACGGATTCACTGCCCCCTATCGGCCAGAGGGGGCCAGAACGAGTGGGGTCCGAGAAGTCACTTTCCTGCGCCACTTGAGATTGCGAACTCAGATTGAATTAGGAGACACTTTTTGCGGGGCGAGCATGAAAACGAAAAAGCATTTCTGAGTTTGATTTGCTTTTTAATTTAGTCACAAAATGAGCAGTCTTGAAGAAGAAAATGAAAATGCATTTTGGAATATTGGTTTTTATTTTTATTTTTGAGTCAAATAGTGCAGCCATGAGTTTGAAATGAAAAAGCATTCGCGCTAATGCTTTTGAATTTGAGATATGAGTCACTATCACTTCCATAGTAACAGAGAGTCAGATCTGCATGCTTTATGCAACCCCGTTTTTCTCCTGCAAACTGACCTGCCTCACTCCCCACAGCTAATGGCGCATCCCCTGCGTTACTGTCCCCTTTCTTTCACCGTTTCTGAATCAATTCATAATTGTATCTCCTACCAGCCTCAGTGTAAGAGATCTGCTTTGGGGTTCTTAAAAACTACCCCAACCAAAACAGAGTATCATAAAACATGTTTTGAAAACAGCTGCTGATATGGATTGAAAAGTTTTCTTACCCTGGTGTCTTCACTAATGTACCCACAGGTCACCTTCTCACCCTTCACCCAGAGCTCACTGGCTTGGGCTCTGAAAAATTAAAGCAGTCATTATCACAGGAACTTCTATCACATCCAGAGATTTCATTAAATAACATAATTCAAATAAAAAATGGTCAGGACACCAGGATTAAAAACCCTGTTCATCTATGTTAATATATTTCTAGCCTTAACCAAGCTCTGCTCTCAGTGCTGCTTGATTACAGGAAAGTGCAGGTGCATGATGGATTTTTTTAATATCTCATTGATTGACAGATTTTTTTCCAAATTACTGTATGGAAAATAAACATCAGTGTCTTACCGGATTCCTGCAAACTCCACTTTCTGTGTCACATAAGCACAAGTGCTCACCTGGGGTAAAGATTGTAAAAGTTATATCTGATTTTTATCGTAATTAAGCTATCATACATCATGCTGAGAGAGAGAAACCAATTTTTTAAATAACACACCAGACTCTTCTTCAGTCTCCACATATCTCCTCTGCCAATGTACTGATCTTTAAATGTGAGCTCAACCAAGTCCAGAGTTACATCCTGCAAGAAACACAAAAAAAACCCCTCCACAAGATCCTGTCTTACTGACACATGCTGGCAGCATAGGCAGGCTTCAGTTAACCTACCTTTGGGTCTACAATGTTAACAATAACATCCTGGTAAGCACGCAGTTTGAAGGCTTGTGCTACAGTCTGGTCCACGCTGATCGTCTCTGCACAGAGGGAAATGGACCATCAGACACTGCCAACTAGTTAATGATCACAAACATTTTAATTTACAGCGTTTCAGCTGAATACAAACACAAAACATTTATAACAGACAGACAGAGACAGGCAGGCAGATGATTCATAAATATACATGGTCTGTCTGCTCAGGGAAAAACTGCCTTAACTGTGTGCAGGTACTTTTAACATTTTTGTGTGCTTTAGACTTCTGAAGTGTTACTCGTACAATTTATTTGACAGAAATAAAGACAACATTAAAATACTGACATTAGCTTTCTGATCAGCTTATTGACTTCACTGTTCTTCTATACATTTCTACGTACTCCACATCTTTTTTTAAAGTATTTATAAGTTCCCCTAGGTCTCTCTTTTTGAATTTTTGTGCACCTGATTTTGCCAAATGGTTATTAGAACAGTTTATGGGGATCAGACTAAAGTTACCTTTCTGAAGGTCCTCTTTCAGGCTTTTCACTTGCAGCAGCAGAGGACTAGGATTTATGGTGAGAGACATTTCCAGATTATGGTCTTAACTTCAAAACAGCATTGAAATTTAATAAAGATAATATGATATTGATAAGAAAGAGGCTTTAGGGTGTAAAGCTGTATCCCATCCTCCAAGCATACCTGTATTCATCTGTGGGGTGGGCAATCTCCACCACATCCCCGAGACCAACATGTGGGAAGACTTTAGGGTTGACAACCAGCTCATCATCTGCTCAGAGGGAAGGGTCATTAAAAGCAATCCATAAATAAATCTGAATTAAGGTTACAATAAGCACAGATGATTGCTTACCACTTCCTCCAAAGCCTTTCTTGTGCAGCACTAGTTTATAAGACTTACTGGTCCTCATGACGAACAAGGAAGTATCAAACACAAAGATGCAAGACGTCTCAACTGGTAAAAAAGGCTGGCTCTGTGGTTGGACTCAAGCTGGACTCAGTGGAGGATGTGGTGGAAAGATCTACACTGAGGAAGGTGGAGTCTATTCTAAAGAACATGGATCACCCACTTAACAACACCTTGATGGACCAAAGGACCAATGGTGGTGGACGGCTCCTCTCTCTTCGCTGCAGGACAGAAAGATTCAGAAGATCTTTTGTACCAACAGCCATCAGACTTTATAACTCTTGTGAAAATAATAGATAACTTTTAGAGACATATTATGTGAGACAACAGACAATTGAATTTCCCTTCAGGAGGTTTATAAAGTTCTTTTTATCTTATCTTCTTAATATAAGGCCTCTAGATTTTTCTTATATTATTTTCTTATTCATTAAAACATACATGGTCCAATTCTCTTCTCCATCTATTTGCTTCCCCTTGGTCACATTATTAAAAAGCATAACATATCTTTTCACTGTTATGCAGACGACACACAGATCCACCTCCCCCTTGAGCCTAATAACTACAACAAACTAAGTGACCTTAATAACTGTCTTCATGACATCAAATCCTGGATGGCTGCAAACTTTCTCCAGCTCAATGAAAACAAACAAAACAAAAGTTATTCTATTTGGACCACAGCATTTGACCAACATTATCGCCCCTGTTCTTGGCCCTTTGGCCCCCTCTGTAAAATCACACGTTAAAATCTTGGTGTCACCTTTGACTCAGGATTAAAGTTTGACAAACAAATAAATCAGGTCGTAAAATCAAGCTTCATGCAGCTCCGCATTGTCTCAAAAATCAGATAATTTCTTACCACTTCTGACCTGGAGAAAGTCATTCATACCTTCATATCCTCCCGCCTTGACTATTGTAATGCATTGTATTTTAATATCACTCAGTCTTGTTTATCTCGTCTCCAACTAATTCAAAATGCAGCAGCCAGAGTTTTAACCAGAACTTAGAAGAGGGAACACATTACTCCCATTCTTGCCTCCCTTTATTGGCTGCCTGTTAGCTACAGGATTGAGTTTAAAACCCTGATGTTTGTTTACAAAGTGTTGAATGGTCTTGCCCCCTCTTACGTCACACAACTCTTGTCCCCATATAACACAATGAGAGAACTAAGATCGTCTGAGAAAAGACTACTGTCTTTTGTCCCACGATCCAGGACTAAGTGTGATGGGGACAGGGCTTTCTCTATCGCGGCCCCAAAACTGTGGAATTCTCTCCCACCCACCATCAGATTCTCCCCCACCATTGAAACTTTTAAGACTCAACTTAAAACCCACTTCTACTCGCTAGCTTTTATACCTCAGCCATTCCCCATGTATGCTCTATGAGCTCTGTAGGTCGGTAGATCTGTGTTGTCTTTATCATTGTTATTATTATTGCTGCTGCTGCTGTTGTTATTATTATTATTATTATTATTATTTATTATAACTATCATGAATGATGATGATAGTGATGGTACTGAAAATATATTTTTATTGCCATCGTTATTATTATAACTGTCACCCAGTCTACTCTTCTTCTTCATCGTTTGTTTGTTCTCTTCTTTTGTTTAGTTTTTTCCTCTGTGTTGTTGTAAAGAACTTTGGATCAACTCTGTTGTGTGTAAAGTACTATATAAATAAAGTTGAGTTGAGTTGAGTTGAGTTGAAACAGCATTTAAGTTTCATGATGGTTAAATGAAGTGACTAACTTTTCTAGGCTTCATATAAATGAACGGTAGTAACTTACCAGCTGTGCACAAACAGGAGAAACTAGCTCATCATGTCCTCCCCGAAAAGCTCAAACAGCCTCCCATCACTTATTTGGCATGTCGCTTAGTTAATATTGCTGACAGATAAGTGAAATAAGTGTCCGAAATGGATCCCTAACCCCTTTATGGGTAGCGCCATTTGCTCTCCTGCTAAATCTCATTAGCAATAATTTGATTGGTTCTCCGCTTCTTCGTCTTCATCATCTTCTTCAGGGTTTTGCCGTTTTGTAAACTTAAGTTAGAAGTGAATATCGCCACCTAGTGCAACGGAGACTTCAGAAGGAAACCAGTGATATGAACACATCAGGGTTTGTCTGTCGATAAAGTGCAAATATCAAAAAATACCCCCCTCCAACTGACAATAACAGTTTTAATTAAACGATTTTAAAGAAAGCTATATAATAAGTGTTTTAATACTTATTACTTATTAAACATAAGGGAATTATTCTGAAGAAAGGCATAGAGCAGCCGGATCTATGTACCATTTGGTGGACGGAATAATGTGTAGAGCTGAGGAGAAGAAACCAAAGGCTGTGTTTCAAAGCTTTACAATTTCACACTTGCATCCTCCACTGTTCACTTGTGTCCTTGCCCCGCCCACTAGAGATGCATGGAGAGTTTCAAGGTAAGAAAGCAGAGAGCAAAGAGAGACATGAGACATCCTGGATTAGCCAGATAAGCTTTCAGTCAGCTGTTTGAATCTGCACAGGTGTGCTCTGTTATAACCCAAGTAAAATGACTGTGTTTGTCTCTGTGAGTTTAAAAACACATTAAAAAAACCTTCTCTTCAGTGTTTATTCTGTGACCATATGAATTATTTTACCAACTGAACTGTCTGTATTGACCCATTTATTTTGTATTTGTGTTTATATTCATAACGTATCTGATTGTGAAATCTAAATGTCATGTTTTGACAAACTCCTCTCTGAGACTAAAGGCTTATTATTTTAATCATTCAAGGCAAAAAGAAACAACTGAAAAACTAACAGGAGAAATAACTGGCTGGGATTTTTTATTTCGTTTTATGAATTATGCTATTATACTGCATCACTTTTATAAGAAAAATCTAGAGAATACATTTTTTTATGTCAAAGATATACGGGAAGACCAACACTGCAGCCTGTAACTGACACTCTAGGCTTCACTCCTGGTAATCATGCCATCTATCTTATTCTACAGCCGTTGACCTAAGCTAATGTTTTGAGGAGCATGTCTATTCATACCAGTGCAGCTTCAGTTACTCTCGTGGAGGTCAATTCCAAATGGCATAACTTCTCTGATCCGTGGCAATTTCAGCAATTCTGGAAAATCACAGACCAAAACATGAGCTGTAAATTGTAAATCCTTTACCTGGATCAGCCTTGTGACTTTATCTAAAAGTGAGTATACAGACACTGACACACAAGGTAGCTGAGAGGAACTCTGAGAGTTTAGAGCCAGAGCAGGAGAGCATCAGTGAGTCTGGAAATGACAGAGGTGGTGTGTTCATGACTAAAGTGAAAACAGAGCTTTACACCAGGCACTGACAAGCTCTCATGGCCAGGGTGAAGTTCATATTCCTAAGTAAACAGCAGGAAGAGTATGAGAGGGATATAAGAGGAAAATCTGTGTCAAAGGTGGTTAATAATCAATGAGTTAAGATTGTTTATAATGAAACTGAGCTTACATACTGTTTGATGGTGGTGCAGCACTTCAAGAACAAACAGAGTGGCAGTTATCTTGGGTGTAATGATATTTATTATCCCTGCATACAAACTGCATTGAAACAGACACTGACACTGCACAAAAGAATACTTTTTGGCCGTTTGATTCACTTTTATTCAATCCATTCAGTTTACACACCTGGCTGTGTCTCTGAATGGTAATGAACAGACTGTGATGTCAGGAGACACAACACTTACTTAGCATTTTCCCAGTCAGTCACAGTGTATTTGTACTAGTGACACAAAACTTTCGCCACCGAACATTTGAACTTGCATTAAAACATTTCAAAAACATTTAAAAATTCACTATCTCTTGCTACATACAAGTTTGCCTGTTATTCTTAATGCTCTTAATGGTTTTGTCGAGTCATTAAACGGCTCATCTGTTTCACTTGACCATAATACTGTGAAGACTTTCATTTCTGCTGATATTGTGCTGCATTTGTTGAGCACAAGAATGATAACCACGTGATCTAGTCTGAGTTTTACTCACTAAATGCTCATCTCACTGACCTTTCCTAATATTTCCCTCTGCTTGAAGATCTCGTGGGCCTCCTGAAGTCCTCTTCACTCCTAACTTTTTGTCAGAGGACCATTCATAGATGTTAAGCTGCTCCTTTCTTTTCCAGGATTCCAGTTTTAATTTACAGGTGGAAATTCTGCAAAAAATTCACAATTTCTAGTTTTCTCAAGATTTTATCACTAGGAGCAACTTTTGGCATCGGGGTGCCTTATGGATAAGGCCATTGGCATTTTAGGCCACAACAATCTCAGAAAGGCCCACAGAATCCTGTCAGGATTAAACTACACACCCTCTTCCATCATCAGTATTATCGACTGTCATCCTCTGAATAAGTTTGCTGTAATGGAAAGTCTGAACAATTACTACTATTTAGAAACTGTAACATGAGTTAGGGCCATGCAGGGTGAGGATAAGAGGATCCAAGGTTGAAATGTTTGACAGACCAGACAAAAGTTTAAGAGAAATGATGGAACGGGTGTTCATCAGGTCTAAACCCATAGGCAGTAGCCGGTCTTCCAGGTGGTGATGAGCTGGTCTGGTCAAAGACATCATTCCGATCTCTGAAAGACAAAGACAGTCAATTAACACTGACTGTACCTCAGAGCAGGAGGGGACCAACTCAGATGTGTAGGACAAGAAAAGGGTTGTGGTATTGTGACACAGGCCAGAGATTAGTCTAAGTTAGTGTTCGGTCATTCATTAATGTTTCGTTCAAAAGAACAGAAATGCTGAGCGAACGAAGTGAACTGAATCACTCCGAGACATGATTCGTTCCTTTCTCAGTTCAGCTGAGCTCAGCCGCAAGCGTGGCATGCCGAGAAGGGTGTCTCTGCAGAGCCGGAGAGCCCTGCAGCTGCAGTTCTAAGCGTGTAAAACTGCAGGAGGCGGAGTCTCGAAATCATGTAACCGCCCCCTTTTTTTACTCCTCTTCGTTTTCGTGTTCTTTGGAGAAGAGTTGTCAATAGTATGCAATGGTCTGTAGCGGAGTTTGTTGATCGAACCGTGAGTATTAAATGTGAATCCCACAATTTATTTAGCGTCTCCAAAATCGTTCACTTGATTTGAATGAGAAATGAATGTGTGGTTGTGCGGACGTTAATGATATTTACCATGATAGTCTGGAAGACACGTCGAATATTTATCTTGGTTAAGCCAGCTAAAGCTATTGTTAGCTTGTCGGAATTGTATAACCCGTAGACGACAAGCCGCCATTATATTTACTGAGACTGAAGTACGCTGACAAATAATTTTGTCATGTGTATCAGATTGAACATAAAAAATGTATAAACAGTTTAGGCTTTCTGAACCGAGATGTCCCATACATGTTGGAAATGTCTTGAACGTATGCATTTTTTCGTATATTATATCAGGTATTTCTTAGTATATCATTTATCATTTAATTAATTATTTTCAATTGTATGCATATCATATGTAATTGACATTTAGTCCACATTGCTGTTAATCGCGCTGCAGAAGAGAAACTACTTGTTGATGTCATTCTGCAGTCCACAGGAGCTGAGCAGCATTTGGTGGTACTTTGTTCACACACCATACAAAATAACTCACAGCAGAGCTTCGGTTTGGTAATTTGCCTTTTCTAATTACCACATGATTGTTCTCTGTTTTGTCTTTGTTTGTCCACAGGATGTACTTCAAGGGAAGCCCTCACACTGGATAAGACTGGAGTCGTCAGTCAAGGTGCCTGTGTACCTTGACAGCAGTGACAACCAGGACCGTCTTTTTAATTTTTTGTTTTCAGTGCTGCAGAGAACAAACACACAACTGTCCTTCAGTAATCCCATCAAGTTCATCATGGATGTTCTTTTTCCAGAGGTATTTCAAGCCCAGTTCTTTTTGTTTTCCATCACAGTTTTTTCTTTCAGGTTTTTCAGTTTCAAATATTAATTTACCCAGCAGTGATTATTTTCATTTCCTATTGTAGTGAAGTGGAAGATTTCTGTCGGTCAATTGAAAAGAAAATGAAGAGGGAAGGAAACCTCTGAATGGTATGTAGAGCTGTTACATACTTCACAATCTGGGCTTTAAATATCTAAGTCAAATGTCAAACATTTTATTTCTATCATGTATCTTTCTTTCAGGACTCATCCATCCTGATAATTCACATGAGGCTGCACAAGTCCTGCAACAAAATCCTCAATTTGTTAATAAAAAAATATGTTTACTACAAGATGTGTTGTTTGTTTCTGAAGTGATTATGGTATGTTTTTGACCAATTTTACAAGGTTCAGCATGTTTCTATGATATTAGGACAACATCATGACTCCATTCAATGCTATAGAAAGATAATTAACTACTCTAATAATGAGAGAAAAGAACTTGCCCCCATCAAGGGACTTCAAACCTGCATTCCATATGAATTTAGACTCTTGTGATGGTTGTCTCCCATTTCCTGATGCTGCCTTTCAGACATGGCTCCATCTTCCTCCTGTTTCTCCCAACAACCACTCAAGTCACAAAGAACTGCTCTTTACCTTAAGATTAAAACACTTAGCCACTTTGACAAAAGGCTAATTCTTGGTGGCTTTATGATCAAAGGCTTCTCCATGGCGACAGCCTTTTTGCACAGCTTTGTTCTTGATAGAAGACATTTTTTTGTATACGTTAAGAGCCAATCATATTTTTTTTGTTGATCACCACAAAGAATTACCTGGAATGACAATACTATGAAATTCTCACTCAAAGGGGTCAAATTGTCATCAAATGTAATGAATAAATAATAAAAAGGCAAAGCCGGTCCCTACAGGGCTTCAAGCACTGCACAGCTTGCTTTGGCTCGGGCATTTAAAACACTGGGTCCAGAAATAAATATTTTTTTATTACATTGAAATTAGATTACTCCTAACTGTTTTGGATGGAATAAACCTAAATTCTACAAGGTGTTTTGGGTTAACCAAACCTTAAATACTGACTGTCAGCTCATATTCCGTTTTTTTTCTTTTCTTTTTTTTCAGCAAAATAACACATTTTATCCATGTAAAGAAGTCCAATTACTGAACTGCAGCACCTGCATTAGCACTGACCTACCAGCAGGGGCGCTAACACGTGTAGAACTGCAGCGTGTAAAACTGCAGCTGCAGGGCTCTCCGGCTCTGCAGACACATACTATTGGGCATGCCGGTCGCGAGTAAAACTGCCACCTTTAACCCTTTGGCGAACGACACACAGCCAGCCAGTGAGCGGGCAGACGAAGTCTCGTGATTCACTCACAGCGAATGAACGATATGTATCAGTCAGTGAACAAAAAGTCTGTTAACGACATGTATCAGTCAGTAAACAAAACGTCAGTGAAGTACGTTTCAGTCAGTGAACAAAATGTATCAGTCAGTCTGTGGACGACATGATAAACGAAACAAACGACTTCACTTACTGCCGAGCACCGCTTCGTTCACTGAGGCTAAGATAAAACAGTGCATTATAGAGCCTTTACATTAATACACGTGTATTGCAAGAAGGATTTAATTTCAGCCGATTTAAAGCAATACGTTATTTGATATCTTTAAAAGTAGCAGAATCCCCACTACAGCTGTGATGTTTATTTATTTTTAATCTCTCCACTATTCCACAATATAAAAGAACGACAACTTGCACTCGTTTAGCCGGCGTGCTGCTGTTTTTCTGCTAACGGCAACACACAGAGAGGTGAGTTTTTCAGGGCAGGGGAGTGATTCTTCCTTCAGGACTTGGCGAATAAATGACATGTGTCACACAGTGAACGATGCAGTGACTTCAGCAGCAGGGGAGGGGAGGGGCTCGTTCAATGAATGAACTCGCGGCTGTGTCACTAACTGGTGTACTGCACCGGCAGGACGGGGCTCCGTAGCACTGACTGATTCAGTAAACTACTTTTGAACGAATCATTTTAATGAACGTATTCTAAAGATCCAGTACAATCAAAAGAACTGTTCTTCCCATCACCAGTCTGAGTTCAAAGAGAATGACATTGATATTTTTAAATCAGAATATGCCGATTATTATAAGAAATTAGAAAAGGGTCGTCAGCTTTTATACTCTGCCTCAATCCTGCAGCTTTGCTCCTCTTCCTCTGCCCCTTGCTACTGGATTTACTGTGTCTTCATTACATTCAAACCTCTGCAAAATATGTCACAATAAAGCCAAGGAGCTGTCATTTTAGCAGGGTGTGTTTGTTTCCTCCATCTAAAAAAGCCTTTTTATAAAGTTAGTATGTCGACAGTGACTTTTGTTTTTGTTGTAAAGCTTTTTTCTCTTAACAGCTTAAAATATTGTGAACAATAATGAGGGCACATTAAAGAAAGTTTCCCTCTGATACCAAGCATCAGGTATCAGAACAGCAGCGGCCTACTGCTGAGAGCTTCACTGACCTGAGAAAACAATAACATGTCGCTCTGCCAGTTAAAAAATATAAGGGCCAGAATAATCATTGATCATACAAATGACATTTTTCCACCAAACTAAGATCATAACAACAGTGAAACAGCTTTAGTTTCTGACGTTGTTCTAACTTACAGGGTTAGGTGTGAGTCTCCATTCTGCGGCTGAAGATCACTGAAGAACTCTGGGCTGACTGAACCATCCACTGGAGTTATTCCATCTAAGGACACACAAAGAGAGAAGGATAAATCAGCATTACTTTTGCAAATCCAGTTTGTGAATCACAGATGTGTTTCTGCCTGACATATTACCAAACCAACAGACAAATGCATGTACATGATAACTTAGCATGTGAACAGAACTGCTAAAAGATGATAAAACAGCATTGTGAACGTCCCCACCCTTCTCACTGTGAATATTATTTGTTAATGTTTCAGTTGCATGTTTTTCTTCTTTTTTAGCTGATTTCTGTCTTGTTTTTTCAGCTGCAGTAATGTGCTGCTCTTTTTTGAGTCAGAGCGTTACAGTAAGCCCCGAAAGAAAGACGGCTGGCCCTGTCGTTATGTGAGTGGGTGAAGGTATAATTTACAATGGCACCTTTACAATCACATGCAATACACACGTGCTTTAGCACCTTAATGCTCTGACACGTTGCCTCTCAGTTTTCACTTAAAACACCAGCGCACTTTAACTCTAAATCTGTATTCTGGTTTGTCTTCAGCCTAAATGTACAGCCAGCTTCTGTCTTATATGGTAATATTTGGAAAGTAATGTCAATCATGTCACCCATCTCTGCTTGTTGTGTGTTTTGTTGTATTGTATTGTATTGCATTGCTTTTCTTTTTAATTAAATTCAGTATTTTATTTTATTCTATTTTAATTGACATGCATGCATTAAGTTCATTTATGTGTACTAGCAACCAGCCAGGTACTGCAGATGGAGGTTTGCCTACAGCTACAATCTTGCTCACTCACACATCGATGTTAATCAATGCTCATCACTAGTACAGTAAGTAAACAAGTAAGTATGTAAATAACCAGTAAGTGAGTAAGTTAGGAAGTGGATAGATAAATAAATGACTTCATTTACTGTAAATTTAAAACTGTATTCTCTGAATTGATGACCCTGTTTCTCCTTCATAATGTAGAGATCACTGGTGACTCTCACTTTCTGCAGATTGTGACAAAATCTAGACTTTGAACAGTGATATCTGTTTTACCCGCACTATAGAACAGATCGGTCCTGTCATTATCGTTATCATAGAAATATGGTTCCGACTCGTCTGCTTGCCGACTCTCAACCATCTCCAGCCACTGGTTGTTGTGGAAACGGAACTTCTCGGACTGAATCTTCCTCCCCCATTCCTCGTCGTATTCCTGAAAGGTCAATGGAAAAGTATGATAAATATGACTTGGTGGAGAGTCTACTATTTACTAAGATGTCGCCTGTTTTGACTCAAGCATTTAACTTACAGCAATAATGTCAAGTGTGTTATCACACACTTTTCTGATCTCAGCATTCTTGTCATGCATCAGATCTATCAGGTAGGCTGGAGCCTCTGGAGAGTAGGTTAAGGGTCAGTGAGTTTTAGTCTGGGGAAAACTGCCTCAGCTCCAAATCGTCTTCATAATTCAACTAAAGGTGTACGTCATGCATTGTGAGAAGGATACGTGTGTCTTTGATGATGACATCTCGCGTAGCTTGGTGAAACACCATCTGGTAGAAGACGTAGACAATCTGACACACAAACTCATCATCCTCCTGCTGGGCTGCAGTGAACAAAGAGAGGAGAGGACGACAAACACATGTATGTCAGCCATATTTGGCTTGTTTGTGTTTTAAAAGACGATGATAACTCCACCTCATCAGAACATGGGTCGTCATAACACCAACACTTAAGAACGATACCAGTAAAATATCCAATAATATTGATATCTGTTTCAAAACAGCAGCAGCAGTCATATTGTAAATGAAGGTCTATGGAGGACATTTGCTTACACATAAACAAGAGGGTTTGTTTTTGTTGTGCAGAGAGACACACTTACTGAGAAGGATTAATATTAAAAACAGCGAAAAGCATTTGAAGAATTTTGAGTTACCTGGCCATCCACCCAAAAAATGTCTTGGTCTCCAAGATTAAATCATTGAACTTCATTAAGGGGCCTTATACATCCAGTCTCATATTTATGTGGGTTTGTAAATCCTGAGCAGCAGATTGTGTGAACATATCAAACCTCAAAACATGTTGGAATGTTTGGCTTTTCAAACAAAAGCTTTTACCGTTCAACAGCTCAATGAGTGCAGGAATAATGCCGGACTTAGCCAACATAGCAGCACAGGCGTCGTCCATGGACACAGTTCCAATCATGATCACAACCTCCAGGATAAGGTCGTCCTCTGCAGAGCCTTTAAAAAAGATTTTTTATATCTTAAAGAACCCACTTGCAAGTTCAGCGGGGGCCGCTCTGAAAATAAAAAAAAATTGTACCTGGTTTCAGTCGGTCTTTAAGGAAGGGTACCAGATTGTACTCCTTGACCACCAACTCCCAATCCAGGTCAGGAATTGTGAGGTTGGCCAGTGTACCCAGGCACTCAAGAACCCACTCCTCTTCTTCCTCTACACGTATCTCTGCTGCCAAGTCACCAACATAGTCCTGTTAGAGACAGACAGACAGACAAAACAGACTTGAAGAGATCTTTCACATCATTAAATACCTGGACCTGCCCAGTAAGAAAGAAGACTGTGGCAAAATTCTTCCAGTTTTGCCAGAAACAGATTCTTTGATTATTCATGACCCCAGGGTGAGTTTATTATCAAATCAAATCAATTTTTTGATTTTAGAAAAATCAAATTGGTCTAATATTACTGGAACAAACTGCAACCAACCTGATGGGTGTTTCTGGTCTGCAGAGGTCTACCCACCAAAAGTGATCCAAAGAATAACATTGCTTTTCGTTTTCATTTATAACTCACTATGAATAGTGGTTTAGTTGGTCCATCATGTTGTGAGATGTTTCTGATCATCTTCATCAGAAGGTAGTCTTTCATTTTTAGAGCCTTCTTCATCAGCATCTTCAGCCCGTTACCTGGACAACAAGAAACATTACAAGACTTGACAGTACTGGTTTGTTTTGATTTTAACATTAGAGTTGGCTGATATTTACCCTGGGGGGGGGGGGGGGGGTATTTACTTATATTCCAGACTAATAGTTATTTCTATTCTCTGGGATCATGGTCATTTAAAAACAGACACTTTTATCCCCCTCTGCTTGATTTCTTGGAAGCAAACATGGCCCACTTGTTTAGTTTAATCAAGTTTGACTGTCTTTTGGGTTTAAGACACAGGGAGATACTCCTTTCTTTAAGTCAGATAGATGATATTGTCATAAGTTTGTCTACTTTGCACAGGCTCCTCAGGATTTGCATACCCTATGTTTAACTGCTAACATGCTTTACTCTCATTGACCCTGTAGTCGAAGTTAACTAGGAGCTGGAGAATCTGCTGATTTGGAGCAGCCACGGTGGTTAACGTTATCTGATTGTATAAGATTCTCAAATTTTGAAGTATCTTGCTGAGTCAGGAAAAAAAAATTAGACAGAAAAAAAGAAAGACAAAAAAAAAATTACGAAAAACAGAACAAAAATTTGTCCGATAAACAGGAGGGAAAAAATATTACAACACAAAAAATGGAAAAAATTGTCCGAAAAACAGCAAAGAAAAAAAAACTGTTTCCTTTTTTTTGTAAGTGAATGCAATATGCTTCCATAGTATCTTAATCTTTGACTAAAGTGTTATTCTAAACATGAGTAGCAGTACACCTATACACTATACCTTCACACATAAGCTGTGCGTTCCTCTTGTTTGCAGCCAGGTTGATGCAGATGGAGATAAGCTCAGTCTCGATTTCATCCTCACTGTGCTCATACAGCTGTTGCATGAGCTAAGATAAATACAAATACATTGATGACACCAGAATGATGAAGCCAAAGGAAAACAGATTTTACTTGTGTTTATTAAAGTGATTCTGATTGATCTGAATTTACCTGACGTATGCAGTCGGTGCAGGCAAACATGCCCTTGAAGCGGTCATCAATGCTGATGTGGTAGAGGATTCGCAAGGCTATCTGATGGTTGTTCTCATCACCTGTACAACAATAAGCGTGAGCCAACAACACTGATTCAATCTTCTAATGCTCAACAATGACTGACCACAGCTGACACAACCACAGCAGAAGATTTTTTTAAAAAGCACAACACTATGTTAGTCAATACTTTTCTGAAAAACTAACAAGGTATTTGAAACAACCCATAAGGCACACTGAGCAGGAAACCATCAGGTTCAGAATAAACACATTTACAGGAATGCACAGATCCAATCCTGGTCTTTGATAACAGGCAGATACTGACGAAAAAGCCAAACTGGTTATCAGTAACATTAATGTCATAGATATTGTATAAGGCAAAAGTGTGTTGTTATTTTATTATTGAATTTAACGGCTACTGTCTCTTTAAAAATGTTTAGACAGAGTTTTGGGCAGAAGAGAGATTTTGACATGCTTGGAGACATATAGTTTTCTTTCTGTATCTGTTCCCGTTCTTTTTCCTGAATCATTTTTTATTTGTACACCGTAGAATGAAGTTGTTTTGTGCTGAACTATACAACAGGCTTGGCATAAGCTCGGACGACAAGCAAGGAGCAATTTCGTTTGTCACAGATTAGCTCAGCTCTTTGTTATTTAGTGATAAAGCTGATTCACTGTCACTCAAAAGCCCAAAAGTACACATTTGAAGTCTTGACTAATACCCTTCTGCATTTAAAGTCGAATAAACAGCACATGTAAAGCAGACAGTATACTGTATACAGATGCCGATATGTTAGTAGTGTATACTGTACCTAGCAAAACAGTTAGTTTGGGTAACAGTCCGACTTCCACCATCTTTACTCGAAGTCCAGTGTCAAAAGAGAGGTTGAGAAGCAGACGTAAGGTCAGGTTTAACAAGTCTTCATGGTCACAAGGAACCAGATGAGCCAACTGCTCTACAATATTCACCTCAGCCTGTAAAACCCAAACACAGACACAGATGAAGTTTATATCTGACCAGCTAGCTAAAAGGCAGATACGAAACAAAAACAGGGACAACATAGAGACATAAAAATCAATATAACGAAATCTTAACAACTAACACTCATTTATTCTCCTGGTAAAATTGTTTATATAAAGATATATATATATATATATATATATATATATATATATATATATATATACACAGTATATATATATGTTCTCTTAACACTCATCAAACTTCAAACAGTAGAGAGTCTAAATCACATCTGCTCCAGTCACCATGTCATTCTTGTTCTCCAGAAAAATCGACAGTTTTTTGAGAAATGAAACAACCAGGACGAGCAGCTCCTCGTCGTCTCTTTCAAGAACTTTGACCAGCAGACCGACAATGTTTTTATTCCTCATCTTCAGCTCTGTCCTGGTGTCCTCAGCAAGGTTCAGCAGGAGGTAAAGAGACACTGGGAAGCAGGGAAAGAAAGGATATACTGTAAGTCATTTTCATGAGCATCACCACAGCCACTCCTCCATCACAGCTATAACACGTATAATAACTCATTCCTTTCAGAAGACGCTAATGTTCACTGATTATTGTCTTCCTCGAATCTACACCTGTTTATTGTTTGACACAAAATATGATTCTGACAATATTTTAACCTTTTTTTTAACATCATGCAATGTTTGATTCAAACACCAAAATATAGAAGTCTGACTATAAACAAAGCATTTAGGCAATTCTTGACAAATGAACACCTGTTTTTAACAATAACCCCTTACACACAGGTAACAATTACAACCCCGTCTTGATCCAAACTTCTTGAAGACCCTGAAGGCCAGCTTACCTCTGAGCAGCTGCTCCTGTTTAGCCAGAAGGCCCTGGTATTTTTTAGTTGCTTTGTCCTGGTCTCTTCTTAAAGAGCCGTTATCTGGTGCAGACTCATGTACACATCAGGGTTAGGGATCGCACAATGAACAATTCAAAAACCAAGTCAGGTGGACTGTAAATGGGACAGCTAGAACAACTACTCACAGCCTCATTAATGATCATTTTAAAGCTCTATTGTGTTGTATGTTTACTCAAAAAGGTCATAGAGAAAAAGCAGTATACCAATGAATAAGGTTAATAAAAAGAAAATAATGAATAAGGAAAGATAACAAGTCAGATCCAAATACTTCAATATCAAGAGACGCAGCAAAGGTCATTGTTAAGAAGAAGCCAAATGACAGCTGTAGCATGTTTCGAATAAGACGGGTAAACCTGTAAGATAGTTATGATAGTCAAACACCAGGTGAAACACTGCTTTAAAAAGCAAGCAGGTAAGCAGGTTGAAAGGCAGATGGATGATTAGAGAGTGCAGCGCTGCCTTCAGGACTGCCAGTGAGATTCTGCTGAAATGGTTGAGCCTTAAAGGAGGACAAGAGTTACAATCAGACTCCCTGAATCCAGAGTTCAAATGATGAATCTCTCGGTGACTTTTGTCCATATTTTACTGGTGTGGATCTAACCGGTTGAGTGATGAAGGGGCCAATCAAAGATTTGACAGATTTGACAGATTTAACGAGACTGTGACTCTGATCGGCAATGAGCTGTAGAAAGGAAGTTCATACTTCTTTGATTTACTCTGGTACTTGAATATTAGTCCATGAGCCAAGACCCCAAAATTGACCCATCACAATAAATCAGGTGGGCAATTTTTAGTTTGTTTTTTTGAGTTGCTCCACATCCCTAGATTATGGTTTGGCATGATAACCCTTGCAGACTGGTAGCTTAGTGATGGTTATCATGCATTTAATCTATGGAGTCCTGTAGCAGAAATACTTGAATTTCGTATGGTGCTTGTTTGCTATTATGGGGCTTGTGGACTACTTGTTGACTGCTCTGCCCCCCTACGTCATTCTGATTTATTCGTAAGTCATCAGAGAACTGAAAAAAAATAGTTTGATTTGTTGTCCAGATGAAATTAAAAACTTTTATAGCCTTTTTTTTTTTAAATATTCATAGGCGGAAATAGCATTTTTATTTTTCTCTTATGTATCTTTTCTTAGCAGAGCAATTGGGTAATATTTGCATCATTTTAGACACTGGATTTGAAATCTGACAAGTCTTACCTTTCAGCAGGTACCAAATTTATGCCTGTAGCCCTTACAGTTTTGGAAATACACACATTTTTATATGCATGTTGTAATATGCAGAATTTTGGCTGGATTTGACCAAGACTCCAGAAGAAGAATAAGAAGAACTTTATTGATCCCCAAAGGGAAATTCAATTGTCTGTTGTCTCACATAATATGTCTATAAAAGTTATCTATTATTTACATAAAAGTTACCAAGCCTGATGGCTGTTTGTACAAAAGATCTTCTGAATCTTTCTGTCCTGCAGCAAAGAGAGAGGAGCCGTCCACCACCATTGGTCCTTTGGTCCATCAAGGTGTTGTGAGGTGGGTGACCCATGTTCTTTATAATGGACTCCATCTTCCTCAGTGTAGAGCTCTCCACCACATCCTCCACTGAGTCCAGCTTGAGTCCTACCGCAGAGCCAGCCTTTTTCACCAGTTTGTTAAGACGTTTTGCATCTTTGTGTTTGATGCTTCCTCCCCAGCAGACTGCAGCGTAGAACAGAACACCTAAGATCTACACCACAGACTGATAAAACATCTGCAGCATCTTACTACAGATGTCTATTGATCGGAGTCTTCTCAGGCAAAAGAGGCGGCTCTGCCCCTTTCTGTAGATGAAGTCTATATTCTACTAGTCCAACTTATCATCCAGATGTACGCCTAGGTATTTATATGATGTCACCACTTCAATGTCCACTCCACAGGTGTTCACTGGCTGAATCTACTGAAGTCTATGACCATCTCCTTTGTCTTTGAGGTGTTGAGGAGGAGGCAGTTTTTGTGACTCCAGTCACTGAAGGCTCCAATTAGATCTCTGTATTTACCTTCTTGTCCATTTCTGATACATGCCACAATAGCGGTGTCATCTGAGTATTTCTGGATGTGGCAGGACCATAGACTGTATATACTATGGACAACTTGTGTAAAAGATTATGCTGTTGCTGATGCTTGCTCATCGAACATCCTATATTGAGTGAACATTAAAACACAGGATCCAGGATTCAGTTTGACGGTTTATTTGCTCGTCTTCAGTGGATGATTTTTTATTCAGACTCCCTTTGTTCTGTGCTGCTCTTGTTCAGGATGCAAAAGGGAGAGCAGGCCTGAGGGCTGGCTTTTATGGTGTTGGGGGTGTGGTTTGGCCTTGAGTGACAGGGGAGTCAGGTATGGAGATGGTGAGGTGAGAATTTGGGATTTAACAGCCGCCCCTTCAAATAGTATATTTGAATCAATAAATCACAAATCAATTCTGGGTGTCGGCTTTAAAAGGTGAAAGGATAACTAGTCGGGCAACAGGGCGGATGAACTTTCGTTGGTTAGATGTCACTTCCACAGTCCTAATCCTTCCATCATCACTGGGGAAGAGACGAGACACCTTCCCAACATGCCACTGTCCTCTTGGTACTTGGGGATCCATTAAGAGTACCACTGTTCCCTCTGTCAGGCCTGGTGTGTCTTTCTGCCATTTATTTCGCACCTGCAAGCTTGGAAGGTAATTTCTGATGAAGCAGGACCAGAATCGATCAGTTAGGATCTGACTATGCCTCCATTTTCTCTTTCCAAGTAAGTTGGATTCAGCATAGACAGCCTGTGGAAGAGAGGCATCTCGCCGCCCCATTAGGAGAAGGTTTGGTGTGATGGGGTCAGGATCTGCTATATCAGATGAAGCATATCCGGTTGGTTTGGAATTGATTATTCCTTCAGTTTCAACCTGCACTGTGTGCAGTACTTCCTCTGGAACCGTTTGGCTTCCAACAATCTCTCTCAGAGCAGTTGAAGACAACATGATGATTGCCATTATGCTCCACAAGGTGATGAGGGGTATACTTTGATTCTTCTGTCTGAGAGACTTGTTCAGGTTTGAGTTTTTCGCATAACTAGCTTGTTTTAGTTTACTGATTTCATTATTGCATATGTCTGCCAATTCAGGATTGTTTTGGAGTTTGCGTTCAGATCGACGGAGAAGGGGCATAACAGATTCTGCTGGGGCTTTTAGTTCAGGTGCATCCTTTTTTCTTTGTGAAGGGGTTGCATAGCGTTTGGTACCATCTGTTTCAACTCTCACAGTTTTCTTATCCAGGAGGTCTATGGCGTCTCTATCTTGTTTTGACCTTGTGATTAATTTTTCGTCTCTGAAGGGGAGGATATCGGTTTGCCACAGTTGCTCTACATGGTGTTTAAGTTCTGAGTAGGGGTTAACCGGTGATGTTAAAAAGCACTGGGTAGCGGATGATGACTCACCAAGGAAGGTTGGTCCTTGAAGGGCCCATCCCAGGCGTGTTCTCACTGCCGCTGGAGCTCCCTTTGGTCCATATTGAACTCTCTCTATAGGTGTGATCAGGAAAGGATTGTCAGATCCAATGAGGATGTGTGGCTGGACTTTGGAGAAGGAGCTTAGTGGGAGACCTTGCAAATAGGGATAGCGTTGTTTGAGTTTATCAACAGGGTAACTTTGCTCGACCAGCGTTATCATGTCGGAAGTGAAGGCTCTGTCAATTGAGAATTTTTTCTCAGGGCTTGATGCAGCAGAGATTTTAAGGTTAACAGTTTTCCCGTTCAAAGTTTCTGTTTGCTGCCTCACTGTTCGCAGCTCGAGGTTTTCTGGTTCACCATCCAGCCTAAGGTACTCTGCAGCACCTGGTAGTAGCATTGTACGCTCAGATCCATCATCTAAGATGGCATATGTCTCAAAAACTCTATTGTTGTGGTGAAGACTTACTTTTACTACTTTTAGCAGCACTTTGGATGTTAGGCTTCGTGGGTTCAGATACAACACTCTGGAATGCTGTCTGGGTTTTATTTACATCATGTAGTACACCTAGGTGAAGGCCATTACATTTGGGACAGGGTTTTTTTTAGAGTGCAATTAGCTGCTTTATGGGTTCTTCCACATTTCCAACATCTATTTTCTTCCTTTAGCCACTTTGACACTTTCTCGGGTCCTAATTCTTTCAGACTTTCGCAGTTTGTTAGGTAGTGGGAGGTAGATTGACAAAATGCACATGGGTACCTTCTTTCAGGCTGTTGTTGATAACCAGAAACACTTGGGCGGTGAGTGAACCTCCGGTCGGATCCATGGAGGATGGTGGTAGGATACTTGGGTCTGTAGCTTGACTCCTTTCTATGAGTTTGAGGTGTGCTGATTTGAAGACTGCTGGCTTGTGCTACCACGGCTTTGTTTATTTAGTAATCTCTGGACATGGGAGGCACATGCTAATTCTGCTGCGCTTTCTGCTGAATTGAGTGGTTGCAACAGCCCTACTAATGACCTAACTTTGACTGCAAAGTTTTGGAATCCTTCAGCGTCTCCACGGGCCACTTTGGGGAGGTTGAGAATGGTCTGGATCTCCTTTAAAGCCAGTTGATGTGGTTGACCATACTGTCGTTCCAGAGCTGCCATTGCTGCTGTAAAGGGCTGTGGGTGGTGAGCATAAGACAGGGCAATATGTCTGGCTGAAGGGAGGTGAAGATGATCCAAAAGGATATGGAACTTAAATAATTCAGGTTCTTCTACTGGAAGAAGGTTTTTCAAGGCCATCTTTAACATTAGGAATTCCTGGGGGTCGTTTTGGGTGAAATAAGGGAAGGATGGGCCTTCAACACGTGAAGTGTATCAGATTTGGTGTGCAGAGGCCATAGGTACGGAGTAGCTTGAGTTGAGGGGGGCTCCTAGAGCTTGTGGGGCACCAGTCATTGGGGCTGGCTGAGGTGCAAGATATTGGGTATGAAGCTGCTGCACAGGTTGAGGGAAATGTTGATACTGATATGGAGCTACAGGACTTGGATGGTGAGCAGATGGCTGAGGGTTGGTTGAGACTTGAGGTGGAGGTATAGGCGTTGGATGAATGGTATACGGCTGGAGTGGAGGCCTCTGGGTTGATTGTATTTGGCTATGAGGGCCATAAGATGGCTGTGTAACATTAACACTGGGTGGTATTTGCATAGGCTGTGCTGTTAATGTTAAAGGAGGGTTGATTACGGGCCTGGTAAAAGGAGGGTCAGTAGGAGGCAGACTAGCAGTTGTGGGTATGAAAGGCCCAGAATGTGACACTGTGGTGGCAAATCTTTGAGGTTTAGGGTTGGAATAAGCTTGCTGGAATGGCACATTAGTTAGGGAGGCTGATGGAAGTGGACCTGATGGTACTTGGATTGGGGACTCATTTCTTAATTGTGGAACAGGAGCAGGTCTCTTAGGTTCACCTTGTGCTGCAGAGAGTGTGGGAGCATATGGGAAAAGGGTCTGAACAGACTGAGACATTTTTCCAGGTGGCAATGCAGGTACTGATTCTGTTAGGTTGGGTTCAGACATGGACTTTTCACACTGTGGGGCTGGGACGGAAGTTACTGGTTGGTTTGGCGATGATTGAGTTGTTCGGGGGTGACAATCCTCTTCAGAATCTCCTTCTGAGTAGCCATGTTCATACTGTTCGACTCTCTCGTGTAAATCCTTCATCATGCTCTTTAATTGTGCCACTTCTTGTCTCAATAAAACAGTCTCTGAGGTTTCTGCAGCAGGTTCTGCACATTGACTAAAATGTTTGGGAGGCTGGCCATAAAGTTCGGTTTGGTAGTCCCGAAGATACCTGGGAGGCATTCTCTCTCTTTGTGGCCTTCCTCCGGCCTGACTGCCATCTTGCCAAACTGAATTTGGATCCATTTTCAATATAGATGTTCTCTCCGGCTCGAAGGACCATGTAAAAGATTATGCTGTTGCTGATGCTTGCTCATCGAACATCCTATATTGAGTGAACATTAAAACACAGGATCCAGGATTCAGTTTGACGGTTTATTTGCTCGTCTTCAGTGGATGATTTTTTATTCAGACTCCCTTTGTTCTGTGCTGCTCTTGTTCAGGATGCAAAAGGGAGAGCAGGCCTGAGGGCTGGCTTTTATGGTGTTGGGGGTGTGGTTTGGCCTTGAGTGACAGGGGAGTCAGGTATGGAGATGGTGAGGTGAGAATTTGGGATTTAACAACTTGGTTCCGCCTACCGCCTGTATACAGATTTGAAGCCAAAAAGCTCTCGATATTTCCGGGATTTTTCTTCATTTCCTGAAACCAGCGCTGCGCAGTATTCTGCCGCGCAGTCACCGAGAGTCAGTGTGATGACACTCAGCTCAAACAGCGTAACCCCCCAGGTGAGCTACGCAATCCCTGAACGCCCATAGGGTGTATCAGGTGTCAATCATAGAAAACATGAACCCCCTAATAACTTTTAAGAACGGAGCTTCACAGAAAAAAGAGGACTTGAGCACAAACCAGTCTTACAATAACTACATGTCAACATCACAAGCAAGGGGGAGAAAAATGTATGTCCTGTGTAATAAATTTCTAAAGTTTGTCCACAGCCCCATAAGCTTTGCTAGCAGAGGCGGGATTTATGACCTATACTGCAGCCCATCACCAGAGGGTTCTGTTCTCGGAGTGGCTTCACCCAGCGAGGAGGCAGACGCTGTCCATTCTATATACAGTCTATGGGCAGGACTCAGTGCTGTATTTGAACTCTGACATGTACAGTGTGAACAGGAATGGCGCCAGCACTGTCCATTGTGGAGCCCCTGTACTGCTCATTAATGTCCCAGAAACACAGTTCCCCAGCCTGACAAACTGTGACCTACCTGTCAGGTAATCTGCGATCCAGGAAACACAGGAAGGATCCACTCTCATCTCTGTGAGCTTGTCTTTGAGTATGGTGGGTTGGATGGTGTTGAATGCACTTGAAAAGTTGAAGAACATGATCCTCACATAAACCCCAGGTTCCTCCAGATGAGACAGGGCATGGTGAAGCATGTAGAGGACAGCATCATCCACTCCAATGTGTTCTTTGTATGCAAACTGTTTGTCTTTGACCTCAGACTTCAGAAGGCATAGAATCAGCCGCTCCAGGGTTGTCATGATGTGTGAAGTGAGGGCCTCTGGTCTGAAGTCATTGAGTTCAGCAGGACATTTTCTTTTTGGTACTGGCACAATGCAGGAAGTTTTCCACAGAGCAGGTACCCGCCCCAGCTGTAGACTCAGATTGAAGATCCTGTGGAGAGGTTGACACAGTTCTGCAGCACAGTCTCTAAGCAGCCTTGGACACACACTATCTGGACCAGCTGCCTTCCCAGGACAAAGTCTTCCAAGCTCCATCCTCACCCCTTTTTCGGTGACAGACAAGGACTGGTGTTCTTGGAGGGAGGCAGTTGAAGTGGTTGAGACATTTGAACGAGATGAAGGAGGCGGAACGGGAGAAGTTGTAGTGGAGATTTGTTGCGGAAAGGAAGGTGGATTAGGAGTGGAAGTGACAGCAGTGTCAAATCTGTTGAAGAACGGGTTGAATTTATCAGTTCTTTCCAGATCACCCACCACTGGCTGTCTTTTCTTTTTACTGCTGTGTCCAGAGATGGTACTGATTCCTCTCCACACTTCACGGATGTTATGTTGTAGATTCTTCTCTATCTTCTTTTTGTACTCCAGCTTTGACATCTTCAGTCTCCTCTTCAACTCTTGTTGCACTTGTTTGAGTCGTTCTTTGTCACCATCTTTAAAAGCTTTCTTTTTCTGGTAAAGGATTGCTTTTATGTCTCTTGTGATCCAGGGTTTGTTGTTGGGGAAACAGCGAACAGTCTTTGTTGGTATGACTGTGTCTCAACAGAAGTTGACATAATCAGTAAAGCAGTCAACCTGTTTGTCAATGTCCATACTATCCACATGTGTTTCCAGCAGCACATTCCAGTTTATTGATTTAAAACAGTCCCTTGGAGCTTCACTGAGGTGTCCATCTTCTGATTTTGACTTTGGTCACAGGCTGCCTCAGCACACAAGGTCTGTAACAGGTTTGCAGATAGACCAAGTTGTGATCTGACTTGCCCAGTGGTGGTAAGGCAGTGGCTCTGTAGGCTTCTTTGACGTTGGCATACAGCAGATCCAGGGTCTTGTTTTCTCTGGTAGGACAGTTCACAAACTGTGTGAATCCAGTCAGGTGAGAGGACAGGGTGACATGGTTGAAGTCTCCCGATATTATTATTAGTGCCTCAGGGTGTTGAGTCTGTAGCCTGGCAACACTATTTTGCAAAACATCGCAACATTCTTCAGTTGATTTGGGTGGAATGTAAACAACTACTGTTATGATATGACAAAATTCTCTTGGAACATAATATGGCGGAAGAGCAACTGCCAACAGTTCAATATCTGGACAACACAACTTGTCCTTGACAGTTATGTGTAAAGGGTTACACCATCTCTGGTTAAAAATAAAGCCAGACCTCCTTTCTTCTTGCCACTAGCTTGAGCATCTCTGTCTGACCTTATGAGTCAGGTAGATCCACACTGGAGTCTGAGTTGTTTTGATTCAACTAGGTTTCAGTAAAACACAGGAAACTGCACTTACGGTATGCTTTCTCAGTCTTCACCAATATCTTCAGCTCATCGCTTTTGTTGGGCAGAGTGTTGATGTTTCCCATCAATCAATCAATCAACCTTATTTTAAATGTGCAATATGCAGCTTGCCCCTTTAAAAATGTGAATAGGCCTACAAAGTTCTATACATTCTAGTACAACCTGTGTGTGTGTGTGTGTGTGTGTGTGTGTGTGTGTGTGTGTGTGTGTGTGTGTGTGTGTGTGTGTGTGTGTGTGTGTGTGTGTGTGTCTGTAGCTTTAATTTGTTTATCTTTCAGATCAACAAGCTAGCTAGCTAGCTTGCTGACCAGCATATGCTAACACAACTATCATCCTGATTAGTATTACATTTATTGGCTTTCTCCCATAACAATTACGGTACATTATTCTGACAGGTACATTGTTTTTGTGGTTTCAATTCACCAAATTCAGTTCTATTTCCTCCTCTTACGAAACAATATCAATCTCCCTCCCCATCATTTGTCTCAGCAAACCTAGCTAGCGCTGTAGCAGCAGTCACACCCCCAGTGGCATCACTTCACCAGTAATAGTCATATCACAACATAACACACCCCCAAATATTTTATTTTATCACCAAATGTGTTTGATTAATGTAGGTTGAATAATTCTCATGAGAAACAGAAAATCTTTCGTACCTGAGTGATTGAGAGATGAGAATAACAGCTTGGAAATGTCAGAAGCCAGAAAATCTTGTTGTGCATGTGAACATAAAAATGTGTGTATAAACTATAAGGGCTACAGGCATAAATTTGGTACCTGCTGAAAGGTAAGACTTGTCAGATTTCAAATCCAGTGTCTAAAATGATGCAAATATTACCCAATTGCTCTGCTGAGAAAAGATACACAAGAGAAAAATAAAAATGCTATTTCCGCCTATGAATATTTTTTTTAAAAGAAGGCTATAAAAGTCTTAAATTTCATCTGGACAACAAATCAAACTATTTTTTTCAGTTCTCTGATGACTTAGGAATAAATCAGAATGATTAAGGGGGGCAGAGCAGTCAACAAGTAGTCCAAAAGCCCCATAATAGCAAACAAGCACCATACGAAATTCAGGTATTTCTGCTACAGGACTCCATAGATTAAATGCATGATAACCATTACTAAGCTACCAGTCTGCAAGGTTTATCATGCCAAACCAAAAACTAGGGATGTGGAGCAACTCAAAAAAAAAACTAACTAGAAATTGCCCACCTGATTTATTGCAATCAGTGGTCTGGCTCATTGACTACATAAGAAATGTAAGGGATATACTAGCTTGTCCTTTTTTCCACTCTCTTTGCTTTCCTGCACTGATTACCTCTTCAAAATCCTTCATTCCTCATCAAGAAAAACTGTCACCTTTTTGTACCTAAAAGGATTTATGGAATCCAAAATATTAGCGAGATTGCTGTTAAAGATGTTGATCATCTACAAGAAGATGCTATCAAGTTATTAAGGCAGATAACCAGAATTTCAGAGAGGTGAGCGAATCAAATAAGTGTTCTCAGGTCAGGAAAGAGAAGTGGAATATGGAAAAAAGCCCCAGAGACAGACACAGCCTTCCTTCAGCCAGGAGAGGAAAACAGCAACAGACGAAAGGATATAGGCTTTGCTTTTCTTGCGTAGCTCCTCCCGCCAAACATTGTGTCGCTTCAGCTCATGCTCCACGACGTTCATACACAATGCACCTATTTTGTAATGACTCACCACTCCATGAAACTGGGTGAAACTGGCAGAGAAGAGAGAAAAAAAGAGTTTAAATATGTAAAAGGATGAGGTAGAAGAGTCAGACATCAAATATGTGTCAATTTGTGAAAGTCCATTACCTGGAGAAGCAGAAGAAGATGTAAATAATGATGGTAGCAAGTTCTACACTCTGTTTCCAGTCCTCCCTCAATACTCTGGCCAGTGCGCCCAGAGCTGCCTCTACACACAGACAAACACAGGGTTTAAGAATGACAGAGTGGAAAGCCTGTTATCATTTTCTCTTTCTCTCACCAGTTACTTTCTTCAAATGTCCAAACACCACTGTGTCTTTGTTGAAATACAGGGATCTTCTTCTGTCCAGCTGACATAAATCCAAACAAATATTTGTTTTTTCTCCACCATTTTCCTTGTGTCAAGAAATAAAGACAGCTATCAGCTATATCAGCATTTCACTTTGAGGTCCAGGTCAGGCAGGTGTAGCAGCCAACCCAGCACAGTTACATCCTGGTCAGCAAACAAGTATTTTTGGCACTGTGGGCAGGTGCTAGTTGGGAGTTAAATCCCAGGACTGACTGTGTGTGGCGGCTCTTGGTGCGCTGTAACTAGCCTGAGTTAACTCCTTGTGGAGCGCTCCTGAATTTGTTAATCAACTTTTCTTGACATCCTCTCACAGCTGCTAGCATCTCCATTGCTTGAGAACCACACTTCTCCCTTTACTCAACTTCCCATTAATCTGCTGTGATTAATATTATATATTATATATTGTTTATAAAGTTTGATAAGGGATTAACTCGACTTGAAATAAAATCCTCAGATATTTTAACTGTGCTTTTTAATTGTGGTCACACTAATCCAGATTGAAAAATGCCTGAAACACTCAAGGTACATGTCATACTTCTCAAATATATATTAAAGAATTAATGTCATAAAAACTGATCCTGATATTGAACATTTTCTAAATATTCTAATTTCTTTAGCTGCACCTGCAAGGTGATTATGAATTCATTGTTCAATATCAACTTTAGCAGATGGGTGGACTTTGTACCGTTGTGTAGTAGCTCCTCCAAGTTATCAGGGTTGCGGGCGAGCTGCAGTATGAGAGCAGAGCCTCTGATCTTCTCAGGGATGTCGTCATAGAGAAGTTCAACATACTCATCAACACTAGTTATACTGGCTTCCTCATTTAACTGCATACATAAAAAATAAAAACAAAAAAACCATCAGACCCATTCACACACTGTTAAAGGGAAACTTTAGTGTTTTTTTAACCTGGGCCCTATTTCCCAGTGTGTTTAACTGTTCTTGACTGATGGGGAGAACACTTTCTAAAACTGGTCCAGATTGATATTACATCAGAACGACACTTCTCCAACAGCCAAATTTGGTGGATTTTGTACACAAACTGGCACAAGTGATAGGTAAGGGGGAAAAGATTACCTTTAGTTTACGTCTACAGATAGACATTTTTGTTTAACTCTGGTCTAAGTGGGTTAAATATGTATGACCAATATATGACCAAGTAGGAATTTTATGTCTTTCCCTTTTTTTCTTGCAAGTGTTGCTGATCCATGAGTTGTTTTGTCTCTGCCCTTTGGGTCTTTCCCCAAATCTCATTCATTTTTTTTTTTTTACTCCAATCACTCCGGAGTACAAACTCTTCCTCCACCTTGTTTATAGTTCTATCCAAAAATCAAGGACCGCAGAGGTAATTTAGTTGTCAGCCTTTTAGCCTTTTTTATGGTATGTTATGTAATCTGCTGTCCAAATCCCCAAAATGAAGAATTTAAAAAACAAACAAAAAAAGGGAGACCCTTTAAATCTGTTCTCTGGACTCAGTTTGAAGATGATCAATTGGACAGTCAAACTAAGTTTTAGCTAATTTGGCAGCTGCTCTGTTCTCCCTCAATACTGGACCAGTTTCAGAAAGTGTTCTCCCCATCAGTCAAGCACACATGAGAAAGTGGGGACCAAATTAAAAAACACTAAAGTTTCCCTTTAAATACTAGGAACAAGGTCAAATACATAGTACCAGCAAAACAAAAACACAGGGTAGCTGAGTGTTTTATGTGACATTAAAAACATAAGAATAAGTAACAAGGAGGTCATCAAAGTTTGGATTATATAAAAGACTTAAAACTAGATAGCCTGCAGATCGCAGATCAAAACTGTTTTCACTCAAACTGGTCCAAAAGAAACAAAGTGCTGCCCATGAACAAACATGCAGAGTCACAAAGTATTTTAAGAGTATCACCTCCACTCCCTCCAATGGTGTAAGCTCTCTGGGTTTCACATTCCTTTTTACTTTCTTCTCCACTAGTAAGACAGAAATTCAAAATATTAACAACTAATTCGACAGTGTCACATTTTATTTCCTTCAAAACAGAGAATAAAACATCTTCAACACTCATGTATTTGACATGTAACAGGATATTCACTGCCATCAGTAACAACAAAGTGCTTGTTGAGCAGTTTTCAAACCTGATCAGTTCTCAATCTGATGGAGTTTTCTAGAAATGTAGAGTGACGGTGTAGCATAGCTTACTTTTACCCTCTACTGTGGGTGATTTCCTGATCTGTAGGTAGTACAGGAGCTGCTCCACTTGAGGTAAACGGGAAGGAGGGATGAGTTTACATTCCTCCACCACTTTCTTTGCCAGAGCTCCAACATCTGTACTAGGAGAAAGGCTTTTCACACGAATGCTTGAGGAAGAAAGAGAAAACACAGAGAAGACAGGCAGATAAAGACTGGTTTACAGCCTTCAAACGGTTTTCTGTACTCTCTGAGAAATGTAATATTGATAGCTGGATACTAACTGATGCTAAATTTGATAAAACAGCATCAGATGAAAGTTACAGATTTTAACATTTCTCATAAAAGAGCACATCACTTACATTTTTTGTCCTTCTTTCCGTTCACCCAGCATATGACCTCCACCCTCTCCCAGTATAGATGCTTCCACCTCATAGTGGACCAAAAGGGCCTTCTCTGTGGGGTGAACATCCAAACTGCCCACAGTCACTTTGCTGAGTGGAAAGACAGTTGAAAAATGTAAAGTACAGCACAGAACAAAAATCTCTTGTTATCAGAGAACATTTTAAGGACCATCAATATTTGTTTCTTAGTCAGTTGATGAGAATATGACCAGAAAATAAGAGAGAGGGGTCTGCAGTATCAAGATAAAAAATGCTTCTATAGACTCAGCTGGTAATATTCAGAGTAACTGCTCAGATCAGATCAGATCAGATAGTGTGGTAGATCTTTGGAGCATTACATCAGCTCTAATAAGGGCATGTGAAAAGGAAAGCTTTTTATCAACTGTTTCAGCTTCAGTTTTGATGTTCTTGAGCATTAACATCTTCTATGAGCTCCTCTCATCAAAAGCTTCCTGAAACATAAGACCAGCTTTCAGTCCCATCATGTCCTTCTAGATCACAAAATCTGAGTTCTGATTTAGCATCAACAAGGTCATGGACAAGGGCCAACCAAGTGGATGCACAAGAAATTTGAAGATAAGGAAAGGTCAAGAACAAAAAAGGTGAAAAGCTAATAAGAGTTTGATAATGTAAAAAGAAGTTTCTCTGAGTTTCCTTTTCGAAAGATCGTAACAAGTCCGGCTGAAAACTAAATGTTTTGATGCCTGGTTTTATCTTTCCCAAGCACACTGCAGAGAGATCATACTGGAGACAGAAACAGCTGATAGCGCAGGGACAGTGTGCTATCAGTGTGCTATCAGTGTGCTACTGTGGGATAACTAGGAGAGAGAAAGAGGTTTAAATCACAGTGAAAGTATTGAAATAACCCAAAGTACCAGAGAATCACTGTAAAAAAAATAAAAAATAAAAAAATAAAAATAAAAACTTAAGAACAGGTTCCTCTAAAAAAGGAGGAAGATCACTGTAATTACAGACTTTTGCTGGAAGAAACCAGTCTGTTGTTCACGTAAACCCCACAAAGTTTTTTTCTGTTGTTTTTTTTTTTTTTTTAGTTTTTTTTTATAAAGAGAGAGAAATTAGGATATGATAAGTAGACAGTCGCTACTTTTAAGTCAAATTTAAAAACTCACTTTTACAGACTCACTTTCATGTGATGCAGTCTTTTCCCTTTCTCTTTTATCTCTTTTACCCCATCTTATTTTAACTTACTATCCTTTTAGCCTTTGTTTTACTTAGAATCTTTTCTTATTTTACCTATTAGGCCCTTTATTGATTTTTTTGTTTTTTTTTCCTGCTCATTTTTATTATTCCATTTTATCATTTATATTGCAGTCATTATTATTTTATTATTATTATTAATATCCTCTTTTATATTTACATTTACTATCTTGTTTCCTGCTCTCTGCCCCCTTTTTCTATTACATTTCTTCTTCTTACTTATTTTATGGTACTCATGGTCTCATTTTATGTTGTAGGGTTCTTGTATTGTCTGGGTTTCTTATGAAAAATGAAATTGGCCTTCAATTCAGAGGCCTTGTTTTTGTTGTTTGTTTTTTTTTTTTTTTTTTTTTTTTTTTTTTTTTTTGTTGCCTTGTTTTTAATCTGAGCTTTTGTTTTTATTTGTTTTTATTTTCATGTGCTGATGTTCTGTGCTTTGCAACTGTTTGTCAAAGCACTATGTAAACATCTGTTTTTAGAAGTGCTACAAAATAAAGTTATTATTATTATTATTATTATTATTATTATTATCATTCAAGTTTTTCAAAAGCAATGACACATCATCCCAGAGCCGGTTCTGAGCAAGACAGATACATGACCTTAACGTCCTTTGATTGATACCTTCTTCAAAGTGTGACTCCTCGCTAACAGAGACGGTCAGTGTGGTCAGAGCACATGAGAAGTAGATTAATACAGATCAGCTGTGACACCCTGGACCGAGAGCTTTACCTGTCCACAGACCTGGATCTGAAGTGTATAGGGTGACGCCCCCATGGAGGATAAATAATGAGACTAATCACATCCTCTAGTCTAGTCTAATGGTACGAACAACCAGGAAAATACACACATAAATATGACAAACAAAGCAGCTACACACCCCAGACCCACGCCCCTCTACATCAGGGACTGTCCTAGAAACCACCGTCTCAGCGGGTCAACAAGAAAACTGCGACGAGTAAAAGCCGCTTTTCTCTAGTTAAGTAACATCCATCCTTTACAGTCAGAGAAGGAAGATTTGAGCCATTACATCAGGGTCTGAATATAGTTTTAGATCCGATTACAGTGCGAGAATCATGAGCCCAGCAAACTTACGAGACACTTAGCAAAAAACGTCAGAGCCTCAGGCACAACCACCAGTGTCTGAGCGCGTCTCACCGTTTTAGGTAGCGAGCATCATCCTGCATCTTCACCAAAACCTGCTGAGACCGACCAGAGACTAAACCAGGACCGCAAATATCCCCCCAAATCACGACAATAGACTCTCAGGTGCAGCCCAATTACGCAGGCTCTGGATGCAACGCGAGAGCGACGCCCTAAATATCGCGAGACAACAGTTTACGTTCGACTTCTTCATTTTCTTTGATGCAAACCAGCTCTGAGGCGCACTCCTGCCACCAATTGGATAGGAGGATAGAGCCAGTCGATTGCTGATTTTGAAACGAAACGATAAATAAATTAATGAATAAGGAAATAAGTGGTTTAATAAATAAATGAACAGAATCATGATTTTTACTGCACTTGTACTTGTTGTTAAGACAACTGCTCTGATTTTGGATATTATCTCATTTTTTAATCAAACCCCAAAACTTTCTTCGCTTCACTTCAACTTTATTATGTCCCAAAAATGGGCAAATCATGTTGCAGCAGGCACAGACATTTAAAACACTGCCATACATCATAAAGATAAATAAATGAAATAAAATACATCTACATAAAAAAACAGTTCAGGGGGGTAAAAAGTATTAAAGATGATTTAGAAGGTAAAAAGAGAAGCATATGTCAGTCATACCAGTACTTTTGCATGAACAGAGTGCATAAGATAAAGGAAGAAACAAAGTGCAATATGCGATTTGCTTACCAATATAGAACCCCTAGATGAAGCTTGAGCTATAATAATAATAATAATGATAATAATAATAATAATAACAACAACAACAACAACAAGAACAACAACAATAATAATAATAATAATAATAATAATAATAATAATAATAATAACTGGAAAAAGCAATTTCTGAAGAAATTGCGAGTGGGATTGCTCTGTTTAAAATTGCTATCGCTTAACTGCTATTGCGAATGGCTGAATTTTGGAAGTCTATGAAAGATAAGAAAGTTTGAATTTTAAGGAAGCTTTGAATTTATTTGAATGATTTGTATGAATCCATTGAAGAGTGCATAAATTGTTTTTAAAAAAAAAGTTGTGGAAAATCAAAATGATTTAAAATCCTGAAGTATGAGAAAGGTTTAAAGTACTAGAAAGGTTTGAATCAGCTTGAATAAGTTGGAATTTGTTTGAAAAATAGAATGATGTATGAATCGTAAAAAATGATTTAAAACAGGAAAAATTTAAATGATTAAAAAATTTTAAAGTATTAGAAGTATCAAAAAGGTTTAATTCAGTTTGAATATTTTTTTATTTGTTTGAAGAATTAAATAATGCATGAATAATAAAATTGAATCTAGTGTGGAAAGAAATTTAAATGAAAAAAAATCCTGAATGCATCCCATAATGTCCTCAATGAGCTGAATTTCTAAAGCCCTGAATGGTTTCTGTAGCTCAAAGTTTGTGGGAAGAGATAGATGGCAAAGTTTGTCAAATAACTCTAATGAAGGGTTTTAAATGTAATCCCCAGTACTTTGTGTACTGAGCCTGGCTTCATGTGTCTCATATGGCCGTTCAGTCTTCCAGTCAGCTGTGTGTCGCCAGGTGCACTAATTGGTAGCCATGGTGATGGTAGATGCATCACGACAGCAGGAGAAAGGAGGCTTGAGGCTGAGAAAGCAATGCTCAAACAACACCCTGATACTCATCCTCTGTAACTGCTATCCTAATGATAATGAGTTTGTGAGAACCACAAAACTCTGCTGAACACGTTGATATAATTTCTGTGTTTGTGGAGCCAAAAATGCCTTCACTAGGACAAGTTAAAAACATTGCCAAGATGAGTTTCCTTTAAAAATCCTCCTCTCAGGTTTATATTGGAGTCAATGGAGGAATGTTGGGGATGTCTGTGGCAGTTGGGGTCTGCCAAGGCCAGTGTGTGTGTCCTACGGCTTTGATTTTTGAAATGAAGAGTGACAGCAAGTTTTGCCATCACTGTAACAAATTTTATTGTGTAGAGTGAAGAGAGTTGCCACAATCCTTTTGTAAAGACAAAGTTTTGAGGATAAACTTTCAGCCCCTCTCACTCTAGCGATGAGGTCAACCACTCTAGCTGCCAACATTCCATGCTATACACACTAATGTTAAAACCTGAAGAGGTCAGAAAACCTCATGACTTTTTAAACTGTCACTGTTAGAAAGGTATGAATGCCATGAAGATGGTGAATGAATGAGTGAATGTCTGAAGGTGTGTGAATGTTTTAAAGTTTGAATGAAGTTTCTAGGTGAAAGTATGAATGAATGAGAAGAGGTTGAAGTTGACTATGTCTGAAGCCCTTTTCCCATTGACTCCCATTATAACAAAGTTTGAAACAAATCTTAATAGTTTGAAAATACAAATGGGATTAAAAATGTTGAAGATGTGGAATAATGCTGACGAATTTGTGAATATTTTGGTTTTTGAATGAAGTTTCTACATGGAAGTATAGAGGAGTTGAAGGCTTTTGAAGTTGTGTGATGAAAATGTGAGAAAAGGGGCCATTTTGAACATTCCGTAATGAATTTCTAATGGGAGAAATCGGTCGGAAAACCTGGAATATCTCGGAAAGTATAAATGTTAGGAAAATTTTGAATACAAGCTGGAATCTCCTCCATGAGATTAATATTTTGAAGTTTGAATGGTTTGAATACGTTGAAGTATGTGGAAGTAGTTGAGGACCAAAAAACGGCGGAATAATAATAATAACTGGAAAAATTGCATTTCCTTGCAGAAAATGCGTGGAAATGCTGAGTGCTGAAAGCCGAAAAAGCAATGCTATACTGACAATAAAAAATGGAGGAAGGTATGAATGGAAAAACTGTTGAAAAGGTGGAGTAGAAGAGGAAGAAATTGTATGAATGGAAGAATTGTAGAATAGCTGAAGGTAAATTAGTTGGATTAATGTGCAAATTGTCTAATAGCCTAAGCGAAAAATGTATATGACTTATGTGAATAAACAGAACTGATGATAAGAATAATTGAATTTGAAAAACAAATGCCTTAAAATAATGTGTAACAATGTTCCCAATAAATGTACAAATAGTAAAACAGATTTCTGCAGTCTGCAGCATCCAACCATAGTAACTTGAGAATGCAGAACAGCACCATCTTTTGCTGTGCTTCAGGTACTGCCCTACATACGAATGCAGAAAGTATGAAACAGCTGAAGTTAAAGTAATTGTATAAATGTAGAAAGTAAAGAAAAGCAGAAGTAAAAGAATAAGAAGTAGTTAGTATGTTTGTCAGGGTTTCTTGGCCAAAATTTAACATAAGAGTTAATGGGCAGAATCTCTGCACTCCTATGGAATGTACTCACTCCGTGGTACCAGAGGTGGGATTTTGTTTTAAGGATGGAATAATGCATAAATATTAAAACTAATTTAAACAGGGAAAATTTAAATATATATATCAGAAAGTTCTTAAATATCAGAAAGGTTTGAATAAGCTTGAATGAGTTTAAATTAGTTTGAAAAATTAAATGATAAATCATCAATAAGTGACTTTCAAATGTGAAAAATTTAAATGAATAAAAATCCTGAATTGATTAACAAAATCCTAAATACACACCATAATGTCCTCAATGAGCTGAATTTTTGGAACCCTGAATGGTTTCTGTAGGTCAAAGTTTGTGGGAGGAGATAGGGGCTGAAGTTTTTCAAGTGCTCTGGTGAAGGGTTTTAAATGTAACAGTGCTCTGTGTACTGAGCCTGACTTCATGTGTCTCATATGCCCGTTAGAAGCAGCCTTCCACGCAGGTGTGTGTCTCCATGTGCACCAATTGGTTGCCATGGTGAAGGAAGATGTGTCACCACAGCAGGAGAGAGGAGGCTTAAAGCTTACACACACGCACACACATTGTCAGTTGTCTCGTTTATGATTGCGTCTTAACAGGTGTCAAACATCAAAGGCATTAACTGACCTACTGTTTAAATGAGATGCTGCCTAACTGCATTGAATTTAGGGCCTATGAACTTCTTCACATAGCACAATTTCCTTAAATCCCAGAATGAAAATAAGAACATCGTACAAATCCTCCGCCCTTCATGAACACAATGATGTGTTTTTCATGTCTGTACCCCGAAAAATGTGGCCACAACAGCGAGTTAAAAAAGTCTGAGCCTGAGCAATGATCAGGATTTTCTTGGAGAAAAATTACATTAGGGCCAATGCCAGGGTTCTTTGCCTTTTTTGGACAGTTGGTCACCTGCTGGCCAAGGGGTACGATTTAATGATTTGAAACCTTTTTTGTAATAAGCGGGACACATATACCTCCATTTTGATGTATTTTTTATGGCTGTGGAGTGAAATTTGTGGGCGTGGGAGCAATATATTCAAGTGAGGTTCTGTCGATCAAAGAGGATCGACTCTGCACTCTAGCGACGTAATCAAACACTCTGGCCTCTCCAATACACACCCATTATAAAGCCTGAAATTAGCTGAAAACCATGAGGCGCTTAAAGCTAAATTGTGGAAAAACTATAAAAGATATCAAAAAAATTGAATACAACATTAATAGTCGACAAGTGAATGAACATTTTAAAGCAAGAATGAGGTCTAGGTGAAAGTATGCTGAAGTTATAAGGCTTTGAAGGTGGAAGAATAAAAGGAAGAATTGGAAGATTTCCCCATTGACTTCAATGTTAAAATTTTTGCACAAAAAGTTAAAAAAAAACAAAAAGTATAAAGGGTAGAAAAAAGAAAAATACATCCGCACATGTCCTGAAGGAGTGGAATACTTTAAAGTTTGAACCGTTGAAATCGCAAAAAGTTTGAAGGAGGAGTGCGGTCCAAAAAAGGTACGCAAGAATAATAATAAGTTTAATAAAGAAACAGGAGAATAACAATAAGTGGAAATGCTTAATCAGCATTTCCACTTAATAATAAAGATATGAATAACATATAGTGGGAATGCTTTGCAATTCCACTCAATAATAATATACACCATATACTATCAGAAACCGTTATCTTCTCCTGCAGGAATCATTTAGGGCTCTGATAGAGCCTGGGATGAAGGAATTTTTATACCTGTTTTTTGTGGTTGTAAGAACTCGCAGCCAATGGCCAGAAGGTAACACATTGTATTCTGAGCAAAGAGGATGGTCACTTTAAGATCGAATGGACACAGCTTTTTTGAGAACCTGCTTGTTAAAAATATGATTCAGGCTAGTGAACTGCATGCCTGAAATCTTACTTGCCACCTTGACAATCCTGTCCAGGGCATTTTTCTCTCTGGTCCCCAGGTTGCCGCACCAACAAATAATACAAAAGGATATGACCGATTCAATAAAAGCAGAATGAAACAATGACATCAGGGACTTATCAATTTGTAATTCGGCAAGCTTTCTTAAACAAAAATGTCATTGTTGGCACTTCAGTATTACAGAAGTGCTGTAATAGTGGTGTGACTGAGGCCAGTCTTGTTCAATAGACAATTTTTTTTTATAAATTACATAAAAAGATTTTAAAAACCACGCTGATAAACACCTATGGCATAACTGTACACAAGGATGTATAACCACATATCAACATGAACAAAGTTTCTGTTGTAACTCAAAATAATTGAAAATATACAAGGTCAAAAAGTCAGGGATAAAAATGTTCTTTTTAATTTTTTATTTCATTTGAAAAAGAATTCTGAGAGGTCAGGATTTTAGATTTACTGCACATTTCTGTGGTTCTGTTTTAGAGTCATACAGATACTTCTCCTGAGAATTTCTGCATGTCACACCAAAAGACCACTTTATGATGCGGCTCAGAGAAAGCAATAAAAAAATGAGAAAAAAAAAACAGCTCGAGACCCGTAACGACACCAGCTGGCACCACCTTCACTAAACCAGAAAAAAATGAGTGACTCTTCAGTTAGAAAAACCACAGGGACAGGTGACCATGAGATTCCATCTTCAGTCAGAATGCCGTGTCGTTCAAAGGGAGCGCATTGTTGACTAGCCGACCTCTCCTAGTTAGGGGATGCTCCAGCCTTGCAACTTTTAAGGGTCATATGAAGGTGTGACTCGGGACAATCCAGAACTGTGACCATGTGTAACCATTTAATTGGTGCATATATACATTTATTTATGTATGTGACTTCAGTGCAATAACGTATACATTAAAACTCTTTGTATACTAGCTCTGTGCAAAAGTAAATGCATTAACATGTTTATGCAAATTTTATGCAATAAATGTAAATGTTAAATTATGCTACCACTTTAGATTAACAGGCCTGGATCATGGGTGCAATTTTTTTTACCAGCACCTAAGCGCTTTAACACTCTGGCACTTCACTGCTTACCTTTGCACTTCAAAAGCTTGATGTAATTTACCACTGACCCTAGCTTTATTCCTGGTTTGTCTGGAGCGTAGTGTTACAGCCACCTTCTCCATTGTTACAGTATACATGAGTATTTGTAAAGTGGTGTCATTAATGTTATCTGGTCTCTGTTTGTTGTCCGAATCTGTGTACCTAAAATTTTGTTTCATCTTTTGAACAGGAATATGTTTACCATCAACGTGGACCACAGATAGAAAATCTGGCAATAATCTGGCACATTTACATACATAAGCTCATTTAGGTGCATATCTTAAAATAAATAAAACAATTTGGTTGCTGCTTGTATTTTCCAAAGAACGAGTTTCCCCATCATCAATACCTAAAGTTTTTGTATATTTGTGTGATTTTACAAGAGATCTGCTTGTCATTACTTATTTGTCAACTCACCTTACACGTTTTCTGAACTGCTGAAATGTGAGCTGTGGTTCAACTGGTATTCATAATTTCACAGTTCTTTATTTGGACCCAATCTGGCTCCAGTGCCTCTTTTGGTGATGGTTATGCACATGAAAAAGATTTCACTTCTCTCTGTGATGGTTGTTTTTTCAAAAAGGGATTTTTTTTTACTGAGTAACAACCTCCTGTCTGAAACCTTAGGGGCAGGCTGACACTCCTCTGTTTTGTCGGCCTCTGGTTCTCAAATGAGAAAGTTAACCAGCAACACAATCAAAAACAACACCTTGGTAGAGTAGCATGTTAGCGTGCTTGCACAGCCAAAGTTCAACTGAACAAATCAAGACAGTCTTCCAGATCAAGTTCACCACAAGAGCCATCAGCACAGCAAGCATCAGTCTGCTGTAGTTCATCTCCACTCTTCTTTTGCTTGTAAACAGTTCTTTTGTTCTTCCTGTCCTTTGATTTCTCCTCTTGTGTTTCTTCCATCAGTCTGAGAGAAGGATTTTGTAGTTCCTCTGAGATATCAGTGTTTGGGATTTGCTGTTTTTGGACTTGACCTCTAGACATTGCTGACTGAAAATTCTGGTGGAACCTGGCAACAAACACAGACAGAGAGTCCAGACTTTACCTGCTTGCATCAGGATTTACATGTATGTGACATGAACTCTGATTGTCACATAAGAAAGAAACAGCTGATGACTTGAATAACATCATTGACTGGGAGTCTGTCAGGCAGTCCACTTACCTCTGAATCCGTCTCAGATTCTCCTCCATCTTCTGGTTGGCAATCTTGGTCAGGAAATGAATATACTCATGGTCAACCATTAATATCCCGTTATTCGTGAGAGGAACCTCCATGCCATGGGTGCTACGAACTGCCTTTGGGGCCCAACAAAGTATTGATACATTCACATTTGTAAATAATACAAACAAGCAACCCATGTGGCAAAGCAAAGGGGTTTGTACTTTATTGCACAGAAAGTTTAACATTTTAGACTACTGACTGAGGAAGACTAGCAGGACTAGAAAAGACACAAAACTGTTTTTGTACAAATACTAAAAATCAATAATATAAGCAGCCATACCATCAGTATTTTTCCTGTCTTGCTGACAGTGAGACCAGAGTTCCTGAAGCCCGAGTTGACGGCCACTGAGTGCTGGGTGGGTGGGGGGTTAACAAGTTCAGTTAATAAACTGCAGCACAAACGGAGTCATAACAGGACTTCATCTATACTTTCTCTATAGAGAGCTAGAATTAGTGTTCACATGTCACACTCACAATAATACACTAATTTCAGACGTTGCTATGGACCCCCCCCCCCCCCAACGTTCAATGCTTACTTTGAATTTGATGTTTAGAAAATTATTGGGACACACGTGAAAAAACACTCAAAAAGTTGAGTATAGTAATTTAGTACAGAGAGCTGCAGAGAATTTGACCATTTCAGGAATGTCATCATTTTCTAGGGATGTAAGGTGGCAGAAAACGTGCACGTGAAACACCAGTGTTGCTGGTATGCCAGCTTTGCCAGTCTTTGGAATATAACTCACTATTTCTCTTGAACTTACTTGACACATATATGGAGAAAAGGTTCAGCAGAAGGGTTGAAGTTTAATTATATCCATGACTGACTGAATCATCAAATTTACTCTTTAAAAACATGTATAAGACTGAGCAGACACTTATGAACTCTCATGCTTACCAGCAGCTGAGCATCCTTCAGCTGCCTGCATTGAACATGGAGGACAAAGGGTTCAAACTTAAGCACTGCATCTGCCCTGGACCTGGCCAGACCACACATCTGTGGAAAAACAACCACATGTAGTAAAACTCCTATATATATATACACACACAATTCAGTCACACAATCATAACAGATGTCGTACAAGGCTCTCAAGTTGTGAACTAAGCTTGAAGTGACATTGGGTGGGGATAGAGTATTTGAAGATCATGTAATAATATAATAGTTATCATCGTAATTAATTATAACAACAATGCTATTCCTGTTTCACCTGGCAACAAGAAATACTATTTTCAAGCAGCCTGCGCTCGCCTCATCCATTCATAGGATTGCTATCTCTTTTATATGAAATGTTATTAATGCGCGGCGAGCTTTGTCATTTCTCAGCGTGAGAAATGTCATGTGATCTATTGAAATGCGTGTTCAACGCTCAGTGCGTGAGACTTTAGGGCCGTGTATATATCTCACCAGGTCCTCAGGTTTGCATTTCTGATGAGAGACAAACAGCCAGACACAGTTCTGTTTCTGGACCCCACAGCTGTCTGTCACCTGGAGGGAAAGAGAGGAGGCCTGTTATTTAGACCACAAACGTACCAGACAGTACTGAGCAGAAGATCGCATTCATAGTGCTGTTTTCTAAAAAGTCTAAACCCATCTTAAAACCATGTTAGCTTGAGTCCGTTAAAGTTGGCACACAGCTTTAGTCTGAAACCCCGTAGACTAGTCCCTCAGGTCCAGTCCTGAGTCGACTCTCTCTCACCCCATCGATGAGGGTTAGTCTGCCGGAGCAGGAGCTGGTTGTGAAGTATTCCTCACAGCTGTTCAGCAGAAACACCACGTGTTCAATGTCCTCATCCACGCAAGACTTCCTACTCAGATCGACTTTCCCTAGACACTGCTGCTTCCACAGACTGAACGTCTTCTCCATCTTTACACAAACATATCTGTTTGCGTGATGAACCGCAGAGAGAAATACTACCGACAGAGACGTGCTTCTTCTTCTTCTTCTTCTTCAGTTTACTCCTTAGTGTCTGGAGCATTACCGCCACCTACTGAGTCTACGGTGGAACAGGAGATTAGGTCGTTAAGGACAATAACCCTTTAGTGACGGAGACTCCTAAATCCTTTCTATTAACCGTGTATCCCGCACAAAATCCATCAGTCGCCCCAGCCTTGCCCTATTGTCCACTTTTAGCAAGTTTTCTAAGTTAAACGATTCCTTATCTTTCTCAATTGCTGCTTTCAAGGTCTTCCTCTCTTCTTCGTATCTCACACATTCCATCAGCACACCCCACACAGTTGACATTTTCCATCTGTGTGTTTACCAGTGGCGATTGCAAGAGTACCCAGATGCAGCGCAAGATGGCGGACCCAAAGATGAAAAAAACGCAATAACAAAACGCAATACATTTCCGCATTACCTCCGATTGGCGCAATGAATTTCCGCATTTCCTCCGATTGGCGGACCCAAAACATGAACTTCCGCTTTGCGATGCCAGAACAGTAGGTGGCGGTATGCACCTACACTTTCTGACGGCAAAATCTACAGAAGAAGAAGAACTCTCAGGAAGTTTGAAAAGAAGCAAGCCGTCCGCATTCATTCAGGCTGTGGCTGTGTCTCATTTCAGAGACCGCATCGTGATAAGCGCGTTAAACAGCGCTTAGCTGAGTGCACTGCCGTTTTGAGCCGTTTTACGCCGTTTTGCGCCATTCTGTGCCCTTCCTGTGTCCCATTTCAGATACAGCAGCCATCGAACGGCGCATCTGACGCGTACGTGAGGTCACCACGCGGCACGAACGGTGTCCCGTTTGGCACAAAATACTAAGCGCGCTTCAAATTCGGTCTCAAAACCACACTACCCCCGCCTCGTTTTCAAGCGTGCATGTATGCACGCTTTCGTGCCGTCGGTATCCCAGAATTCTTTGCGTGCCGCTGCACAGCTGCGCATTTCAGGTGAGAGGCTGGACTCGCTTGGAGACACAGCGCGTCTTCGAAGAAAATACAAGCAATCCAAAACCATCAGACAGTCAGCTCAGGCTGTATGAGAGCATGATCTCTGAACTCACTAAAATCTGTAAACCAAACATTATAGATTTAGAGACGAACTGATCCGCTGTGTTACAACTATCAAAAACTTTAGAAATGAGAAAGCTGACAAAACTACAGCAGAGTATCAGGACAACATTGAGGTTTTTTTTTCTTTTAAGATTTAGAGATTAAAGTTGTAAATTTAGGAGAATAAAGTCATAAAGTAAATAAAGTCATAAAGCTGCTTTTGCGGAGGGGGAAATGACTGAAGCTGGTCATCTGCAGGGTTATCTGTGGATGTATCAGCGGGTCATTAAGAGAGATTTTGTGGTTTCTGAAGAAACAATCAAACTGATGATGATCAACATTTGTGATCCAGAGGGAGTCGAGCTCCGACGAGCACCACGTCTCTGACACCGGCCGTAGCCTACACCTGCAGAGACACCAACACCTTATTACGGCATATGGATTCATATCATAAACTAAAGCTCAATGTCATTCACGGATATTAACGGCTGCATTGACAGATATATCCTCAGCATATTCATTTCTGCCTCCACAAAAGCAGCGATTTCCTTCAAGTACACCAATATTTTTCCCCCGTGGAAAAGACGTATTTCTCATATATTCTTTTTAAAGTCTTTATACTTATGACAATGTTATGCTGATGTGCCAGAGGATGAAGAATCTCCTTGTTTGTGAAACCTATACTGAAGCACAGTTCCTTCAAATGCTTCATGGCCCTAATTTTAACAAGTCTCTCTGAAATAACAGGTTATGACTTCATTCTCATAAATTAATGACTTTATTCTCGTAAATTCACGACTTAAATCTCGAAGTCCTTAAAGTCTTAAATCTCAATATGGCCCTCATACTCCTTCTTACAAAACAATCATTGGATGAATTGTGCTTGTATGTATCTACTATTTTGTGTCTGTGCAAGGTCGCACAATTAAAACAATAAATGCTGCGCTCCGCGGGTTTCCTTTAAGTCAGTCGTGACGCGAGCCTGAGGGCGGGGACATTTGGCAACTCCACCAGGAAGTCCTCCGAAGGTCTCCAAATGTCCCCGCCCTCAGGCTTACGTCACGACTGATTGGAAAAAAGCTGCGGAGCGCAGCATGTATTGTTTTAATTGTGCGACCTTGCACAGACACAAAATAGTAGATACATACAAGCACAGATCATTCCCACAAAATTAATCCAATGATTGTTTTGTATGAAGGAGTATGAGGGCCCTATTGAGAAGGAGGATAGGAGATACTTCATCCTCTGGCACATCAGCATCACATTGTCATAAGTATAAAGACTTTAAAAAAAGAATATATGAGAAATACGTCTTTTCCACGGGGAAAAAAACTGGTGTACTTGAAGGAAATCGCTGCTTTTGTGGAGGCAGAAATGAATATGCTGAGGATATATCTGTCAATGCAGCCGTAAATATCCGTGAATGACATTGAGCTTTAATTTATGATATGAATCCATATGCCATAATAAGGTGTTGGTGTCTCTGCAGGTGTAGGCTACGGCCGGTGTCAGAGACGTGGTGCTCGTCGGAGCTCGACTCCCTCTGGATCACAAATGTTGATCATCATCAGTTTGATTGTTTCTTCAGAAACCACAAAATCTCTCTGAATGACCCGCTGATATATCCACAGATAACCCTGCAGATGACCAGCTTCAGTCATTTCCCCCTCCACAAAAGCAGCTTTATGACTTTATTTACTTTATGACTTTATTCTCCTAAATTTACAACTTTAATCTCTAAATCTTAAAAGAAAAAAACCTCAATGTTGTCCTGATACTCTGCTGTAGTTTTGTCAGCTTTCTTATTTCTAATGTTTTTGATTGTTGAAGCAGAGCGGATCAGTTCGTGTCTAAATCTATAATGTTTGGTTAACAGATTTTAGTGAGTTCAGAGATCATGCTCTCATACAGCCTGAGCTGACTGTCTGCTGTTTTTGGATTGCTTGTAATTTCTTTGAAGACGCGCTGCGTCTCCAAGCGAGTCCAGCCTCTCACCTGAAATGCGCAGCTGTGCAGGAGAATAAAGTCATAAAGTAAATAAAGTCATGAAGCTGCTTTTGTGGAGGGGGAAATGACTGAAGCTGGTCGTCTGCAGGGTTATCTGTGGATGTATCAGCGGGTCATTCAGAGAGATTTTGTGGTTTCTGAAGAAACAATCAAACTGATGATGATCAACATTTGTAATCCAGAGGGAGTCGAGCTCCGACGAGCACCACGTCTCTGACACCGGCCGTAGCCTACACCTGCAGAGACACCAACACCTTATTACTGCATATGGATTCATATCATAAATTAAAGCTCAATGTCATTCACGGATATTAACGGCTGCATTGACAGATATATCCTCAGCATATTCATTTCTGCCTCCACAAAAGCAGCGATTTCCTTCAAGTACACCAGTTTTTTCCCCCGTGGAAAAGACGTATTTCTCATATATTCTTTTTTGAAGTCTTTATACTTATGACAATGTGATGCTGATGTGCCAGAGGATGAAGTATCTCCTATCCTCCTTCTCAATAGGGCCCTCATACTCCTTCATACAAAACAATCATTGGATTAATTTTGTGGGAATGATCTGTGCTTGTATGTATCTACTATTTTGTGTCTGTGCAAGGTCGCACAATTAAAACAATACATGCTGCGCTCCGCAGCTTTTTTTCTAATCAGTCGTGACGTAAGCCTGAGGGCGGGGACATTTGGAGACCTTCGGAGGACTTCCTGGTGGAGTTGCCAAATGTCCCCGCCCTCAGGCTCGCGTCACGACTGACTTAAAGGAAACCCGCGGAGCGAAGCATTTATTGTTTTAATTGTGCGACCTTGCACAGACACAAAATAGTAGATACATACAAGCACAATTCATCCAATGATTGTTTTGTATGAAGGAGTATGAGGGCCATATTGAGATTTAAGACTTTAAGGACTTCGAGATTTAAGTCGTGAATTTACGAGAATAAAGTCATTAATTTATGAGAATGAAGTCATAACCTGTTATTTCAGAGAGACTTGTTAAAATTAGGGCCATGAAGCATTTGAAGGAACTGTGCTTCAGTATAGGTTTCACAAACAAGGAGATTCTTCATCCTCTGGCACATCAGCATAACATTGTCATAAGTATAAAGACTATAAAGACAGACTAAAGAATATATGAGAAATACGTCTTTTCCACGGGGAAAAAAACTGGTGTACTTGAAGGAAATCGCTGCTTTTGTGGAGGCAGAAATAAATATGCTGAGGATATATCTGTCAATGCAGCCGTAAATATCCGTGAATGACATTGAGCTTTAATTTATGATATGAATCCATATGCAGTAATAAGGTGTTGGTGTCTCTGCAGGTGTAGGTTACTGTCTGTGTCAGAGACGTGCTGCTCGTCTGAGCTCGACTCCCTCTGGATCACAAATGTTGATCATCATCAGTTTGATTGTTTCTTCAGAAACCACAAAATCTCTCTGAATGACCCGCTGATACATCCACAGATAACCCTGCAGATGACCAACTTCAGTCATTTCCCCCTCCACAAAAGCAGCTTTATGACTTTATATACTTTATGAGTTTATTCTCCTAAATTTACAACTTTAATCTCTAAATCTTAAAAGAAAAAAAAACTCAATGTTGTCCTGATCCTCTGCTGTAGTTTTGTCAGCTTTCTCATTTCTAATGTTTTTGATAGTTGTAACACAGCGGATCAGTTCGTCTCTAAATCTTTAATGTTTGGTTAACAGATTTTAGTGAGTTCAGAGATCATGCTCTCATACAGCCTGAGCTGACTGTCTGCTGTTTTTGGATTGCTTGTATTTTCTTCGAAGACGCGCTGTGTCTCCAAGCGAGTCCAGCCTCTCACCTGAAATGCACAGCTGTGCAGCAGCACGCAAAGAATTCTGGGATACCGACGGCACGAAAGCGTGCATACATGCACGCTTGAAAAAGAGGCGGGGGTAGTGTGGTTTTGAGACCGAATTTGAAGCGCGCTTAGTATTTTGTGCCAAACGCGACACCATTCGTGCCGCGTGGTGACCTCACGTACGCGTCAGATGCGCCGTTCGATGGCTGCTGTATCTGAAATGGGACACAGGAAGGCCACAGAATGGCACAAAACGGCTCAAAACGGCAGTGCACTCAGCTAAGCGCCGTTAAGCGCGCTTATCACGATGCGGTCTCTGAAATGAGACACAGCCTCTATCTCACCTCCGACCCACTCAAGCTAACCCTAACCCTGCATTCCATTGTTTCCATCATGGGAAATCTAAGTGACGCTCTCAAATTAACAGGAACATTGCGCAGAAGATATGTCCTGGGCAATGGACTGAGAAAACGGGCAGAGATTTGGAGGTATTTGTGCATGCTCTATATTACAGTTGAAAAGTGTATAACAGCTTTCCAATGCTGTTACTTGTGGCGAACACCTTTTTGCTTGAGTTGATGCGTGCCCACAGGTGGAATAATGTCACATGTCACACACATTTTCTGTTGTTTTGATTTATTTACTCATTCATCATTTTATGTGCGCACCTCTCCTAATCAACCCACCCATTAAATAGACAGGCACAATAGCACCATCTGCTGGCACAAAAAATACATAACAATAAACTGCAAAACCCCAATCTGGCTCCTACAAAGTGTATGTGACAAGATGATTAACGTTTGCTTTTGTTAAATCAGGGCTTCCCCAGCCAGGACTTCGGCTCAGACTGTGGCATATTCATGTTGATGGTAGGTCATAACGAGCTGTAATGCACAAATATTGTATCTACAATAACTTTCCAACATGGACTTTTTTTAAGTTATCTCACATGTTGTCTCATAATTTTTTTTTTTAAGTCTGCCATGTACATCGTTATGGAGTCACAGTTTGACTACTCAGTTGTAAGTACTTTTCAACACGCAGTGTCATCCTCAAGATTGTATTTTGTATTGTGCACTAAAATGAAATACAAACAACAATTTCAGCATGACATGCCTGTTTTGCGGCGATGGTGGTGCCTGTTGCTCCTGGAGAACAATTCTTTGAACAGGTAGACAGTTTAAGTAAACTAGATGTCCTAATTAACTGGAAGACAATCAATATATTGTACTTAAAGATATATTGTCATTACAGTTGTGGGAAAATCTTTGCCCACTGGACCAAAGAATGTCAAGAGCTCATTGCTGGAAAGCATACTCTGGTCTTCAGTCTAAAGAGGAAGGCAGAGCAGCAGGACATAGAGGTTAGAAAATTGCCTTCTAAAAACAGTATTATCTCAGTGGGAGCCCTTCAAAATGCACACAGTTGTATGGATCAACATTGTCTCGATGTATTTGGTAATTGATGTTACTTTTCAAATTGCCTTGTCAAGGAAACCATGACGCAGACGGCATCGGATGTCCAAAGAATGTGCATGGCAGATGCAATGCAATTCTGTGTCTACCAGACATCGAACAACACAGGAGAGAGGTGTGTTGCAGACTCAATTTAATAAATGCAATTATCGGGGCCTATTCAGTGATTTTCCATGAAGTGACCACTTTTACATATAGTTTAAATGCACGAATCATGCGGGAAAATGATTTATACATTCAAATGTGCTGCAGAGGTATAATCAATTGGACAGCGTGTTTGTTTAATATTATGTTTGTCTCTCATTTGATCAGATTGCTTTACCCTGAGGTAAACTTCATGAAATGGGTCCAGTGCAAGACGTGCAGGGGCTGGCTGCATCAGGATTGTGCTGGGATTGAAATGGAGCCGTTTGACTGCGGGTGCGAGGACTCCATTGAGCATCCTCGGTATAACATAATTTATCAAGGAAACATAGTATCAGTCAAAAATACGAGGCTCAAAGGATGAAAAAATGAGGGCTTGCTCTTTTTCTTATTTCTCTGCAGGATCAAGGATGCTGTTGACAGTGGAGGAATTCATGCTGTCTTTTCTAAGACACAGATCAAGGTTGCTTTTGAATGCACTATCAGTTGTTAAAGCCACCGTTTCTTTTTCAGATGATTACATTTTTGTCTCTTGCTCTTTGGTTTCAGACGTTACATGATGATCTACTTTAAGCGCTTTGAGGGTCTCTGATAAAGCGCTATATGAAATCTGATGCATTATTATTATTATTACTGTCTGGAAAGCTCCGCTCCAACCGAATGTTCCTTTGGAGGAATCCCGCCACCTCACTCCGACTAAAGCAGCACCTCAAGATAAGGACATTAAGTTGGAGTGAGCAGCGCGTAAGTAAAAATGCCATCCATCATGAGTATTTTTACTCTCAGGGGTGTAACATTTGAAAGGTGTTTACTTTGTGTGTTTTTCTTCAATAGATGTTCGAGCTCCTGCGGTTCATTGAGGAGGCAACAACCATTTCTAAAAAAATAAAGAGAGGCGAGATTCATCTGCTTGATTTCGTTTTTGATGTCATGCTCCCAGAGGTGAGTAGATCAAACTATATAGCTTGCTTTGAAAATTGATGATATTGTTAAGAGGTTGTTCTTATTCATTTGGAAAGCTCAAGGACAACAATTAACCCATACTGCATAACTTCAATTGTTCACATTATTTGACTGTTTTTCAGCTTTTGATCAAAGCACTTAAGGAGCATGGCATCACCCGGTTCAGAGCAGAGCTGATGATGGCCTGTGGCAACGTATTTTAAGCCCCCCACCACACCGACGGCAGTGCTCTGAATTTTGTATATATATATATTTTTTTACCTTTCACAATTTTGTTTGGAAAACATTAAAGAAATCTTCAAAGCAGTTGTATGACAATTTCCCATTTCTTTACACAGTCTGTAATGATATCGCTATTCAATTGTTTTTGCTATATGGCTCTTCTGAACCTTAAAGAGATCATGTGACTTGTGTCTCTACAACTATTGTATACTTGGATTTTGCACAGTCAAGCAATCCTGAAGAGGTTCACCAGGAAGCACACCATTTCATAAATTATGTCCCTGGTTACACAATGTTACTAAAGGATGGGGGAAAAATATGTGCAGCAACATAAGCACTCTCATAAAACATAATTATGAACAACAGAAAATATGTGAGGGTCAGGGCAACATTGTTGACATTAAACGAGGTCCTAATAGGAGTGGAGAAACAAGGTCACAGAGAAGTTAAGAAACATTGATGTGCTGTGTAATAAAGCTATTGGAGAGAAAAGTTAGAAAACACTCTTATATGATGTGTAACGAGAGGTTAAAACAGTCCATACTTGTAGCAAACTCTTACAAAAGAATTTGAGTAAGATGATAACTTCTACATACATTTACCTATTCTGACAAATTATCAGAATATGAGGACATCAGGCTATATATACATATTACTGTAAACTTCAGAATTAAATCAGAACAAAACAGTAGTCATAATTAATACATAAACGTTTTATTTTGATTTTTAGCTCAATAATAAATTTAATTCGATTCTTATGGAATGAACGGAGCAAAAAAAAAGGATCCGGCGACTAAATCCGACTACCTGAAGTATTTCGGCGCCGGAAGTCCGCCAACGAGAAAGCCTATCCACCGGAAGTAATTGTTTTGGGTCCGCCAATCGGAGGTAATGCGGAAATGTATTGCGTTTTGTTATTGCGTTTTTTCATCTTTGCGCTGCAGCTGTCTTCCTCTCGGCGGTTGCTCTAAGACTGCAAGGGAAGCTCAGCTTCCCTTAAAATGTCACCCCCCCAAAAAAAGAAGAAGTGGTGAAATGCGTACTGCTGTGTGTACATTTCATTAACTAAATACGCGCTAGAAAGCCTTCATCTTTTGTTCAGAATCAGCTTCATATCACAGTGTGATAAGAAGCTGATTCTGCACAACTTAGTTCTCATGCATCCTCGCAGCGCCTCAGCGCTTTAAACAGCCGGACGCTGGGCTTCTGCTGACTTCAATGTGGAAGCTCAAAGTGGGTTGTTCCAGCAGCGAAACTAGACGCTCATTGGATAAATGCTGGGCTTTGTCCCGCCCATCGGACGCTCGGCGTCTCTGGAGTTCTATGGCGAGAGGGCGGTCCCAACTTTCTCCCGGACTCCGAGCTTCTGCATCCATGATTGGATGAGCTGTCTGAGGCGAAATCTTTTTTGATTGACAGCTAAACAAGCGAATCAGCGATCTTGAAGAATAAAACATCTACCAAAGCATTTTCCAAGTTATTCATTCCGTTGTTCTTAACTGCTCCAGAGACTTTAACGATCCTCAGCGACTTTTGTCTTTGTTAAAAACGACTGCCGTTGTGTTTGGCGACTCTGTTCTGTTACATACAAATAAACAAACACAATTATGATGTAGGCCAGAAAAATGAGCTTCCCCTCCTTGAAAGACCAGCAGCCGCCACTGGTGTTTACCTATTTTATACAATGTTCCATTTAACCCTGTATGACCGATCCTTAACCGTGTTAATGTTGTTTCTTCCTTCCGGTTCCTTCCAATCCTTCTTCCCTCTCCCACCTGTCTCTGTATTGAAAACGAATGCCTGCCTGTTTCTACCAACTCCCAATATTCTTGCCACTGTTCCCGACTGTAATTTTTTATGAGTGCCTTTCCTTCTGCTTTACTTAACCTGACTTGTAGGTCTATATCCTGTTGCTTTAACGATTGCTTTGCTAACATATCCGCCTCCTCATTTCCCTCTTTTCCCACATGGGCAGGAACCCACACAAAACTCACACCCAGACCTCTTCCCAGACTTCATACAGGTTACTATGTGCCTCATATATAAGATCTTGTCTACAAGACTTCATGGTTTGTAGGCTTGAAAGAGCCACCCAACTGTCTGATGCTATGACTGATTTGTCCTTCCCTTGAGCTTTTATTCACTTTAATGCCATTATTATTGCTGCTATCTCTACTGCATACACAGATACATAATCTGAACACCTCTGCTTTATTCTAATATTTTCCATAGGGATATACACTGCGGCCCCAGTTCGGCCAGTATCTGGGTCTTTTGATCCATCTGTGAATACTATTTGAGTATTGCCATATCTCTCTTCTAAATATTTCAAGGCTACAAACCCAGATGTACTTTGTCTCTTCACTGCCTTAGGAAGTTTTTTTATCTCAAAATCCACTTCTGGCATTACGAAAAGCCATGGGGGAATCCTTGACACTGGAACCGTTTTACAGACCTGAATCCGATTTAAACCCACCCTTTCCGCAACTTCATTCCCAATTCTACCAAAACTGGCTGCACTACTGTTTCCATATTCCCAACATTCCCCCAGGGTACTCTTTGTGGGGTGATCCTCCCTGTGCCCCTTTATATTAATCCAATATGCCAACATAATTTTCATTCTTCTAATTCTCAGTGGCTGTTCTCCTGTTTCAACTTGTATAGCTGCTACCGGGGAGGTTTCATATACCCCACAACATATTCTCACCCTTTGTGCTTGCTGCACCTCTAATTTCTTCAAGTGAGTGTCTGCAGCTGACATATATCTCTCCGATCTCCTCCACATCGCCACCCCCTCACGCTTCCTCAGATCCTCCTCCTCCTTTCACCTCTCTGTGCCCTCTGCCCGGCTTAGCACCATGGGGAGCTGGGCTTTCAGTCGCTCTGCCCCCAAACTCTGGAACTCTCTCCCCCCGGACCTCAGAAACATGGACTCACTACCCCACTTTAAATCCAAACTCAAAACACACCTATTCCAAATCGCATATTCACTCTAACTGTCCACTTTCACACTTGTATGTTGTTTTTATTTATTTTAATTGTTTCTAACTGTGTTTTTATGCCCTGTACAGTGTCCTTGAGTGTTCAGAAAGGCGCTTTTAAATAAAATGTATTATTATTATTATTATTATTATTATTATTATTATTATTGTATGCTATGCACCCATAGTCTAATGCAGCTCTCATCACGGCTTGATATATACCTAACAGTGACCTTCTTGATGCTCCCCAGTCCCTTCCCGATACACATTTTAATAAATTATTCACTTTTTTACATTTGTTAAAGGGGACCTGCCACCAAAATTTCATACCCATTTTTATCATTTTTTCATAATCCTTGATGTCATCTTATCATGTTTGCAACATAATTTTAGCTGAAAAGTTATTTGATGGTTTGTTTTAGTATGCCTAAAAAACCTTACACGAAAACCAACTGGTTTTGGCTCATTAACATTTATGGTAATGAGCTTTGCTCTGATTGGATCGCTGCTGTGAAGCCTGCTGTGCTCTGATTGGCTCAGCAGTGGAGGTTCGGATTTCGTTTTAGCCAATGTTATTATGCTAATGCTAATAGCATATGCTAATGTGTGCTAAAGTAAGGTGCCCAGATGTCTGTAATGATATCCAGGGATATTCGGTGCGGTGGCGGCGGTGCAGGGGCTGTGTGATCACAGACAAAGTCTCGGTACTATTTAGTAGCAGCGCATGCCCCTTGTAATGCCCCTGTTGTTCAGGACTGCTAACTTGTGCTTCCTACCTATTCGGCTACTGTAATAACCATTGTTCGAGCCCACACTCAACATTTTTGCTCTCATTCATGAAACGCTTAAATCGGGGACATTTTCGGGGACAGCTTTTGCCGGGGACAGGTCATCCAATACGGGGACTGTCCCCGGAAATCGGGGACGTCTGGTCACCTTATGCTAAAGGCTAAAAACGGCAGGTATTAAACCATATATTTAAGACCCCGAGTCCGAAGAGGAGGTGGAAGTTGAGGAAGAAGCCGGAGATCTCCAGTGGTGTTTTCTCATTCATTCTGCCCAGCTTTAAGTTCATTTTCCCGGCAGTGAACCGAAGGAAACACCGGTCGTTTGGAAGAGACCCATAGCGGATGCAATGGTAGCTGGGTCTCGCTCTGGCTGTGACTTAGTACGAGAACGAGAGAGTGGGCGCGGCTCACCGAGGACGCGCTCGTGAATTATAATGAGCAACGTCAACGCAACGTAACATTGACCTGCTTTTTCAATTGGCCTGGTTTACTCCTTCCTTTATTTTAAACCTTTACAGAATGCAAACGACGTAACGGTTTGTTTTCACATTTACAACATAAGACGAACATAATATGGACCTTATCTGACACAAAAAAACCCAAAAATTACATTTTTATGGCAGGTCCCCTTTAACAAGCCTGTCTATATGCTGTCTCCATGTTAATTTTTCATCTAGCCACAATCCCAAAAATCTTACTGCTCCAACCTGTTCTATTTTTTGGCCATATAGATATAATTCCACTTCCTTATGTCTTATTGCAAAGCATATTGTCTGTGTCTTGCTCACTGAGAATTTAAATCCCCAGTTATCTGCCCACCGTTCCACTCTCCCAATCGCACACTGCAGTTTCTGCTGTAGATATTGTAAATTGCGCCCCCTAGGCCACAAGGCCCCATCATCCGCAAATTATGACTTCCCTACACTTGGTTGGAGTTGCTCAAAGATATCATTTATCATAATGTTAAACAAAGTTGGACTGCACACACTTCCTTGGGGCGTCCCATTCTCTACACTGTACTGTCTGGAGTAGTAAGTGCCCATCCGCACCTCAATCTTCCGATCAAACAAAAAACTTAATACCCAATTGTACATATTTCCTGTGATTCCTGATTTGCTCATTTTAATAAGGAGACCTTCCTTCCACAGCATATCATATGCCTTCTCCACGTCAAAAAAGACTGCTAGAACTATTTCCTTATTAGCTTGAGCTTTCCTAATCTCCAATTCTAACACTAATACATTATCCATAGTCCCTCTTCCTTTGCGAAAACCACTTTGATATGTTGATAGGAGGTTTTTGCTCTCTAAATAGTAATTTAACCGTTCCATAACCATTCGCTCCATTATTTTCCCCAACTGAGACGTTAGTGCAATGGGCCTATAGCTAGCTGGGTCTG